TTTCTTTCTTTCTTTCTTTTTTTTTTTTTTGGCTAGCCCTATCTTGGTAGAGGGTTCTTATGCCGGGCTGAAATGGTGATTGATCTTGTGTTCGATTGGGATAGTTAAATATTTGTCGCCTGCGACTTCGACGGCTATTATTCGTTGTCCGCGTGCGTCGTTCCGGCTTGTTTGGACTGCGCTTACTTATATGTCTCGGGTGCCGGAATATGGGGATCCGAATCGGTCGAGGCGGTCGGATGTTCCGTTAACGAGGCCTTGTGTTTTTCGGGTTATTAGGGTTTCTGGGACGATGCGGAAGGCGGAGGAAGAGGCGATTCGGCGGGCAAGGAAGGAGATTGTGCGGTTGAGAGGCGCGGAGGAGGTTGGGGTGCTTGGGGGTTTAGTTGGTGGATTGGAATCTGCGGAGGGCTCCGGTGTTGTTGAGGATGTGATGGTGGATGAAGAGGAGGATCTTGATATGGGGAGTGATGGGGAGGATTGATGGTCTTCTCTAGGATGAAGGTGTTTGCTTTTTTGGGTGCGTCCGCCGTTGTTGGCGAGGTTTTCTTTTTCATTCATCAGAGATACCCTATGATACATGTATACTAGAGGATGGTAAAATTCATGTTATGACTTTCGTACAACTTTCACTCCGCTGTCTGGTATGAATCCCCTGCCAAGATCGTCGTACTCATCGTCGTCCTCGTAGCCGGCGCTGGGTTTGGTGGCACCGGCCGCTTCATCTCGTTCTTTGGCCTCTGCTTCTAATTTTTGCCTTTCAAGTTCATCGTGCTCATCTTTGGCATCTAACCAGCGTTCCTGTACATCTCGGACGTCCATGGTTCCCAGGCCGTCCCGAACAGCAACCTGCCAGACGGTGTCGTTCGCACCTTCAGCAGGTCCGAACACATACCCGCTTGCTCGGTCAATCACATGCAATAGACTCATCATGCTCTTCTTGTCTTCGACAGCTAGCGTTTCGAATGCAACGAGCCCGAAATCTTCAACGAGGTCTATAATGGCTTGATTGAGGGCCCCGAACTTATCATGCGAAAGCCGAGAGGATTCTGCTTCCAGGTGTGGCAGCAAATATGAAAGGTCTTGTACCTCTGTGTAATAGTCTAGATTAAAAGGTAGTGGGGCGTAGTTCGAGAGATTGTCGATCTTGGTGAGGACGTTGAGGTGGGGAAGGTCCATTTGAAGCATGGCGCGGAGGGAGAGGATGAGGGCGGATATGTACATAGAAGGTAGAGTGAGGTTATATGAGTCAATTAGGTGTATTACGATTAACTAAAGCAGCAGTCAGCTACATGTATGTTATGATATACCGATAACGGAATGGGAAGAAGCATACTCTATATCCCATCTTTTGAAGTTTGAAGAAAATGTTTCGTAATGACGAGTGGTGCGTGAAGATCTCGACCTGACCTGGGCAGTCAAACAGAATATAGTCCTCTAGCAACGACCCATAATCAGTATATCATAGCAAGCTTGTCACGCCAGTTCCGACGCATACCTTCGAGTTCCTTCAGCCCCTCCTCCAACCAGTCAAAGTTCTCCTCTAATTCTTCTAGCGCATACAATATACCGCCATTCGGACCTAGGTGGTCTTCACTCATTACTTCCTCGAGTGTAACCAGATCACGAACATCCAGTGCACATGGGTAGGACGTTTTATCATTTGCGGGGTCCAGATTCACGATCGAACATTTGCGCCCAATTGCTCCGAGGAACTGATGCATGCCATTGCAATATGTTGACTTTCCCGCACCGGGAGGCCCTATCACTAGCTGCGCAAACGGCATGATAATCCACCTATGATGGAAATTTAAGATAACTGAAAAAGCACGTAGTATAGACAAGTTGAGAGACTTTATCGATTGCACTCATTGATAATGGCGGGGAGAATATTACAGGGCGGTATCCTGCGGCAGAAAATGATTTGAAGGAAGCTTCGATATGACGCCGGCCGATCAACAACTATCCGCCGTTGCTGCTTCAATTGGCTTTTCCCGGTGACTTTGCGCAATCATGGCGTCGAGTAAGTGTTATTTTTTATAGCATATTCTTCATACCTGGCTAATGCACTTATAGACCAGTTTATCGTTGCGTCTCCACCGACAGATGCCATTTCCGCCTTAAAGTTCTCTCCCGACCCTAATTCCACACGAGTTGTTGTATCCTCCTGGGACAAGAATGTATACCTCTACGAGCTGCGCGATGAAAACGGGAATGTAGGAGAAGGCAAACTATTACAGAAGTTTGAGCACCGTGCTCCGGTACTTGATGTGTGTTTTGGCGCAACCGAGGACGAGATCTACACAGCCGGCTTGGATTGGGACGTTAGGAAGTGAGTCGAACCGTATTTTCCCTTCATCGATTAGATACTGTGATGCAGTGCTAACAATCTCCAGGATTGACGTAGCAACATCAACCCAGACCGTGCTTAGCAGCCATGAAGCAGGTGTTCGAAGCGTCGTTTACAGCAAGGAACACCAACTGGTGATATCGGCATCCTGGGACTCCACATTACACGTACATCGCATCGATGCCCCGGGCTCTATACCGTCGATTATTCCCCTCCCTTCCAAGCCATTCTCCATGTCTCTCACTGCTACGAAGCTGGTCGTCGCAATGGCCTCGCGCGCATTGCATATCTATGATCTCAAGGCGCTATCTCTCCTCACGGCTCAGTTGGACGGTACCGCTCCGAACAAGGTTGAGGTCGAACCATGGCAGCGGAGAGAAAGCAGTCTTAAATTTATGACACGGTGCGTGGCATGCATGCCTGACGATGCGGGTTACGCTTCTTCGAGCATTGAGGGTCGAGTTGCTGTCGAATGGTTTGATCCTTCTCCTGAATCGCAAGCGCGAAAATACGCTTTCAAGTGCCATCGCCAGACGGCTGATGATGTCGATGTGGTATATCCCGTGAATACTCTTGCTTTCCACCCGGTACATGGAACCTTTGCATCTGGAGGTGGTGATGGTGTGGTTGCTCTCTGGGATGGAATTGCGAAGAGGAGAATCAGGCAGTACCAGAAGTACCAGTCTAGTGTTGCTGCCGTGGATTTCAGTGGTAATGGGAAGTATCTGGCAATTGCTGTCAGCCCAGGGTTTGAAGACGGAAAGGATGACGTTGCTGAGGGGACGATCAAGATTTATGTGCGCGAACTTGGTGAGACAGAGGCTAAGGGGAAGGGTGCGAAATAGAACCACGTAGCTTTTACTATGAACATCTAATTTTTACGACCAGAAATGGAATTTCAACTTTGCCTAGGTAGACAGAGTAAGGAATCCAATTCACGCTAGCAGCAAATGGTATCATTTATAGTTCCGCTTTTATGTATACATGTCTAGATCGTCTCGGGCAATAAGTGGTTAAGCAGAAGCCTTTCTTACGGACACAGAGCCGTCAGGCATGCCGAAGTACGCGGCGATAGGTTTCTGACCTCCAGTACCTCCACGGGCCTGTGCCTGGGGGCCAGTTTCACCGGAGAAGATACCAACATCCAAGACACCGGGAATCTGCTTGATGGCCCGAGAAAGAGCTTCGACCTCCCAAACTCCATCCTTTCCAGTGCCATCTTGCCCGGCTGCAATGTCCGCCTTGGTGAGAAGAGACTTGAAGGGAGCGTCAATGATGTTGAAGGCCTGGTCGGTCTTCAAAGGGGTAGGCTTGGGTGCACCTTCAGGAGCAGTAGGGTTCAAGCGAAGAGCAGGCGAGATGCTACCAAGTTCCTTGAGCTCTCCTAGCACACGACTGGCAGCAATGGGGGCCACCTCGATGGGGATGTACTTCCAGCTCGAAAGGAGACGAGATTGAAGTTTGCGGGAGTCTGTTTGTGGTCAGCCTTGATAAGCCACTCTTGGACATCGTTCAGTATCAGGTCCACTGACCAGCAACGCAGACGAATTCTTTAGCCTGGAGGGCGACAATCTTCTCCTGGAACAAACAGGCACCACCACCCTTGATCAGGTTGAGGTCGTCATCGACCTCATCCGCTCCATCGAAGGCAATGTCCAGAACGGTTCCTTCGGGAAGCGAGTCGAAGTCAACGGCTGTCAAGCCATTGGAGACGATGAGCTGTTTCGAAAGATAGCCTGTAGGCACATATTTGGTTTGAGAGGTGTCGACACCGGACTCCTTAATAGCCTCAACAACGTAGACAATGGTGGAACCACTGCCAATGCCCACGTACTTGGCATCCTTAGGGTAGTGGTTCTTCACAGCAGCCTGACCGGCTGCGCGCTTTGCGGATTCGATAAGATCGGCCATTGTGGATTGTAGACGAAAGTTTGCAGGAGAGACTGTGGGGGAGGAGGAACGAAATGTATGCAGACGTAGACGAGGGTGAGCGGAGAAGGATGAGGGGAACAAGGATCGGAATCTGTATAAATATTATTAGGCGGACTATGTCGGAGTTTAAAGTGCTCTAGCGGCAGGAGTTTACTGGGGGAAAAGAACCGCAGTTGCCCTGAAGGTGGGGATCCAAAATGCGATCCCAAGGAACGTCCCGGTAAATCTTGACTCACACGGTAAATTGGGGGCCACGTGGAATTATTAGGAACATGGCAGAGCAATTGGGGCTCAATGGATATGTAACACCTGTACGAATCCCAACTAATGGTAGCGTCCACGCAAATTGCAGAGTTTATGGACTGTCTCAATGGTAAAAGTGACTTTTATCCAGTGGTGGGGTTGTGTCGTCATAGTAATTTTGATGGCCTCAGGCCGCAGTGCACGGCCTAAGATGTCAGCGTTTAGGATTACCGAGTACAGTAATTTCCCCTAGCACTACTGCAGGCCCACCGTCAACCTGGAAAGCCTTTCCCTCAATTCAGTTACGGGCGGGGATATCAGTTATCCACAAGATGATCCGGATATCAGAGCATTTGCTCGCGTAAGAAACCGGGTGTGGAAATCTTCGCTAGGATTCAGGGGATTGTTACCCAAACCAGCTCTACTGGCCATGCGCAAGCATTGGCATACTACATGCAATATATATGCCAAACATGGCCAGTAACCAGAGAATATATTTTAAAATTGATCGATGATATTCTGTATTGCACGAATACAGCATCTCCAAGTAAACGCTTACCACAAACTGTCTACCTGCATAAATAATATTCTCATAATCATATCTGTTTATGACATGGCGCTCGCAGCTCGCTTCTCAGCATGACAGGGAAAGTTTTGTCGTACAGGCTTGGGGAATAGCATATTTCGTTGCTCAAATAGATAAGCCGCTTGTATGCATTAATGTTCTTCGCCCCCTAGAACAGCATCTTGATACTAGTCATCTTTGATATTAAAGTAGCGAGGCATTTGCTACCTATTGGGTCCTGAAAATAACATGATCCTCCACACCTTTATACGACAGGCTTCTAAATGAACAAAGGTGCCGCCTAACAAGGCAAGAGGCCATTCATTAAGGGGTTGTATCTTGAGGACCTCGAAATATTTGAGACACAAAAAAATCAACATGTCCTCGGATGGTGCTCTCTAGCTCATGTATACGGACGGGAATCAGTATTCTAATTTTAAACATGTTCCCTGGATCTCCAAATGCGAGTAAGGCCATTGAGTGGCCCTAGGCTGATCGCAGTTTTGAGGTAATGTCAGTAACTCAAGCAGTGTTTAGCATAGCAGTAGCGTATCGACTATGAGATGGACGATTGCCATGGGTCGGGGTGTCGTCATCAAACCGCTACGGCCTCAGGCCACTTCCAATGCACGGGCCCTGTTCCGCTGTTGTACCCGTCACGTGGGCATGCAGCGTTTACTACGGATTACTGCAGAACCATTGTCAACAACTACTACGGGCTTGCAACAATAGTCAGATGCTTGCTATTCTATTGCCTGTCCGAGGCAGGTACTAGTGTTCCAGTTGTATTAGTGACTTTATATCGTCTCTCCGCTACTCAACTATTCCTTATCATTGCTCTTTCACTTCCCCGCCCCTCATGACTGATGCTTTTCCTAGTGCCCTGACTGGGCCATCTTCCAAAGAAAGGAAATATGATCGGCAACTGCGGCTCTGGGCTGCAAGTGGCCAGAAGGCTTTAGAGGAGTCTCGTGTACTTTTGGTCAATTCTGATGGCCCATGGAGCAACCAAAGTACTGGCGTATCAGGCGTAGTGGGGGTCGAAACACTGAAGAACCTTGTCCTTCCTGGAATTGGAGGGTTTACTATCGTGGATCCTGCTACTGTCACCGAGGCGGATCTTGGAGTCAATTTCTTCCTTGAAGAGCAGAGCCTGGGTAAGCCGAGGGCCGCAGAGACCTGCCGATTGTTAAAAGAATTGAACCCCGATGTAGAAGGAAGCTTCCAATCAAAGGTATGAGTACTGGAGTTTATCTTTACTTGAATTTATATGCTGATACATTATCTTTAGTCAATTACGGAACTTCTGAGACAGGATCCAGAGTTCCTCGCACAGCATAGGCTAGTGTTAGTTTCTGGTCCTATGAAGCGACCCTCTTTAGATGCTCTTTGCAAGGCTGCCAGTGAGCTAAACATTCCAGTCTTATATACACGATCTGTTGGATTCTACTCCACTTTCTCGCTTCAACTGCCGCCCTTGTTTCCTATAGTAGAGACCCATCCAGATCCGGAGACAACACAAGATCTCCGCCTGCTCAACCCTTGGCCGGAGTTGGCAGAAGCTGCTTCTCAAATTGATAATTTGGAAACCTTGGATGACCACCAACACGGTCATGTTCCATATCTACTACTACTTCTCCACTACCTTGAGAAATGGAAGGAGGCACACAATGGCAATGTTCCATCAAATTACAAAGAGAAGTCTGAGTTTAGGGAGATGGTGCGCTCTAGCGCAAGAACGAGTAACCCCGAAGGCGGCGAAGAGAACTATGATGAGGCTGTTGCGGCAGTATTGAAGTCATTGAACCCCTTTAGCTTACGCAGTTCGACTCGCGAGATTTTTGAGATGGAAGAGTGCAAAACCCCCCGAGCAGACTCGGCCGATTTCTGGATTATCGCATCTGCAGTCCGGGAGTTCTTCCAGCAGCATAATGTGCTGCCCCTGCCGGGCTCACTGCCCGATATGAAGGCTCAGTCGGCAGATTATGTCTCTCTTCAAAACATCTACAAGTCGAAGGCGAAAAAAGATGTACAGGAAGTCACAGATATAGTCAGAAGAATCGAGTCCCAAATAGGGTCTCGGTCGGGCGATATCCTAGAGAAGGATATCGAAGTGTTTTGCAAGAACGCCGCTCACATCAAGGTTATTCGTGGACGCAGTATCCCTGAAATTGATGGAGAAGCACGGACTATTAAGGCCATCCGCAACAATATAAGCATCCCTGACTCTCTCATCCCTGTCTTTGTTGCCTTCCAAGTCCTGGACAATGTTGTGACCGACCTCCAAAAAGGAAAACTCGCCAGTGGATCGATTGATGACGAGGTGGCGTGGGACGCTCAGATTGATCGTGTTCTCTCTGCGCTCATGGCCGACGGCCAATCTGCAGTTGACCAGGACGCCCGGGAGCACATTTTGGAAGCCACCCAAGAACTTCGCCGCACAGAAGGCGGCGAGCTGCATAATATCTCGTCACTTACTGGTGGCTTGGTCGCACAGGAGGCACTCAAGGTTATCACAAGGCAGTATGTGCCGTTGGATAACACGTGCGTCTTCGATGGAGTGCGAAGCCGTAGCGAGATGTATACGCTGTGATGTGGTTGTACCATCCGGCGGCTATGACAGAGTCCCTCTCAAGGACGGCAACCGCAATGAAATGAAATTATGACTTGGCGTATTATCGTCCTACGAGTAGTTCCTCTGCTAGGCCTTTTCCGGCTTTTAAACTGTCATGAACCCGCTCCAGTTCTACTATATATATACATCCGTGTGAACAGCGTACGTGACCTTTGGCCTGTCGTTTTCAGGCTAAGGGTGTCCATTAATATTCTCGTCAAAATGAAGCCCAGGCCTCACCGGCTGTGCGAGAACGGAAATTACATACTTGCAGTAGATCAGAGAGACTTAAAACGAGATAATATAAAATGCCAAATACCACGCTTTTGATTAGTGGCATTTTATGATCTGGAATATAAGCCTATGTCATTTGGAGACATGTGGCCAAACGCGGAGAATATCTGAATTGCACTGCATCTGTATAGGTGTATCTATACAAATCGAGATCAAGTTATACTCAAAATTCTGAAAAGCATTCACTATATATTGATATCAAGTGTCCTTCAAGGTATCCGTAGCTGATCTCTCATCTTCGTCCAATGGAGCCCCGCTAAGACCATTTTCCAAAATTTCCTTATGTCTGCTCAATCTATAGGTTAGCCACAGGACTTTTAGTCTTCCATGGTAATTTAAATATGGGGTTCTTACTTCCTGATGTAAAATTCAATTCCCAACATTGAGACAATGCTTCCGGCCGCCCAAGCAGCAGACAGCGGAAATCCAATAGGATACCGCGGACTATCCGACGTTCTCCAAATACGAAGTGGAATTGTCGCATGGCCGACATCTGTTTTAAAATTGAAATTAGCGAAGCCTAATCGTTGTTTTCAGTGGCAACGATGAAGAAATAAGAAGAAGAAGAAGAAGCCAAAAAAACGAAGAAAATCACGGAATTCGGTAAGCAAAACATACACACAAGCGTAACGGTTAGGGCTACGAGGATTGATCGGATCTCGGGCTCTTTGCGAAGGATCTCACCGATCCAAGCGAGTAGTGCATATCTAATACATAGTTTTAGCTACATACATTGCGTAGTTGGGAGCTAGGAGAACAGGGCATACCCCCATCCACTGGTAGCAAAGGTCATGAAGTAGAAGGCCATGACTGTCGGTGTGGAATCGGGCCAAGCAGATAAGACAGAACAACAGAGGACTTGCAGCAGCTTTGATCGTGTTAGACAAGCTGCAAATAAAAGCCCATTATAGTTTGTTTATCGGAGTGTAACTTCACTTACTGCTGCAAAGACAGCCACTTGCCATCGCCATTGCTTCTTGTCACTCAAATAATTGAGGCCGACATTGGTGACGATTGAGATTGCGTATCCGCCCAAGGGAATAAGGTTGACAGTGTATGTGCTGCTCCCGTTAAAAAGAGTCTTGATAGCCAATGATGGGGTACTGAAGCATACCTATATAACTGTTCACCGTTGTCATTTTTCAGGCCCTGTCACGGATCAGCATCCAACTTTGCCACCATCACAACTAAGAAGGATATACCTTTAGGTATAATAGAAAATACGAATTGCACCTCTGACTCCATGCATACTGAAGATACGCAGCGATATAGAGCCAGCTCAATGGCGTTTTCAGGAGAGCACGAATTTTCTCCATAACAACTTGCCGATTGACAAGTTCGTTCGTCTTAATCCCGTAGCTTGCCATGCGGTCTACAGCAATTCTGCGTTCGCGTTTGGTTAACCACAATGCCCGTGTAATACTTGGAGAATCGGGGATAATAAACAGGCCAAGCATGCCCCATGCCATCGTCATACAACCCGTGACTATGAACAGCCATTGCCATCCTTGCAGTCCGGCTGCGCCATCTAGGTTCTTGTATAAGGCTGCCTGGAGAATCCCAAGGAACATATTGCCTGCTGTGCCACTGACACCGAAGATTGCCAGGCGTGTTCCCAGTTCTTGGGGAGTATCTAGAGCTCTCATTAGCTTAAACCAGGGACATGAATGCGATATATGTTGACATACACCAATTAAACAGCAGACTGGCAAGTCCTGGCCAAGACGTCTACACTATTCAGTGTCTATATTCCCATATAATGAATGATATGATTATACTTACGGACTCAAAAACTCCCAAAAAGAATCTCAATGCATATACAGTCCTTGCGTTCTTTGCGGCAAATGTGCTGCAATGAGCATTAGCATGCCTTAAGCAGCTTAGAGGAGGGATTCATACGCCAGGTTCAATGCACCCCAAATAATTTCGCAAGTCGGCAGCCATATAGATGGCCTGATCTTGGTTTGCGTCAGTTGTGACGGCACGATTGCTATAGCGTATCCTATAGAGAAGAATGTCGTAAATTCCACCAGTTCATTGCCATAAAGATTGAGAGATTCCTTCATTCCTGAAACGTATGCTTGGGTAGTTGCAGACTGGTCCATGTCCTACGGTTCACCTGATTAGTTTCGGTTTTGGAAAGAAAACATTTGTCCGGATTAGGTATGCTGAGCACTAAGGGAAACCGACCTTAGTCAAGCCAGAAACAAATGCCCATGTCAACAGCAAAAAATCAATTTTAAGAACCACCAGATGCTCTCTGTCTCTACAGAGTTTGGATAAAATTGGGCTGTCCCATACTCGACTTCTTGCAATTTGGTGGCTCTCATCATTCGAAGGGCGTTGTTCAATCACCACACTGTTTTTGGTCGTCGCCATCTTTCAGCTGGGCATCTAAGCCTTTAGCGTGGTACGTTGTACCTAGTTAGAATCGAATGCCTTCATCAGAGACAGAAGTGTGCTTTTTGCGTTCAGAAAGAAGGCTTATATGCTAGAAGGAATCTCTCGTTTGTGAATGGCGCGATAGTTATCATGGATGGTCTACGACGTTGGCCTGTAGCCAAGTGTTTATTACCAAGTCTGATTGGGGTTTCGCAAAAGGCCAAAGATTTAAGATAGCCAAGAATTGGAAGGTTAGAAATGGATATGCACGTCCTCTATTAGTGTACAACAGAGCTTGCGTCTATGTAAATGCCATATGTGAATGGGTGTTGATGGTGTGTTTCTTGGCGTGAATAGCATCATCATGTCATATCATTGAATCATTTGACACATGTTCCAAGACTGTGACCACAATAAGTAATTTTATTCGGAGCTGCTCCGGTTTTAGCTTCTCCAAATCTGTTTAGTTGCTACAAGGATCTGACCCGGGTCATAGTAGTGAATGGAGAGGGGTTATAATTATTGCCATTCTTTGGAAACCGTTTAGCCCTCACTGCAGTGGCACCTCAGCATTTGATGTAACCATCTATATAACCCGGCCCCAGCCCGATCGGCATAGACTGCAACATGAAATTTTGTTACTGTTATCTAGTAACAAAGTTTGTAATATCAATATCTACTAAAAATTAGATATTATGCCTACCAACGCTTCTGCCCCCCTCTACCCCGCTTACCTCCCTGTTCGTCCGGAGGGCTTCACTCCAACTCTGAAAGTTCCACTCCAAGATATTCCTGAGGCAGGATGTCGGGCGGATCCCTCCCTACCAGAGATCTGTACTAAAGACAGCCAGCTTAAGAGCATAACCCCACGGATTGGAACGGAGATACGAGGAGTGCAGCTAAGTCAATTGAGTACGGGAGGTTTGGATCAACTAGCACTATTAGCTGCTCAGAGAGGCGTGCTCGTATTTGTATGATAATCTAACTTCGATCCCTTCCATAATACATCCCGCCTCTCTTCCTATCAGCCGAATATTAACTGACGAGCGGAGCAGAGAGACCAAGATTTTGCCGACATTGGACCGGGCCGACAGCGGAATATCGCAGCTCACTATGGACCCCTCCATCAGGTTCGCCCGTGATAAGCTTCGTAATGACGCCCAATTTGCATAAACTAATGCCATACTTGCATAGCATCCGACCATGGGGTACCCACAAGGAACTAGTCCTGAATTCCAGGTCGTGTACGCCGACGAAAAAGTGTATGAGAGTCTGCCTCCATACTGTATCCCCCGTCAGCTGATTGGTTTATAGTGGAAATCTTCGCACTTTGCTTGGAACACGTACCAGCTATGACCTTTGGCACATAGACCAAACATTCACGCCCAACACACCCGGCGTATCATTCTTTTGGGTTCTTGAGACACCTGCGTCTGGCGGTGGGGATACAGCATTCACCTCACTGACAGCTGCCTATCAAGCTCTCTCACCCACTTTTCGTGAAGGCCTACATCGGCTAAAACTCCTCCATACCAGCGCCAGTGTTGGGGAGGTTGCGCGTATTGGGCAGGAAAGAGCGACGAAGGAGGCTGTACAAACGGAACATCCGCTTATCATCCAGCATCCTGTCACCAATGAGCCTGCGTTATTTGTGAACCCGACCATTGCAAGACAGGTCGTTGGCTATAAGCCCGAGGAGTCGGAAAACCTGCTATCGTTCCTGCATAATCATATTCGGTCGTTGGATTTCAGTTGTCGGGTTTCATGGGAGAAAGGGACTGTTGTCATATGGGATCAAGTGTGTACCACAGCTTTATGTCTCAGCGTGAAGACTATGCTAACTTGTGTATTAGAGAGCAGTTGCACACTCAGCTGTGCCAGACTTCGAGGATGGTGACCGCCGACATATGGTTAGAATTATCGCATATGGCAGTCAGCCTCAGGTGGCTGCCGTGCCCAAAATTCTATAAGAATCCTGCCTAGTTTTATACAGAATATCGAACCTAATTGAAGAAGAGAACTTACCAGTTGGGAAGGCGACAAGCTATGCATCTGATAAATTTGATAAAAACCTAACATCCCAAATACCTTACAACCTCACCTTGCCTTGTTATTCTTCTTCACCACCCCAAGCTATCACTTCTATCTTCCATTCATACCTGTTGATATTCTTGATATAACCTTTTGTCCTCAATTCTCTGAGTGATAGTCGGTGGTCCCTCACTTTGCTTTTTCGCCAACTCATTCTCACTTCATCACCTCTTAGTCACCTAACCTAGACTGTATGTTTCCTAACACTTGCTTTATCCTCAGACCCTCTTCGATAATAATTAATCTTTTAATTATTTATACATTTCACTTCTCATATACATCATCTTCTTATCACACCTGACCACAACTCTACCAAACCCCTCTCTTCGTCACCTTCCTCAATCCTGCATTGCTGTTATTCGTATAATTTCACAAGTCACCATATTCATTTAGGATCTTGTATCTCTAGACTTATCATTCCTTACATATGTGACATCCAAGGCCTCAAGTTCCAACACGCCGGCTTGATTCTATTACTTCGCTCCCCTCTCCACCCCTCGGCCTTCCGAGCTACTTGATCACTTTCCCAATACCGTGATTAATACACTGCTGTTCCCATAAAACTCTCGCATCTACCCCTTTCCTAGCCTATTGAACTACACCGTCACCCACTACCGAAACCTCACCAGATTCCGAAATCACACCCTCATGTCTGACTCGGATTCTGACCTTGACCTTGGCCATGCCGAACATGGTAAGAGAAGGCATGTTCATAATCTTTCCATATGCTAATAAAAGGTAGAGAAACATGACGAAGCCCCTAAGACGCTTACCCCAAGAAGGGGAAAGAAAGAGCTCCAAAGGATCCTCAGCCTTGAAACTCATAGCGAATGGCTCAAGTGGCTAAAAAGTCCATTGGTTGCCCCCTGGTGGAAAGAGTTATACAGCGACTGTCTATCTAAGTCAAAATCAGGAAAGCCCGCCAGAGTCAATCAGAAAGTGGTTTTAGAAAGGCTGATTCGCGGGGAGGCAAACGGAGAAACGAGATATAGCGCACGATTCCCTAAAAAGGACGAATGGGACTTTGCTGACCATCTAGCACGCTTTGTGTATATGGTTAAGACGGAGAATTTCAGGTCCAATCAGGGAGTTTTCTTCGGGAAGCACTTTCCCGAACCATTCATGGAAGCCATTGTCTGGGCTCTTCTGAACTACATGAGGAGCACTGGTGGAAGCTCTATATTGGGCAAGTGCCCATTTTCTGAGGAGCCCAAGGAAGAGCCACTATTTTGCGTGGATTTAGAAGCAGACGAGCAGGGGCCGGATCAGCTAAGCGTCGGAGAGCCTGAGCCGATAGATCTTACGATAGAGAAATGGCGTGAGGAGATGATTCATCCAAGAGAGCGGATTATCTTGACTAGGTATTCTCCGGGTTTCAACCCACAGGAAAAATACTGGCAATTCCAACTTATATCGGAAGCCCTAAAGAGGGTTGGAATGTCGTCCGTGGATGGAAAGATTGAAAATCTAGGGGGTTTGTCAACCGAGCAGAACATCGCTTGGGAGCCTACTCTGGACCATTCAGTTGATGGTTTAGATCCTTCAGTGAACAGCCAAATTGACCAATTTGACCCAATTAAAATGGCAGCGACTGCAGATATAGAAGCAAGTATGGCTGCAGAGATTGATGCGAGTGACTTTCAGTCCTCCACACTGATCATTCCAACGGAAGAGTCCTTGGAGCGATTTGAACAGCATCGAAAGATACTGGACAATCATGAATATCAGATAAACAATCACGAAGAGGCCTGTCAGATTCTCAAAATCGCAAATCCTAGAACGCCGCGAATGAGATCTATGAACCGATCAGTCGTTCTGAAGTTCTGGCAGCCGGTTGCCATAGCCCGTTTGCTTGATATTCGTGCAAAAATACTAAGGTTCGAGGTGCTATACTTGGCGATTCTGTGGGGCTAGGAAAGACGTGGATGGCCATTGGCGTAATGCTTAAGGTCCGCACTGCCTCAAACTTGTTCATGAAATAAGCTAATCAATGAAAAACTAACCATATGCTATAGATCTGGGAAGATTATAACCAATCTGTGAAAAATGCAATAAGCGAAGGAAAGGAACTCCCGCCAGGTAAACCATTCCTGGTCGTCATGCCTCCGTCACTTATCATGCAATGGTGCGCAGAGATCACTCGGGTTACAGACAAATTGCAAGTTGTGTTGTATTATGGCAACAAGACATCCAAAGAGGGCATACGGCCAGTGAAGACTATACTGTGCAAGGAACATGAGCTGTTTGATGGTTCACCAGTCAATGGTCGAAAAGTAGTTATTACCTCTTATCAAACACTTAGCAACCGGCATGGGCCCACTGCCATAAAAACATGGTGTAACAGAACACATCAGGTTTATATGGAGGATATACCAACTCCACCACAGGGTTTTCCGCATCGACTTGACAGGTGTTTTTCAGATGTGATTATTGATGAGGGGCATACGCTTCGAAATTCGGATACCTCACAGTCCAGGGCAGTCCACTGGTTGAAGGCGAACTTCTATCTACTATTGACTGCCACCCCTATTTACAACTCTCGTGAAGACATGCGCGGATATATCCCACTACTATTTCATCCACCCTCTCAGGGGGATATGCATACGTTGAGGACGTTAGGAAGAGACATTTTCAAATTACCCCTTGAGAACCCTGCGAGGAGCGTTTGCTGCACGGAAAAGGCAGTGGAAGAGTACATTCTTGACAATAAAGTGCCACCAATGGCGGCAGGGGAGCGCCTACGTGTCATATTTGGCCAGATTCATGGTTAGGAGAACGTTATCATCGTGTATGGAGTCATTCGGTTCAAGGATGATAGGAAGCGATATACCGCCAACCCATCGCAGAGTATGTACTGTGGTATACAGTCAAAAAGAATCTGCTATGTATACTAGGCTTTCTGCTATTCATTACGATGGCCTATTCATGGAGGATCCGAGGGATCCAACCAAAGTAGTTTGGAACATGGCCAAACTCCGCAAACTTTATCTTTTGACCGCATGGCTAGGTTTCGATTATCTCGAGCATACGCTCCACGCACCCAAGATACCAAAAGCCTGCAGCAAGTTGAAACAAGGGACTTTAGGAGCATTCTTCGCACGAACCATAGTGGGGAAAATGAAGCCTCAACGCCAAGAGTCTATCTACCAGAGCATCGAATCGATAGTAGGAACGCGGAGAACCTGGGTTCTCGAGTTCCTCCTGAAGGGGTCGCCCAAAATGAGGGCTATGCTTCCCGTCTTGCGTGATCAGGTGATTGTTCATAGCGAAAAAGCAATGGTATGGACCCAGTTCCCTGCTGAACAGATCTATGTTGCAGCAGTTCTTAAAGAGGCCAATATCGATGCGGAGATCTTCCATGCCGGACTGACTCGTGATGAGAGGATGAAACTCATTGAGCGGTTTACACAGAAGCATGACGAATGCATGGTATTGATATGTGCATATAATGTCAATGCTGCTGGCATGAATCTACAGAATCTCTGCCGCAACGTTCATATCCTTTCGATGGGCTTGTCCAAGTCGGTTGTTAACCAGGCGATTGGAAGAGTAAGTCGACTCGGTCAAGAGCGTATGACGTTCGTCTACGAGTATCGCCTTCGGTCCTCCTTTGACGAAGACCTTGTTTCCCGCAGTGAGCGGAAAGCCCTTCCAGGTTTAGTCGCAGACCTTGGTGATGGTTTCAGTTTCCCTTCAATTTCGGAAGATGGAGAATGTCTAAACGACCAATGGGTACTACGAGCTGGAGAGTTGTATCAACTTGCACCTGGTGAGCCTGTAAGAAAGGAAGACATCACGGAAAGTAAACCTATTCTCAAGAAGTTAATGAGGTCTATGGAAGACACCATTTAGTTTAATGGATTTTATTTACTCTTTTTTTTTCTACGATGATATTGGCACCATTGGGACAAGCTAGCAGGACTCGCTTGCACCCCATAACTACCGTAGGGAAAAAAGCAAAAGAACAAAAAGAAATTCTGCGTATTTAGTGAAAACGTTCTTCTCAAGAGAGTTGCTTTTACTGTAAATTGAATATTGAACTACTAGAGAAACCGCCTCAGATATACTTCGTACTTGTAGTCTTGGCGTTGGTCAACGCACCGAGGCACGTGCGGAACCAGCGGAATTCCCCCAAGTTGGATTAGTGCCGGGCTCAGGGAGTTGACAACAACTAAAGGGAGCTGCGACCTATCTTCATTATTTCCACTGCCATCGAGGCTCATGTTTTAGGACATGATGCGCTCAGGATTTCCATCATTCTGATACCCATTATACACTCATCCCACTGGGGCATCCTCACCCTACCGCGAACGGTTGATCTCGCCGCGAATGTCTTGTACTTGAAGCCTAAACTTCAGATCTAGCACAGCAGGCCGGCAAGTGCCGTGCAACCAAGCAGCCAGCCATGTCTGTCTTGCAAGGGACAGTGAATGTACCTGTGGCTACATCCACTGCACAGTCTGTTAATACAACAATCCCGGCCGCCGCGACCTCTGCACTATCCTCGTCCGCGCGCGAACTGCTCGCCGCCCCGTTCCGTCGTTTCTCCGCACTCTCGTCTCATGTAAACCGGCTGGTGGGCTTACCGAGTATGGCGACCTATTTGGGGGGCTCGGGAATTACAGGGCCAGCAGGGGGTGCAGTGGTAGAAGCGACACAGACAGCGGCGGATGCTGCCAGAGAAGGCATCGTTGAAGCCGCCGCGCAGGCCGACTCGAGTTACCATCTCACCGACATCTTCCAGGCTGTTATCAAGTTCAGTGGTTTCTTTTCCTACTTGACTAGTCGATGGTCTTTGGCTTGCTTCACTGTGGTAAAGTTCTACCTGCCGGACAGTTCCCCTGACCATCGTGCCCTAATAGATCAAAGGCCCTCGTTCTAAACAGGATCACTATATATGCATCTACCCGGCGACACCTCCATCTTGATTGGAGCCGACGACTAGCTTTACGGATTATACCGATCCTTCTGTTCATATCACAAATTCACTCGCTACTCCGTGCCATCCGCTGCCAGACGTCGACCGAGTACTCGCTCATTCGATACGGTACTCCCGGGAAACGTTTGTTGTTTGATCATGCTGGAGGTGGAGGGTTTTTGTATTCGCTCGGCTCCACGCTTTTACCGTGGGAGACAGATGAGCAATCTTGCAGTGCAATGAACATGGGTCGGCCCGCTAATTCCTCGGATACCTCCTACGGATCGTTTGTGCTTCTCTGGCCTGTGTTCCTCCGGCTGTGCCTAAGTCACTTTGTCGAAACACTTTCGTGCGCGCTACAGGGAAGGGCAGTGGTTACAGAAGCTGGGATGTCCATTTTCGAGCACTCTCTTGCATTTGCCGAGGCGGAGTCTACAATCAGTCAAACGCTTGGGCTAGGACTGTTTGGTCTACCCAAGCAAAGTGTTAGCAAAGATGACTTGGGTGAAAGCGCCCAATCCACCCTTCATCTGCTTAGTAGGACTCAAGTTCTCGAGCGGATGAATGTGACCCCAGAGCTACTTCTGATTGCCCTGATATCATGTTGCAATAGCCTTACCTCGAACGTCTTAGATGTGTTTGGTAAACAGAGTCGGTACCGACTGTTCAATACGGCGTTCTGGGGCCTTTGCTTCATGTCTACCATGGCGTGGGGCTTGATAAAAGGCTCGTCTGTCGGAAGTGAGAATGTGGTCCTAAAATTTCCTACGGTTTGCATCGTGGGGTTCGTACCACATCTGTTAATCCTATCGGGCATTATCACATGTGCTGTGATCTATTTGCTTGCTCTGCTCATCACTGCTTTCTCCCTCCCTGTCGATACTCCTCAACCCCTATCGCTTCGAGAGAGATTTACACTGGCACAAGAGAACATGCAGGGCGCTACCCAGTTTCAGAACATTCGATTCAATAGACACGAAGACTTCTACACCACCCTGTTGAGAATTGGATACACCGCCCTGACTGCAGCCAGTGAGGCGGTGTTTCTGAATGAAGGCAAAGGAGTTGTTGCTCGGAGTATGACATGGCTAGAGGAAGATAGGTTGGCGGAAATCGAATCGTCACGAGAAAAGCGATCTATCCGGGGCCCTGTCAGCCATACGAGTGATGTTCCTTTCGGAGGTGGCGAATCTATAGACTTCGATATCCCCGAAGCGCCTTCCGAATGGGAATGCGGGTATGGCCGGGAGAAGAAGATCGAGAAGCCCAAGAACGGATCAAGATCCCTTCGAACTCAGACAGATCCGGGCGGCGTCGGGGCCTTCCGAGGCATGGTCCGGTGCTACCATGGCTTTGCTTTCTTCCGTGGAATTTTCTATCTCCTCCTTAGATGGACCGCTTATGGCTTGGACAAGCTGTTGAGCAAGGTGGGCATTAGTGCCCGGCCGCAATGGCTGAAGAGAATAGTAAGACCACGTAAGAGTCGAACCCAGGAACTGAAGAACAAACAAACGGAGTCCCTCGATTTCTGGATCTTAACAGATACCGGCGAGTTGGTGCTACCAATGGACCACGAGTTCGACGTAGAGACAGAAATGAGGAAACGGGAACGGTCAGGGGCAACACTTTGGCAGCAATCGGATGAGCAGCGACTTGATGACAAGCTTTACGGCTGGTGGAAGGCTGGAGGCTCATGGGGTGACCGAGACTTGAGCTCAGACTACTCACCACCCGACAACGACCTTGATGACACGACCAGTGTTGTTTCAATGTCCACGACCACAGGCTCTGAATGGGAGGATGAATCAGACGGTCGCCGTACACCCACCCGCGATAACCCATTCCCTTCAGGCTTCTCTCGCGAAAGCACTACCGTACAAGAATCAATGATGGATATTGGCTCTTTCGCGCGCTTGCTCGATCCGCGCGATCAGGAAAGCAGGCAGGAGGCACGCATCCTAGCCGCCCATCTCGCCGCCGGCCAAGAGGGTCGAATACTGACTCGACGTCGCTTTCAGCAGCAGATGGAGCATGAAAGGGCACAGGTACTATTGTCATCTCGGATGTCGCAGGAAATAAGATCCGAAAAACGAAAGCCTACTATGGAAGAAGAGAGTGAGATACTTGAGAAACTTATCCTCTCCCGACGTGCAAGCGCTTCTGTCCGTGCTGATGAACAGTCATGGGAGTCTGGCGCCTCGGGATTGGGACCAAGCGGGCCACCGTGTGTTATCTGCCAGGCAAACCCACGTTCAGTCATTACGTGGCCATGCCGATGCCTCTGCGTTTGTGAAGAGTGTAGAGTGAGCCTTGCAATGAACAATTTTGGTAGTTGTGTGACTTGCCGCCAGGACGTTGGAGGATTCGTGCGGCTATGGGTACCATAGACTTCTTTTTTCCCAATTCAATTCTATCACTTTTTTAATGTTTTCCTACGACGGCGTTACCCTGATGGACATACCAATGCATATATTACTACTACTACTACTACATCATCACTTCTCTCCGTTCTCGTTTCAGTTATCATAAAGCTATCTTTACATACCCCGTAATATCTAGAGAGAGCAAAAGGAACAGTACCACGGCATATCATCCAACATGATTTAATATTAGCCAAAGCTGGTTTTGTGTTAACGAAGGTAGGTAGAAAGTAAGCCAGAGAGCAACAAAAGCAAACAATTCCAACAATCAAGAACCAATAGGCCCGGGCAGAAAGTAAGAACAAGCAAAGCAATCATTAAATTATATTATTACAAACCCCAAAGCCCAAGTCATCATATTATCATTCAATCCCGGTAGGGACAACAATAATCGAGAGATGCACCCCTTCCTCCGAAGAGTAACATCGACCCCAACTAAGGAATCAAAGATGGTAATACGCAGCCACGGCAGCGATAGCCACACCAGCGAAGCCCCCAGTGACTTGTGCTGCTCCATTCGTCTTAAGAGGCGGGGTCGCTGAGCTGCTTGAAGCAGTGCCCGAAGAGAAAGCACCCCCTGCACCACCGCCAGCACCACCACCAGTGTGAGTGGAAGCCCCTGGTGACGAAGAGATATGAGACGAGCTAGCAGCCGAAGACGAGGGTTTAGGGCTAGAGGATGCGTGAGAGGAGACGGTAGGGATGGTCATGGAGCCTGTGGGTGACGCTGTGCCAGTTGCCGTTGCTCTTGTAGTTGTAGTTGCTTGGGGGGTAGTTGAAGCTCCTGGGTTGGGGACGCTAATAGGATGGCCAGCTGAGGAGCATGCGGAGACGACGACATTAGAGACGGCTTTGGATGGAGATTAGTCTATAGTTCCCGGAGTTGATGGGATAGTCGGGGTGGGGGGAAGACGTACAAGATTGGTCGGCGATAGGGCAGGCTTGTGCGACACATGGACTGACTTTCGGGACAAGCTCGGGTTTCTGGCAGTGGCAGGCGAAATCGGTTATGGATGGGCATCCATCGCCTTGCAGAGCGTTGACGAGACACGACGCCTATAGGATTGGTTAGTGTTGTTCGGTGAAAGTGATGAGGTCTTGGAGGAGGGGACTTTACTGCGCAAGGTGGAATATCGGGGAGAGTTTGGGCGGCGGCCAGACTGGTAAACAGGACGATCATATGGTGAAGGAGTTGCATTATGGCAGCTTAGAGATTTCCTGTTCAAGAGGGTAGAAAGGAAGTTGGAGCGATATCAAAACGAGTGTCGAGATATAACGAGTGGTGGCAACGATGGAGTTACATCTCTCGGGAGACATGAGCATCTTTTTATAAGGTATGAGGGGAATGTTTCACCAGATTCAGGGAATTGCATCACATGCTTATTAACATTAAGATTAGAGCTTGTTCAATTACAAGCTTCTGTGGTCAGGACGGTGCAATTCTTCTGGTTGGGGAAAGTCTATTCAATCGTTCCTGAACCGTCACGCCATGTGACATGCAGTATGAACCCTACATGAGTTCATTCTCTGGTACGCCTGGGGAGTGAGACCTCCTTTGGTGCAGTTGACATTGCCCCAATACGTAACTCCGTACACCCTGGGCATGATCAAGGTACGGCACAGGGACGTAAGCAACGTTAACTATGATGCCCCTTTGCCCTATTGACTCCATTATTGCAAAAAGCATACGTAGACTCGGACCAGGGTGTTCTGTACCTATACATCAAATTTTTGGATGACCGGCTACTGATACGAAGCTAGTAGGATGAAAGCGGGCTTGTACAGAATACATATCACTAGCCATGTTATTGGTGAGCACCGTGCAAACAACAAGGCTGTGAAGCTGTCGATATCAGAGCCTTGAAGGAGGACTACTGTCATGGGTAGTAGACACATTTAGGGCTAGGGACGTAACCAAGCACGTACTGGTTCTCATCAAGACTTAGTCTGACTGGACCACATATTTAGTACCCTAGCTGGTAGATGCAATTTTATTCCTCCTACCACACATTCACTATACGCGCAAAGGTAAGACATGGCGGAGCCATCGAGGCATGGGTCAATGTATCACAGGTGACGAATCAAAATAACCTATACCGAGAACACAAAGTCCAGGGAGACGGCTTCGGGACTTTTGCTGATAGGTTTCTACCAACCCGTAAAGTAAGACATATACTAGGAGCTTGTGCAATGGGGCGTGGCCGAGAACAAAGCAAGTGTAACCTAGGCGAGTCACTGTCTCTTCGCGTGTGGCTGTCTTTTAGGAGGGTTCTTTGTCTTCCTTTTGTGAAACTTGGGACTCGCCAACGGGAAATTTTCTACTATTGGTAGCCCAGATGCATTAGCAGTCGGGTAGAAATTTTCACGCTATTGAGGAGCAGATACACAATGTAAGAGGTGAAAGATCAAATCCAATTATAAACTTGGGTCTCACAACATTTAATGTGAGCATTCAAGTTACCGCAATCGAGGGTATGTATATACAATTCTTTCCGAACGCCCTACTCCGGATACTAAACTAGACGCCATATATCTTCGACACTCATCCATTCCAGATAAAGATTACCTGTACAATGGACTGGTGGCTCAGGACAGAAGCTCATCAACGTATGCCCTCTGTTTCACTTCATCCTTGTGTTTGAGTAACACGGCCAAGACCTCAATTGGGGGACTGAGATTCAAAGAATTTGCGCGTCTCCATCGCTTCAACCGAGCAATTCCAATGCAAGGCTGGATACCAGTCAGCTAGACGTTCTCCTTGAACACCAGAAAATGTTGGACACTGGAACCTATGATACACGAAGCAAACGTACCCCAAATTGACTAGAAAGATCAAAATGTCGCAGGATCTTTTCATGTAGTGTGAGATCTTGCTGGTGAACTGTCGCGCATATCGTTAGTGTTTTGACCCTGCAATGTGTCCTATGACCGGAGATGACCAGTGGGAACACTAACACCGAGGCGCCTTTCTCTTCTCTTCCTCTTTTCTCCAGTATTGCTGTAGGTCCTTCTCGGTGATCTTGATCGCCTTTTCGTCTTCTTTCGACAAGGGCTGTTCAATCTCCGCTTGAGCTTGTTGCCTCACGGCAAGCTCCGCCACATGCGGCTGCGAAGGCTCAGTGGGTGAAACCGACACTTGTTCAGGCTCTGGGGTCTTTTCAGAAATTGAAGCGATGACTGGTTCAAGATCTTTGGCCTTCTTCGTTTGCGTCGGTGTCGTCGATGGCTTGGTAACCCTGGACTTGGATCCGAATGAGAGGGTGGCCTGGTTAGAGCGGGTGGCCGTGGCCTGACCGCCGCGACGACGAGTAGGAGGCATTTTTGTGATATATGTGCAATATTTAATGGAGGTGTTGCAGAATTATAGTCGGAGTCTACAGCGTACTAAGATGCAGGGTGGAGAGAAAGATCTGGTCTGGGGTCAAACCGGTACTGTGTAGTTCGACGATAGTGGGGACATCGATGTCATAAAGTTTGGGTTGGCTGTTGCACATGGCAACCGAAACCCTCAAGCATGGCCGTTGGGTGAGAAGTAGCACGTCTCACTGAATACAATATACTAGTAGTTTTTTTCTCTCTACTCAACGCTGTCTCTCTATGTATTTCGCCTTCTTTTCTTCGTGTTTTACTTTTTGTTTTCTTTGTTGCCGTCTAGGTCATACATTTAATACTTGCGGTAGTGCCAAGCAACTTACTAGTGAATGCGGCGGCCACTTGGATATAGTCACAGCCCTATACGATCAGTCTGATCGAAAGATAGTGGTAGTGGTGAGATATACAGGTTGAATCAGTAATGGAGTCTAGCTGAGCTATCTAGCAACAGTCGTAAAACTAATGTGTCATGCTACGTCTCGTCGAGAATGCGTTCGGGTCCATCCAGGCAAAGAATATATATCTGAACAGAGAATCTCCCCGACAAACCCTATATCACTCATTATAATCTCTATGAACGGATACCTTAAATTTAGTAATAACATAGAAATATGTATTCCAGTAGTAAATTATGATATTTTCTAACTCTACGCAGATTTTAAAACCACGCCATCCAATTCTCAATACCAGAACCGGAACAGTGATATCCTCTTCCCAAGTTATCTACTATTATACTATTCCATCCCATATTCTAAATAATAGCAGTCTACTCCATAGTAGTCATCACGTTCCAAGGGGCCCAATACAATAACTAGGCTTCAGCATTAATCGGCTTCCGATACTACCTCTATCCCTCCAAGGTGGCTGTTAACAGCTGCGATCTCGCTGACATCCCAGCAGAGGAGTGACCGGGCGACCGTGTGAAACATGTGTACTCCGTATCCTAATACAATAAGGATTGTTTCAAGACCGAGTGCGGAATCTTTCTGTTTGTTGGACAATATTGACTGATCCTGTCACTTGCAGTAAAATATATATGCTTCGATTGTGACGTAAGGACCAAAACGTGAAGAAGTTGGTAGCACTCAATCATTGATATAGATCACCTTTTGATGATATAGCTGGTGCCTGATGTGTCGCTAGGGACTTAAGCCTACCGCGTTGTTGTTGTTGTTGTTGTTGTTGTTGTTGTTGTAGTAGTAGTAGTAGTTGTTGTTTTGACTCTATTCCTGGTACATGGAGGGGGGCTGTTCACAGGGCAGTGACAGGCCGTCGAGGCCAATGAGACATTCAGCCTTGTTGGGTCTGGTGGGTTCGAGATGCGAAGTGTACCAGTGGTTCATCAAGTCTTATTTATAGACAGGAGAGGTCTGGGCATGATGGCAGGATTGCTTAACCTTCTTTCAAGAATAGTATAGACGACGAACAGAATGAAACAGGAGGTTAAAGAAAGAAGACTTCAGTAAAGTGCTCAAGTTGAATTGAACGAACGTGCAAAGGTGTGGCTCTCGTATTCATGGAAATGAGTTGTTGCCGATCCGCTGACGGAAGAGAGTGCATGTTAGCCCGGAAAGGGTTGGCAAAGCCGCCGATCGAATCGAGGCTCGAACAAGAGGTACTTGTTGTAGCCGCCGCAATCGACTTGCTCCTCAATCACAACTTCCACCCACCCCCACATAGGCGGCTATTCAACACCGATTCCTGTGCCCTTTTACGCTTATTTAAAAATTCCCCGGTTTCACTTACCCCAAACCTGAGACATCTGCGCCTTTGGCTTCAATACTTGCCAATCGAACAAACCGTACGTCGTCTTGCGATCCACTGGGAGGTCGTCCGAGCGCTTCACCAGGACAACACGAGCCGCTTACCGTAACTGCGCCGTCGCAAAAGCTTCGGCGTAAGGCGATCGAGCGGAAACCGCTGGCCCAGCCGGTATCTATGAGCCTTTCAACGAATTTGAGGTCGTCGAGGTCGCATACCCCCCGGATAAGCTCTGGAGCGCATCCCTCTCAGCCGCCCCATGGTGGTGTGGGTGTAGCGCTCTCAGCATGGCCGCCTTCGTGCGAGTGTCGGGGCCGCCGAATGGCAACTTTCTGATCGGATATCCAGGTATATCCGCAACTATGGTGAGTGTTAGCCTTCCCTCCCCTTGATATGGCATGAGCGTCGCAATAACCGGTTGACTAGCCTCGTATTGAAGGCAAGGTTGAGATCAGGCCTAGTGTCGGCATTACGGCTCCCGTCAATATATCTCTCGTTACCATTTCTCTCCACCGTCGTGAGACAATACACCCGTCGGCAGATTCCGTTACCAAGAAACACCTGGCCCCTCCTCGGAAAGAGATGACAGATATCGTGGGCAAGGAGATGCTGTTGTTTCGCTGCCCCGCCGGTCGAGAATACGAGGAGGTTATTTCCATGGATCTGCCTTTCGTCCTTTTCATCCCCTTCGGCCGCAGTGGGAAAGATGCGACTCGGCGAGTCCCTCCCGCGAGTTTACAGCTTCCGAGTCGAACGGCCGAGACATACTACGAGATTGTGGTGATGGTCCAACAAGGACATTCAGATCAGAGAAAATACCCGTTTCCAGTGCCCATTGCGCGCTACGATACACTTTCTACATTTGGGATGTATAATCGTCCTGAATTAGCAGAACGGGTAACAGATCACTTGGTCACTCTGGGCATCTCATTACCACGATGGTCTTATGGCCCACTGGACCCAGTGAGTGTCTATGTCAAACTATCTCCAAACCCGGATTGGATGAGCAAAGCTCGGAAGGTTACAATAAGCAAGATTACCATTGGCATCGATGAAGAAATCATATATAATCACGAAGGTGATGAGCCGCAGAGGAAGGTGAAAACCTTAACAAAGAGGACTGAGCATATTGGAATGAAGCTGCCACCGTCGGGTTTCCTAACAAACCTCGGCTTAGTATTTCCAGCGAAGGATATGCGAGATTCCGAGGGAATACTTCCTAGAGGGAAAGCTCCTTTTCCGATGTATGCTGTGAGTGGGTTCACGACCACCGCAACCCTTTATAAGATTGAGTACTACTTAACGGTAAAGGTTCGTATTTGAGTTCGCCCAGACCCTTCCGAATAGTTAGTAGGATGAAGCTCACTGGCTATAGGCCCACTTGACATCTGCAAGGGATATTGTTATTCGACAGCCAATAGTTGTCTGCCCTCTTGATCACGCCGGGTGTAAAGAAGAAATGGAGGCTATTGAGCAGGCCGCTCGAGATGCTGTCCATGTGAACCCAGATAACCCCATGTTACCCTTACCCTCGATAGTACGACCCAGTGACCCTAACGCTCTTCGTCATCTCGGAGTAGCCATTGTGGGTAACCAGAAGAAGCCTTTGATCGATTGAGTAAAGGCAATGACTAAACTTCTGGATATCCTCATTGGGAGTCCGACGTCTTGCTCAATTTTGGTAATGGAGGTTTCCACTCTTACTACGCCGAACATACAAGATAGGACTCAGCCTGCACTGCGAGATTCGCGTGCAATTCCCAGCTCGCCAAAAAGCCGAGCACGATCACGTTTCACGAATGCATGGGTCCCGGAGTTATTTGTTGCATGGTGTTCATGATAGCCTTTGTATTTCGTCTTCGCTGGCCGGGAGGAAAACGGGGTGTTTGGGTTTGATTAGCATTCAGGGAGGGACCCCGTTGGCCAGGGGTCACTTGTTTTTGATATCATTCCCTAACTGTGTACGCTCAATCTAATATGTAAGATCTACTGGTAGAGTCTGAGAAATAAACCAAGCGCATCTATGCACAAGGATTGACTTTGTAAGTGGGAGATAAGCAACAGGACAGAAGCTCGGCTAGGTACTTTGTGCATCAGTTTAGGAGGCAATTCTGGTCTGGATACATGCTTCTTTCCTACATGCGGATATCAGGCGTGCATCCGCAGTATGGTAAGGCTGTTTATCTTATTCCGACCAGTCTTTCTTGTCTCCCAGAAAGCGGTAGTCATATTCAACTGCTCTCTATGCCCCCGTCATATCTCAAAAGTTGTCCAGATACTAATATTGGATAGGGCGTGGACTCTTGAGTGCCTTTGTCGGTAGAGAGGGCCTACTTCCCAATGTCCAAGAAACCCATTGCCAGACTCAATGTATCCGGATCCAAAGAAAGAGAGGTTTTTTTTCGATCGCTTTCGATATTCCGGAGGCAATCTTTGAGGATTTCTAGAACTGTCTGGTATTGTTTGGAGGAGGAACCGAAAGTAGTCAGCGCATTGGTAAGATTAACGGAGATCTGATGAGCCAGCCAAATGATTAATGAAGGGTTCGGTGCGAAAGTGCGAGTGATAAGTATACACACCTGGGTAAGGATCTCGTTGTACTTGACGCCGTTGTCTATGACATCGAGGTCCATGGGTACTCAGTACCAGCCCATGTGCCCATGGACAGAGAATAAGAGAGAGTGTGTGGTGAAAGGGAATCAATAGAACTTCCCCGCGGTGGGAAAGTGGAACTGATTAACTCTGATAAGCTCGGGCCACCCGAGATTTTTATCGCCAATCGATCTCCGGAAATTTACCTTGACCACTCACTTGCTCTCTCGAGCTCTAGACCTCTTCCTTACGTCTGGACCGGTCTCCACCTGCTGCAGGTTCCTTGAAGCCTTTTTTAATCCTCTATTGACGGTTTCTACTTAGACCCAAAGCTACTATAACCATCAAAATGGCCGACACAGATGAGGCCGCCATCCACCTCCCATCGCATGACTCCGCGGCACACATCGACATGGACTTGTCCGATGAGACGCAGGACTTTCGCATGCTGAGCAATCTTTCCTTGTCAGTATTACTGGTTCCTAGCCCATACGGTATAGAGTTATACGGTGGGCTGACTCGGAGGACAGCCTCGCAGATACATCGCAAGCTACTCTCCCCAAACGCGGTGAAAAGGACTTCGAACCGAACCCAACCCTCTACCAAGCCGATATCCTAGACGCCTCACGCCAGGCTATGCACAATGCCCTGGCACATCCGCGGTTACACAATCCAAAGAACCAGATCATTGGCATCTACGCCCCCGATGGACCTGCTCCGCCTCGGTCATTAGCTACGCCAAAAACACTTGACACCATTGCAGAGAATGATACCCTAGCACACACCGCCGATGCGGAGGAAAGTCAGCCTACAAAGCCCGCAGGAACTGGGACAAACCTTCACCCGGATTCCTGCGTCTACGTAATGAACCCGAAAGGACAATTCTTCAAGAACATGGGACGTGCGGATCGGTGGGGTCGGATCTGGCTTCTGCCGGAGGAAGCTTTGTATATGCTTGAGCGAGGTAGTCTGGATGTTAGGTGGCCGCGGTCAGCAACGGGGTGTGAGGATGATGGTGAGACGGAGGATTCTGGGATCCCGATGAGCTTGCAGGCTGCGTATGCGTGTTTCATTGGACATGGGGGTTTGACGGTCGATCGGTTTTCAGTTTACTCCGGATTGAGAAGGCTGGGTTACACACTTATCCGAGCTCCTGGGTGGTACGATGATGCGGAGGAAGATTTTGAGCAGCCAGAATCGACCAAGCGACAAGGTCCTGGTCTGGCGGGGATCTATGGGCGGTTCATGGATTGGCTGCATAGCTCTAATACCACGGCTCTAGGACCCGTTGCTGGTCTTGGGATCCATCGCAGTTACAGTGAGTCAGACTCTAAATGTTTCATTAACGCGATTCCATTCTAACGCTGTATAGATGATATCTACCGCAAGCTTTCGATAATTCCGTTTTACGATCCCACAGCTCCTCTGTCCCAAGCTCCGCACACGAAACCACCCTTCCGCGTTGTATTCTATGTCTATAAACCGTCTACTCCATTCCGCAAATCTGCTCCTCCTGCACCGGACTTTAGAGTTGCAGTCGTCAATGCTCGCACGCAAACTACTGTACCAACACTAGCTCAACTTGGCACCCTCCTGGAGAGTACACCTCTCGATCCGCCAAAAGGTGAGAAGATGGAAAGAATGCTCTACATGCGACTCCGACATGGATACCGGAACGTCGTGTTAGCGGTTGTCGACCAAGGCGTTGTAAGCTACCTCCGGGTCGCCGATGCGGCGTTTGGAAAGGAGAAGCTATACAATAGACCTGCTCCTTCCGGGAACAAAAGAGGTGCGAATCATCGCAATCCCCGGCCGAAGCCCAAGCCCAAGGGCCGGTGATGCCGACCATTATTGGCAATGATTCTGGTTTATTGATAAACACGATACCAAGAAAGTTTTCTAGACATACACGGCAGTACCAGACTATGGGGCGACAGCAGACCATTTTGGTTATGAAACCACACTACTCCTGGTCTGCCATAAAGTATGGTATGAAACAGAAATGTCTCCCCATGAATAAGGTCCTGATCTCCATGGCGAAGAAGGACGAGGACCTAGTAGAAAGGGGGAGCAATGATGTAATCTGCCATCGTCTTTAGAACGTCCGTCTATGGTGAAGACTAGGCGTAGATGCTCAGATGGCGTGTGGTATTCACAGGGAACGAACAGGGCCGTGGTTATTCAGATTGGAACATGATATATAATGTTCATGTCATACATTTTACCCTTTACCATAGTCGTCAGGAAACGATATTCTAGTATCAACCGGATAAACCCATATATACACGAGACGCAACGCCATGTACTCTGTGAAACTCCGCCAGTGAATAATAGTCGAATAATACAGATCATCAAAATCGTAATGCATAAGAGAAGGTATACCGCCTGAGACCTAATTAGCACGACAGCCAAATAGAAATTGCCATTAACATACTCCGTACGGAGACAAAAAATCACGTATCCAGATAATCCGCCGCCATCAACAGCTCCAGACACAACTCGGCCGGAATTTCCATATCTGGAACATTTGCCTGGTTCTTATTCTTCTCGTTATAGCAAAAATACTCGCAGACTTTCTCGAGGACGATTCCGCTGATGTTCTCCAATGTGCAGCGACCTGTCAAGGCCTCGGCGAATTTACCTGAATAACGAGACGAGAGTAAGCACACAGAACCCTAAATCGGGGGACGATAAAGGCTCAAGATGTATTTAGAAAGAAGGGGGAAACGAACTTGAAGGTTCCAGCATCCGACGTATTGTCCCAGAGACACAGGCCGCGCTACGCGGAAGGACAAATTCAAATCCATCACCCGAGACTAACGTCACGTATTCCGAATCGGTGGCTGATGAAGCCATTTTTTTTCTCGTTAAGTGTGTGAAAATGAGGGTAATAAGATGGTAAGGTTGGATTTAAATGATCAACAGTGGACGCGGGACAAGAGAGATAAGAGACGCGGCGTGACGGAAGTTTTAACGTTCTCCACGTGGTCTGTGCGGAAGCTTTCTTAGTCTGTTTTAATTTCAATGTCCGGCTTGATATACTTCATCTGGCATGTATGCTTTTTGGATTGCTTGGTGAACCGATTGTTTTCTTTAAAGTACGGCTGAAGGGGTTGGAAGCTTCATTTATTGTCTCCCTCCTTTTGTTTCGATCCCTTTGAGCGTTCGCATACATTCATTCAGACTCAATAATGAACAACTGCCCTTTGTCGCTATACATCTAAATCGAAACTTGACTGTCATTCAAAGAGCACAATAAGCCAATATGCAACCAATACGGCTCAGCATGCGCAGCGCAACAATGTCAAAATTTCACCTCTCCTCTCTGCGCCCCCAGTACACTAGGCGCATATTGAACACAGCTTTCTCCACAGCTTTCAATGCCCCACCAACGTCACAAAGACGACCCCTCTCCTCCCAAGCACCCAGCACCTCGCCGCGCCTCACCGGTCGGACTTGCATGATCACAGGGGGAACATCCGGCATCGGATTCGCGATCGCAACCCGATTCCTCCAAGAAGGTGCGGAGCGCATCATCCTCGTCGGACGATCGTACGAGCGCCTCCTCAAAGCCGCCACCAACCTCCAAGTCAATGACGAAGGCACCGGAAACCAGGAAGCGGCTGATGAAGCCACACCAAAGTCGCAGGGAACCTTAGTCGAATCTTCAGATAGAATAAGTCTCCTTGTGGGCGATGTATCGGAGGCTGGATCGTGGCTGCGTGAGCTGGAGAAGGCGATGGTATGTTGTACTACATTTTCTTTTTCTATTACCTGACTTTTGTTATTGAGTCTGGATGGACAAACCTATGAATGGGGAGACTGACAAAGCATCCCAGCAATCCGTCGACATTCTAATCAACGCAGCTGGGATCTCTCACTCGAATATTCTTCCCAAGACATCCCCCGAGGAAATCTCGCAAACCCTCCGGACAAATCTTGAAGGCGCAATCTTCACATCCCGCGCTCTTCTCCGCGCCTCTCTCCGTAACAGGCTGAAAAGCCGTACCGGTGAGGCCCGGCCCGCCTCTAAATGCATCATAAATATCTCGTCATTACTCGCGCTGAAAGGCGGAACTGGCGCGGTCCCATACGCCGCTTCGAAAGCGGGACTTCTTGGCCTCACTCGGTCGTTAACAGTTGAGGCGGCTGGTTCTCTGCGTAATGTGGTTGTGCGGTCGAATGCGATTGTGCCGGGGTATATTGAGACGCCGATGATTGCGGACTTTAGTGAGGGGCAGAATGAGAGGTTGAAGGAGAGCATTCCGCTCGGTCGGTTTGGGGCGCCGGAGGAAATTGCGGATGCGGCGGTGTTTTTGGCAGGGAATGAGTATGCGAATAATTGCGTTATAAATCTGGACGGGGGGTTGAGTGCTGTGTAATATATTATGTTATATCTGGGGTTGGTTATGTGTATATTAGGATATTGGTGAGGGCTTATAGGGTGCTGTAGTCCTCTGAGATTTACTGCAGTGTACGATAATCTCAGTTATGATAAAAAGTAAATTCATCGACTCATTCGTGTATCTCCGTTGGAACGCCTCGCCGAAGTATGCACATTATGTCTTCGGTCAAACTAAATAGCACCAACGGTAATCCCTTCGTCCAATCTATTCGAACCAAAAGCATGATATGTTACAGTAGATGGAAGGGAACAGAAGCAAAAGATATCTCTGGTGATCCACCCAAAACTCAAGGAACAACCAATGTGTGAGAAAAAAGCATTGCATAGAGAAATATGTCGAAGTGGAGAGGAAGCAATTGGCCTCCATGTGCCTCTCTTTTTTTTCGTTCAGTCGTCAATTAAAATCGCACCTCCTTCCGTCTCATCTAGTACAATAGGATTAGACCCATCGCCATCAGCGACAGATATACTTGCCAAGCGCTTTGAACGGTTTTCGCCGTTGGTGAGGCCGGCTTCCTCCGCATTGCGTTTGCGCTTGTTTGGATCCGATGTGCCATTGACGTGCTCGCTAACGGTAGGTGTAGGTGCCCGTGGTTTCCGGGGGATTTCAGGGACCTTTACTAAAGCGATCGGCTTTTGTTCTCCTGTAGAGGATTCCGACCTATTCAACCGTTAGTGATCTATTCAATCAAGTCGATTGACTCCACACGGAGATGGTTGGAGGCTTACTTCTCAGTCAGAACAACTAATTCAAGGTTCACACGCGGCTGCTCGTCCTCCTCGTCTATAATTGTGATGAGACTTTCATTGCTCACACCCAGTTCCGATAGCTTCTTAGTCAGGTTATCTTCGAGGTCAGGGTCATAAATTGTGCCCAGCTCGTTGCTGACTGAAAGCTCTTCACCGTACCCTAGTTGTAAGCGGAGGACATCCTGTACCAAGTCGTTGATGGTGGCACGCTCTGGGTCAATCTTTACCCTGGCCTGGGCGACCGAGCAAACAGGGCAGTTGGGGTTGGGTGGCTTCAGAGAATCGGAATTAATTGCACGGGCACCCGACCGTTCGAGGAAGACCTATTTTTCATGAGTTCAATACACGGCCACATGAGTAAATAGAATGGAAACCTACCATTTTGGCATGCGCGTAATCATCCTTCAAGACCTTAAATGCCTGTAGGACACACAAGCCAGCAGTCATGGCGTTTGTGGTCGCGATTGCTGGTATAATATTACCGGCCATTTCTGCTCACAGTCAGCAAGCCCTGGCTGTGTGACAGCCTCACTGCGAAAGCACTTACGTTTCGTATCAAACTTTGATTTGGGCTCAATTCCGAATATTGTTGCTCGCAGGTTAGCACTAGCGGTGACGAAGTCTAGCGTATCCACATCGTCCTTGTCAAACACCAGGATGGGCTTGACATCGCTCTTTGTTGCGTCTAGCAGGGTCTTCAGTCGCTTACTCAGTCGATCCAAGCTGTGATACATGTCAGTCAACAGAATCAGCACTGGTTGGATGACGGATAAGTCGAACCTATCCTTAAAAACGACCCAATCCTCGGCTAAAGTCCAGACTTTTTGATCGTTACAAGAAACTATAGGCTCAATTGATGAAGCCTCTTCCTGTATCTTCTCAAATTCCAGGGGTTCCGGGGCCTTCCGGGTCTTCCACATATCCTCCATACCACGTAGTCGGTCTATGTCCTCCTTGAAAACCTTTGTAAATACCTTATGAGCAAATTCGGGGGAGCCCATGGATTCGCGGATTTCTTTGAGAGCCTGGGCCTCTTTCCGTAGATTCGCGATTTCTTCCGCTGCGCAGGGTTAGCAATCTTTGCCTCAGACTAGATCGCAATTCATCAATATGACTCACCATTATTGGCATCTTCAGTACTATCCAACTCTGGCGTCTCATCCTCGCTTGTTCCAAAAAGCTCGCTAGACCTGTTTAGTTCATATCCTGCCGACTATAGCCCCTCCAATAACTTACGGGAAAAGATAGCTTTTCGCCCAGACAATACAATGAATAGGTTGGCTCGGTGTACTGCGGATGGTGCACACGGGGAATGATTTGGGAACTTCTTTTGAGTTGCAGTCGTAACATTCCGTTTGGCCCTGTCGATGGTCAATTAAAGCCAGCCCACTCATGTGGACGCATTGGGTCGCCCCCATATCCTACCTTCTTGATAACTTGAACCTGACCGTTGAATCCGGTAGTTCCACTTTCAATCAGCGGCACATCAGCTGCTAGACACATTCTATTGACATGGCGACGGGCTTCCAGATTGTCAAGTGCATTGAAGACTACGTCGAAAGTCGCGAACCAGTCCACGTTGAAACGGCTATCCTTGATATTCGCATGGTAGGCTTCGAGCTTCGCACTTGGTTGGAACTTTTGGGCAACTTCCTTCGCGACCTGTGCTTATGAAAAACTTTCGTCAGCTCCTCTTCGTCTTGAGACGATGAAAGGTGCCGGAAGGGTATCAGGGTGGGAGGTTGCGCAGGTGACGCCACGGGCGGGGCAGGAAGGGTGGACGGTTCAGTGTGTGACGCACCAATGCCTTTGATTTTTTGATGTGTTCAAAGCGGAAGAGAAACTGACGATTCAAATTGCTCAGGTCGATGGTATCAAGATCGATGATGTGGATTTCACCGAACCCAGAGAGCAAGAGGTTCTTTAGCAGCTCGCAGCCGATACCACCGGCACCCACGAGGAGTACGCGCGACTAGAGAGAATGACATGAATTAGCTTCCGAGATAAAAAGAAAGTACGCATAAACTCTGGGTCAGAAGAATTGAATACCTCCTTTAAGCGTCTGGACAAGGTCCCGAGCGAGCGCTTGGAGTAAGTGTCTCGCGGCATGATTGAGAGCGCGAGAGCAATGTGAAGGTGGAATGAGTGGCAGCTGAGGTCAAAACAGGGCGACAGTCATCGCCAAATGAGAGAGGATTCAGCAAGGAAAAGATTAAACAGAGCGACGCTGCAGGGGACGGCAGAAATGAGCGAAAGTCCAGGACCGGATGATTGATTTCGGGAAATGCGAAATGCGTCGGAGAAGCACCGCGCTTTAATTAGTCCCAAATTGGGGGCCTGGTATGGGCAATGACGACACCGCTGTCCAGAACACGAGACTTTCCCTCACTTCTTATATCCGTGCCCTTTTTCCTTTTTTTCTTCTTTTTTTCCTTTTACTAAATAAGAAAAGCTAGTCATGCATAAATAGTGGTCCTACTAAAAGTCTCGGACAGCGAATGCGATCAAACGATTGGACCCCAGCGCAATCAATCTGAATTGAATTTATTGGTCACCTTCATTTTATGCTATATTTCTTGTTCGCATCCGATCAGTCCCGCCTATTGGCCGTCCAGCTTCCCACGTTCAACCAAACGTACAGTAGCTTACCTGCTAGTAGACAAAAGTACATTCGATGATATCTGTGGTGGGAGACATGTGTACATACATGCGTTGCATAGGAGATTCGTTCATTTATATGAAAGTTTCGATTCGTGTTCGGATTCATCCGGGGAAGACAAGGCTGTTTAAGCTACACGTATTGGGCAGAGTGACTGCAGCTAGTTTTGTTTGAAACGGAGAGGTCTATCTACCGTAATATTTCAATCGTAACACAATCTATACTAGTCGTAGTTTGTCCTCTATAGTGTTGAGAATAGGTGAATGTTTTGGTCCAGTATGAAGAGTTACAAACAAGATTCTATTAGAAGGCCCTATCAATGATCCATATATCAGGAGTAACTTCTTTCTTGACTCATACATTTCCCTAAGGCAATATTATTTGCCGGACCAAGAGTCCGCACTCCCGCCCACAGGAGAATCCAATGCAAGTCCCCGAAAAGAGACCATGAACAAGATCGCTCATATTATCCATACTTTGGCTAACTCATCCTCCTAAAGTAAGGAAAGAGAGGAAGGCGGTGCGCATCATTTATCTGATAAAATAGTAGTTGACTCCTATGAGACCGAAATATTTTCAAGACAATCATATTAACTTAGTAAGTGTATGTACCTTAGTGGGGAGTTCGTTGCCTGTACCAAATTTCCATCTTTTATACCTCCGGTACTCCGTACATCTATTCAGGTTCATCGATGATGGTCCAATCGCATTGTCCCTTTGGCTGACTAACCAGGGCCTTATCAACTCCAGGAAGGAAAAAAAAAAAAAAAGAATTAATTCTCTTAGATGAGATCCATTCTTTTTGTTCCTGCAAGGGTCAATGGATTTCTTTCTTTTTTTTTGTTTTTGGTTCGATGACAATTGTGCGTAAATAAAAGGGATTCCGGGACCCATTCTTAAATTTCCAAAAAGCAACTAAATTCAAACGCCCTTTATGGGCCCTTATTAAATTAACAAAACTTGACTCTATTTTTGCCCAACCGATCGTCCACCAAAGCAACCGGACTTTTGCCTGATCGTCGCTTTTGGTTCAAAGCAGTACAAACGGTCGTGGGGAATTCGGTGCGCTAGTACTGTCGGTCTTTGTTTCCTCCTTTTTTTTTTCTGTGTCTATTATATCTGGTCTCCAACTTTTCCCGTCCTTGATCTCTTTGTCTGTTTTTCTTTGATTATTACCCCTCTTAAAGTAAAATTTGGGGTTTTTTTTTGGATAGTATTCCCTGTTGATATCAAGAACCGGGACACAAGGGGACGGCACCATTATGTCGGACGACGAAGCAGATCCCGAATTGCTCGCTCTTTTACGCAAGTCGCTTGGGCTAGGGGGAGGGGCAGCAAACCCACGCGCAGCAGAGACTAAAGTTTTGGAAAATGCGCAGTACGTTTTCGACAATGCTATTGATGTCGCATTGAACTCTTCCAAGACCAAAGAAGCTGCCGAGACCATCTGGCGCTTGATGCAGAAAAAGGAATATTCCACGCAAACATGGTCGGAGCATGAATTACATCCCAAGACCAAGGATGAAAGTACCGTGGATTTTATTTTCACCATGGATTTGCTGAATTTCAGTTTCTGGTCGGAGCACCCGGAGGAGAGACGCTTCGCTATCGAATATCGCGGCAAGAAATGGACTGGGTACTGGAGCTTGGTGGCTGCGTTGCAGAGGGCTTTGGATGAGGGTAGGTTGTGCATATTTATTATGATCCAATCTGTAATTCCTTCTGGCGCGCTGTAAATGCTAAGACTTGCAGAGATCCCCATTACGAGCCCCTACTTCTGGGTGAATGAGGACGAATGTTCTGAGTCTCTGCTCAAGCATGTATTTCGATCGGTAACTGATGAGGAGATTCCTCTCCTGCAAGAGCGTCTTCAGTGCCTGCGAGAAGCAGGCCGAGTCTTGTGTGAGGTATGTTGAACAGCACTTGAAGAACATCAGTAGCCTATGTAGGTTTTAACAGCCGATTTATTTAGGACTTTGACGGTAGTTTCGTCAACTGTATCTATAACGCCAACTACTCTGCGGCGTCCCTGGTGAACCTCATGGCTGAGAGTTTCCCCTGTTTCCGGGATGAAACCACCTTTCAGGGACGGAGGGTCCGGGTCTATAAACGCGCACAAATCTTAGTCGCAGACTTGTGGGCCTGCTTCAATGGCGAGGGCCTTGGCGAATTCCATGATATTGACAAAATCACAATGTTTGCAGGTGCGTCCCACCCCCTAATTTACCTTCATTAGCTATAGTTCCTTGTTTTGATGGTAGGATTCCAAACTAACCATGATCCAGACTACCGAATTCCTCAAATACTAAACCAACTCGGTTGTCTTATGTACTCTCCACCTCTGGAAAGTCATATTCGCGACCTTAAACCGATCCCCAGTGGCTCTACTTGGGAGGTCGAACTGCGCGCAACTAGCATCTGGTGCGTCGAATTGATTAGACGAGAGATTGAGAAGAACCACCCAGATGCGAAACCCAAAATAAAACCTACAAAGTCTAACGGACATGCGGCCAGTGTGGACCGCCGCCAAAGCCTCACCATATCGGCACTAGACGAACAGAGAAAGTGCACCACACAAAAACACATTACGCAGACCAGCCCTGCAAAGCCCGCATCGTCGGGCGTCAATGCAATCTTGATAGATTTCTTGCTGTATGACACCATGAAAGAGTTAGAAAGAGACGGAAAGGAACAGCTTCCCCATCATCGCACAAGGAGTATTTGGTATTAAAGATTAGAAACACTTTGCTTTACCTGTTGATTTTTGGTCAATATACCCTTGGCTATTACTGTTAGGGGATTGAGTTCTCCGGTGCTTTTCATTCATTCTTTGCTGTTTGGGGGGTTTGGATAGACATTGATACCATTTCTTTGCTTTTCTGCGCTGGTAGCAGCGATGTCTTTTTGGATGGCCATCTAGAGCCCATGACCCATGACCCACGACATAGACTTCCTTATAACAATGCTATCTGACCCTTAGGAGACCTGTCGCTAGTCCGAACTCTGCTAACGTCTAATTTTCTGTTCACACCTTTAAAAATTTCTTTCGGAGATATAACTGGAAGCACTCATCGCTCAACTTCAGCTACTTGACCTGGGCCTATATGGAGCATAGCGCTCCGACATCCCGTTCCTCCTATCAATATTTGCCTAGTGCGCCCTGTTCGGAGAAGAACTAGAGGAGTAAGATTACATTTTCAAATCGACACCCAAAATGGAAAATCCGTAGGGCTGCCGGCCAACCCGTCGCCCAGCGCCCTGGCCAAGACCGACAAAAATAGAAGAACTGATATAAACAATATCCTATTCGATACCAAATACGACCCAGAAAAGTATGAAAAGCCTTCCGACGCACTATACATTAACAAAGACATGCACGGCATGTGCTTAGATCAGAAAACTTCTTCATGGCGCTAGGGTAGAACGTATATTAACCTTCATGCTCAACCCTCACTTGCATACAGCCTACTTCCATCTTCTCTCCCCAATACCTTATACCTCTGCTCCCAGGCCCAACAACCAGCAAAGATGTACCGGGCCCTAATCCTCCTCCTCACCAGCTATTTGGTAGTCTTAGCCACCAGCCAAACAATCGCCTCAGAAAACACACCCACAACCGCAGACCCAGGCGCAGTATTGCCTCGATCTGGCTTCCAAATACTACCCAAGAGGGCCTCTCCCAAGACGACCCCCCCCAAAGTCTCACCCCTGCAGAAGGAATGCAAAGACATCAAGATCAAAGCAGGACCTTCAGTTTCTAAGGGACATCCGGAACAGCAACTGTTGACGGCATCCTGCCGCATCCCTGGGACGGATAAAAGCCAGTACTCCGAGCTGAGTCTGGACCGTTGTCTTGGGTGGCACAAGAACAACGACGGCAGTGGAAGACTTTTCGCAATGAAGCAGTACGTATACTACACCACACCTGTTCATGCACGCCATGTTGTTGTGAGTGGGTGAGTGATAGGCTAACGAACACCAGTGGCGGAGGACTCTCTAAGGCAGGAGGGGAGTGCTCGACATGTCGGTATCTTAATTCCAACCCTAATATGCTATGCTACTGCGCGAACGTGCGTGACGATGAGAAGACCTATGTGAACCCAGCTACGGCTTCGTGGACGGGTCCTGTGTTTTATAACCTGTGTAAGTGGTCTGTCTGATGTATATGGACTATTTTCTGATTGAGGGTTATAGACGAGGCGCTCCAAGGCGGGAAGTATTTGATAGAGGTCAATCAGAAGGGGGTTCTCTCGTGCCATGGGATAGCTGGCGAATCCAAATAACGCCCCTAGAAACAGTTGGCAGTCTTGGAAGAATCCTACAAAAAACGGTGCTTCAAGTTGAAGATTGAGCAAGAGCTAGGGGTAAATGGAATGTTATCGGGGTTTTCATATAGATAAAACACATCAAGACTGTTTGGGTATAGGAACTCTATAATACAAATAGCAAGCTCTAATGATACATGGGGTAGAACGGAGGCATTGATGACGAAGCAGTCCAAAATACGTTGATATAATAAGAAAACAAGAACGACAATCGCCTTCAATAACTCATATCCTCAAAAACCGTTATTCGGAAGAAGTGTATATTAGACGGGTAAGACGCCGAGATTCTGCGAGGCAGTCTTTTGTATTTGCTCAATTCTCGCTAGGACTGCTGCCTTCCACTCAAGGTAGTCTTCTTTGCGATCGTCGCTTAACCAATCAACACGATCCTGCATCATGGTACCAAGGCCCGGCAGAAGGCCCTTCCTGGATGAGTGCTTGGCTAGGGAGCGACCCGATTTCGTTATCTTTTGCCGTTTGGCGTCTTTACCTCTTTCTTCATACTCGCCGTAGCCGTCCTCATCGGAAAGATATGCATCATCCCCGGCCAGTTCTCCAGCCTGTGGGATGTTTTCAAACCATTCCTTTCCATTGGCCCAGCGTTGCTGCATTATTACTGCGATCCACTGGTCGACATCCTCACGATGTCTTCTCTCGGTTGGAGGGAGACCAATGCTCACTAATGCAGTCTGGCGCATCTCAGAAAATGTCTTTTTGTCGAGCTTCTTTGTTTCCCCTTCCCCTTCGGATAATGGGCTTCGTCTGCGGGCGAGAGCCAGAAAATACACGGCTACCACCAGAGCGTTGACGACCTCTTTATAATCTTCATCATTCTCTTTATCTTTCACAATCAGGATAGGCTCCAAGAACTCCAGGGTTTCTTCGTCGAAATCATCCTCATCCTTAGCGGAAACTCGAGAAATGAAATACAGGATGGATGATACACCCGCAAAGACATGGGGCGGCAAGCTTCTTGATATTGGAGGCCGGGACCATGTACTCGTCCGTGGAGCTGGAGTAGATAAAGTTTTACACACGCTTCGAATAGACGTCATCACCCAGGCAGGTGCATCGGGAATAATCGTAGAGCCAGGAAGGCCATGAGAGAGGACTTTAGACTTCTGGGGCGTTTGAGAGCGAGCTTCGCTTTCTTCGTGTGTGATAGCCTTCTTTAATGGCGTGGATTTGCTCGTAGTGTTCTGGAGTTTATGCGGCGTTGCTGCAGTTTTCGGAGGCGTCCGGGTATGCTTCGAACTTTTCCTAGGGGTGGACGAAGCGGACCCGGCGCGTGAAGGTGTTTCTGAGATAGAGCTGCTCCCTGCACGCTTTACTCCAGCTACACTATTCGAAAGGGAGCGATCAAGGAATGCATAGAGCTTTTTGTAAGCACGCGGAGGACATGGCGGATGGCCCATCAAAGGGGGGAGTTTGAGGGCCCGAGTTAGCCTAAACACAACCAGCTAGTCAGTGTACCAATTAATTAGGAAATGGCTCAATGACAGGGATAGGACGCTAAACACACCGGCGGCAGGCGATCTCGGCACAAGCATAAGGGCGTGCGATTTCTTCCTCTGGCCTTAGGCTAGTAGAAAAGCTGCGAGATTGCGCGACAAGAGATAAGGCCAAACTGCGGAGCTCTTGAGGCAGGTCATCGGCGTGGGTCGGCAACAGCGTACCCAATGCTTGTTCGACAGGTTTGTTGTTCATCCTGTACGTGAATACAGGTTCAAATATTGTAGAATTGGAGTGTCGATGTCTTGAAAGTCCGTGTAATTTTTTGTTAACTAAAGGCGCGTCGTTATCGGCGTCCGTCATGTGACCGTGTATTCAATTTGATAGTAAATGCGGCGAAAAAGTCCGAGCTCCGTTACATGTTTCGCCGTCGCCAGTCCTCCCAACCTCCAATATTCTCATACATAGCTCACTACTTTATCGAAGAGTCATGTCGGTTACTGTGAGTTCATTGTAATGTCATGAATGCGCATACGCTTCCAGATGATCAACTAACCACTATGGATACTTAACAGCTCCACACCACCCAAGGCGACCTCAAGGTCGAGCTCTTCTGCGAGGCAGTGCCCAAGACAGTAGAGGTATGGGATATCGCGCCCTACGTGGACTAATATTTTTACCTCATAATTTTGCTTCGGCTTAGAACTGTACACTGACGCTGAACTGAGTAGAACTTCCTCGCCCTTTGTGCATGCGGCGCATACAACAACACACCCTTCCACCGTCTAATCCCCGGCTTCATGATCCAAGGAGGCGATATCTCTCTCGGACCAGCGGCACACCAATCACAAGAAAGCACCAAACCCATGCTTCCCTTCGACGACATCCCGAAAGGCGGCACATCAATCAACCATCCCGGCGCATTGGACCAGGAAATCCACCTACCTGCTCTTCGACACAATACGCGCGGGATTCTCTCCATGGCAGCACGACCAGTTAAAGATAGGACAGCTCCAGGATCACAAGGCGCTATGGGGGCTACGATTAACGGAAGTCAGTTCTTCATTACGTTTGCCGCTGCCCCGCATTTGGACGGAAACAGCACCGTCTTCGGGAAGGTGTTGAACCTGACAGCACAAGATGAGGGTGGTGATGTGTTGACCAAGCTGGAGAAGGCGAATGCGAAAGTGGACAAGAAGGGCAGGGTTGTGCAGCCGAAAGAAGGTGAGGAGTCGGAGTATGAGACGCTGCGCATTAACGGTGTCACAATACACGCGAATCCACTTGCAAAGTGAAAACAGACGTCTCTAGAAAAGAGTATGCGGGTTTGAGCGTGATATATTAGGCGATTGTCGAACACCACACAAAGCCCCCAAGTCTAGGCGCCAGGGCCGCAATACACAGGACCTAACACCGACGGACTGACTTCGCCAAAGCGCTATGCTGTTCTGGAAAGGGAATCTTTCGCCAGTTTCACACCATGTTTGGATTCATTGGGGTTTTGGAGTCCCTTCCACTCTATTAGAGGTCCATTTCGGCCGAATGGTTACAGACAACCAGCTCGGGTGAGGACTGCAGAGCCTACTGCATCTAACAATGCTTCCTTGGGACCCGGTTATCGAGGTACTTCTAATATGTAGCAGGACGTTGCGTAATGAAATACGCTCCAGTGGTGAGAAGTTTAGAAATTTTGGGCACAAATGTGCTAATATTTCTCAGTGAAATGGATTACTCAACAACATAATATGAAATCAGGCTTATATCTCATTGGAACTTGTCATCGGCATTGTTTATTGTTTATTGAACTTTCGTATACCACCCAAGAGAACCATTAATATATGCCAAACGAAAAAAAGTGATAGAACACCCCGACACTACACCGTGTAAACAAACCACAACTTCATCGGATATCTAGAGCGCAAAACGGGACATAGCTGTTTTGAATGACAATTATGCATGCATGCATAAAAACATATCATAAAAAACTGGAAAGGATGATTCATGTACATCGTGAGGAAATGAATAATGTCGGCAGAAAAAGCAGTCGGGAGACAAACAACCCAATGCAGGTCAATTATGACTTCTGTTCAGCATTCTCCTTTTCATTCTCTGCACCCTCGTAACCTTCGACCTTCATGTCCCTCAGACCGAGCTCTTCTTCTTCCTCCTCGGTGCGGGTGTACTCTTCAGTCTTGATCTGTGGATCGACAGCAGGGGAACACAAGTCCTGAACGTAGCTGTTGGCCATGGGATCTTCGAGTGTGATGACAAACTTCATATCTCCGTTGATAGCAGCATCGAGGCGAGAGAAGAAGCGAGTCCACGTGTCTTTGGTTTCGGGTGCCATGCTGTCTCCTCCAGCGCCACGCGCATCGTCGATATCGAAGATCTGACCGTGTAGTTGGTCACGGATTTCGGTGAGCAGACCCTCAACGGTAGTGAAACGACCACCCAATGTACCAGGCTGAACACTGACCTCCAACTCCTTACTGTGCAGAGCGCAGGTGTCCGACTTGAGAATATCACGCGCGAGGTCAACCTCATTCTCGACACTAAGGGTGATGCGCTTGCCCTTCTCTGGAACTTCACCACCAGTCTTAACTTCGCTAGTTCGGTATCCGCAGTGCTCGCAAGATGTGCTCCAGATAATGACGTCCTTGAAGTATGGGATGTTCACCTTCTTCATGTTGACGAAGCCAGGCTTTGTGCAGCCTGGGCATTCGGTAGGCAGACTGTATACCTGACCATCGACGATCTCAGAATCTTCCCATTCTTCTCCCTCGTGCTGCACAGCATTGGGGTCCGCGGAGATCCCAAGCGCTTCATTTTGCTCGTGCGTACGAGGATAGTCGCGACGTTTGTAGTTGTTTCCACTGTCGTTGATAGTAGGCGCGATCCATGAGTTACCAGTAGGGTCATCCAGAGAGACTGTGAAGGGGAAGCCCTCTCGGTTTAGGATTTTCTGGAGGTTTTCGATAATCGGGACAAGCGCATCGTGAAGGTCAGGTGCCTGGGCCTTGCGCAGGGGTTGCTCGCTAGACAGCGACTCGTGGATTTTCTGGATCACTCCTTCGACAGTTGTGAACTGACTCTCGCCCTTGGGCATCTCGATATCCAAAGATTCTACTTTGAAGATTGAAGTATCACTCCGGACGACCTGGCGTTGAAGGTCATCTTCATTCTGTACGGTAAGTGTGTACTTAGCGCCCTTCTCTTGGATCTGACCGGCGGATTTGACAGAGTTGTCCTTGAGGTAGCAATGGGGGCATTCGAAGGATTCCAGGATAATGTCGCGGAAGTAAGGTACTCGGAGGAGAAGAAGCCTTGTGGTTCCCTGAAACCGGGTTAGTCGCGCCGCTATAACACTTATATTCCAGCTGTTGAACGTACGTTCTTATGACAGTTCATACAAAGACTTTCCACGGACATCACACCAGTGTCCTCATTTCGCTCCACCAAGTCACCAGGCTTCTGGAACTGCGACTCGACAGGAGTCTCTTGCTGGACTGGCTTATCTTCTACCGACATTTTGAAGGTTAGATATCAAGAGGTGTCTATTAAAGGAGAAAACAAGATAATAAGGTATAGAGATCTATAACGCGCAAATGAGAGGAAGAATCCACAGATATATGTGACAATCTTTACATCCAATAATGTCTAAGGAAAGTAAAAATTTCATCAGCAAGTGCGGGAACGTTCCTTTACTTTCCACTATCGCTGTGGCGGGGCACAAGTTTTTTTCTTTGGAGGGGCAGAAGCCATTAGTCAGCCCGAGGGATAGTTAGTTAACTAACGGGATTAATTTTATGTCATGGAGAGTTGTTAGTATGGAGTCGAAGAGTCGAACCCCACATATGAATGATCCTTGGTGGTATTGTTAAAAATCAGGGCTCAGAATACAACACGGTAGAGATTTCAATTAGGCTCTTGAAGAAACTGTCTCCTATCTATGAGCCAATAATCTCATACAAGCCTACGTCATCTCAGCCCTCATAGCATGGAACCATTTACCGGGTAGCTTTGTGAGAGGATCTATAATGGTAGTTAGCTGTGTCCAGTACACTTGGGTTTGAAATACTTATAAGAAAAAAATGGGCCGTTTCCTCGAAAGGAAACGGCAGTTCACAGGCCACCACCAACCCGCTATCATTCGGCTCGCCAACGCAAGGCTTACAACAGGCCACCTGCGCAAGCACCCATCCCTGGAATCTGATGAAGCCGCTTCGTGTTGCAGTACACCAGTATACTCTCTTCGTTACTCGTCAATCCTACCCGTGGAGGCCACATCCGCATACTAAGCTGCCATGTTCGGAGATATGCACCGAAGAAGCCGAGCAGACAAGCCTAAGCTTTGATCCTCACTCTAGAGAGGTCCTGCAATATGCTTCACATTGTATAAATCTTAGCATAGCAACCGCAGCGGTCAACCAACCAAATGAGTGGGCAGAGCATTGATTTCTGCAACGGAGAGGAGAGCAACATGCATTGTCCCACACGTTTTCAGCGTTCTGTTCCCAGGAAACGGCGTGCGTCGAAAGAGGTTATGTCGTAGTGCCTAATTCGGCAGAAGTTGAACAGTCAGAGAATGGTAGAGCCCGCAAACGCAGATAAGACATGAATAGTGCCTCACGCCCTTTATGCAGAAAAACCGAATGCACAAAACCCTTTCAGAAAGTTTTTAGTCGGACTTGGATCTAAAATCTCCATCTCCCACCTGCTTTTCCCACATGTCATTTATATCGATCAGACATCCCCATGTCGCAAAGCCAAATTCTCGCGGCTATTGCCTCGAGACCTCTCGTGCGTAGTACAGTATTCCCTGGGACGAGCTTTTGTTTCCTCTCCGGGTCTGGTTGACTTGGAGGGCTTGTAAGAGGCGGACAAAGAGCATCCATAAAAACCGCATCCTTCCTCCTAAAAAGGAGGGACAGCAATATGACATTGCCGTGATTGTCGGCGCCCATCAATCTATTTGCAACCTACATTGCAAAGAGATGGTTAACACGGCCGATCGGGATCTCTGATGGAGCGCAAATCAGTGGCGGGTGCCGTGATTTGGGGTTGACAGCCCTTGCGAAGACGGGAAAAACTAGAGATGAGGAGTTGGAGAGCAGGTACAAGTCGCCCAGGCTCCCTGAGGTTGGAAACACGTACACGATGGATGACCAACGGACAGGAAGGAGGAACATTAACCGCCTGGCCATGCAGGACTATTATGCATCAGGAACCAAGCTATATAGGAACGGGACAGCGAGCCAGATGGCACCATTGTGATCACATGGATCGCAACAGTTGACCAAAGATCACTCCGCGCAGTCGTCAGAAGAACCTCGCTACAATTTAATCTCCTGAAAACGCCTGGGTTGCTTCCGTAGAGATCAACTTGGTACCGACGAGTGGATCCTTCTGACATACTGACTTCATGACCGAGTGTAGGCAAATGATCTAAAGACCAAATTGTTGTGTTCAACAAGAGCAGTGGAAGATGCATAATATATCCCACAGCAGCTAAGAGCATCCCTCATAGTATTCCTGCGTAGCCATCGATATTACCGCAAAGACAACCCCAATCGAAGATGTCCGACGTGTTTCACCTGCTCTCTCCCCAGGATCTTCTAGTACCCAGGCATAGACAAACCATCCTCTATGATCAGCATGTTACGTCCAGCATTGGAAAACCGACGCGTGCCCTTTACGAGCTTGAAACGCATGGTAGACCGTCTTTAGCGCCTGTGATAGGCTCTGGACAGCGGGTGCGTATGTGACACATCTGCCATGCGAGACCGTGAAACTTGTGCCAAGATGGCATTGAACCGACTTGGTCAACATTAGGGTCAGATTCCCAACTTTCATCACATCCGCTAGACCTGGCAAGGTAGCAAATGTAAAGACAAATGTTGAGAAGCTAGGAAGGGAATAAGATCTGTACAATTGTAGTCTTTCCAGACAAAGAGGAGGCCTTCGACAAACTGGAATGCGTATGAAAGTACAATAACACATCTTCGAAGACAGAGGGTCCAATAGAAATATTATGAATCGAAGTCCTGTTGACTGAAAATACTATAAAGAGAGAAGCATCGCGAGCCCAGCGTAAAGTCGTTTGAGGCAATTGATGTCGGTACTGCAGTAGTTGGAGAGGTAATCAAAACATCGGGATCGATGACTACTAGTAGTAGTATGCTGAAGCTTGAGTACGCGCGACGCGTGTACACGTGACTGGTACGCGACCTGGAAGTTACTAGGCGCCGGGTTTTAAGTTACTTGCTACGGTGTACTCTATTACGTATTTGCGAATGCTGGTACGGAGTAATTTATTTCTTTATTTCCATTATTTGTGTTTCAACACCCCGTGGATCCCGAGAACTATGAGCCGCGAGCACACATAAATTTCCACCACTTATTTTTGCCAGAGATCAACTCCAGTACATACGGTCATTCTAAGATTGTGCTTTTGGCTGAAAAGGAATGCTCCTAATATGATGACCTGTTGACGATAATGTACTGGTCTAAAATTCCGTTTCAAGGCTCTTTAACTGTGAAGAGAAGGTCTTCCGAACCCACTCCATGTAGGCCTTCCATTTGTGATGCTCACCGGACGCCTCGGCATTAGGAAACGCCTTGCTCAGCTCTCGAGTAATCTTCAGAACACCCATTGATGCTTCCTGTGCTTTTTCAAGTTCTTGCTTCACGGCATTATCCTTTGGTTTGAATGATAGCACGACGCTGTAACGCTCTGAGAGAGCATCCAGAGACCTCTGCGTCTCCTCCGGAGCGAGGGTGATTAGTTTAGAAGTCATAAGATTGCAGATTGTGCGAATATCTTGCTCATCATCAATTCCGGCTAATATGCGCTCGAAGAATTCAGAGACGTGCGACAAAGAGAAAGTCGTGTCTAAGGAGGCATAGAGCGTTTCGTAGGCACTCTGTTTCGGTAGTCAGAATATGCATGCAACGAACTAGGTTTGTGTTACTCACCTTCCGCAACTCAAGACCGTCATCAACTCTATGCTTGAATGGTCCCATTTGCACTTCACGGATCAATTCTGGTTTGATCTGTGTGTCGCCAAACACGGCAGGTAGAAGTTCGTTAAGGTGAGGGAGGATGATGTCCATCTTGTTATGAATAGCAGAGTTAAGGGTTGTTAAGGCAAGTCGGTGATTTCCCAAGTCACGATCACTGAGCATGTTGACCAAAAGTGGGACGATTAACGGTCTCAGTACATCGTTGTAGGTATCTCTGGAGTCTGACAGGGTATAACGGAATGCAGAGATCACCACCCCACGAATTGTCGGGTCAGAGTTAGACAGGCATTCCTATAGAGTTGACATTAGCGGGTGTAGCCCTTCGAAAATGGATGATCAACAATACCTGGAAATGCGGTATGTAAGCTACAGGATCAATTAGTGCTAGTCGACCAACGCACTCAGCTCCGACGGCTCGGTTGTCTTCTTCCTCAGAGACATTGAGGAGAGCCTGCCATAGCTTGAGTGCCGAGGGGGCAACATCTGGGCGAACAAGCTCGGGGTGCTGAAGTAGTTCCTTTACTGAGTGAAGAAGCAAATAGCTTTGATGATTGGGCTTTTCCAGCCCACTCATGATAGTGGGCAGATAAGTCTTCACATTACCTGCGGCTGCATTTCCTAGAGCAGTGGCTGCAGCCAGACGAACTTTGTCCGACTTCGAATCAAAGTGCGTTATGAACAGCTCCGGTGTCAAGGAGCACTCATGACCCATTCGTAGGCCGATTTCTCCGAGAATAGCGAGCGCGAGACATTTGCGTTGGGCATCTTGTGCGGTTTGCAACTCTTTGAGGAAATCATCCATCTTGACGCCCAGTTTGGATCCGCCGTGAACTAAGAGCGTTCCAATAGCCCTTCCAACAACAGATGTGTCACCGTTGATGCCTACATCACGCAAAAGCTTCTTCATCAAAACTGCACCGGCACCTTCCTCTCCAACAACCTTGACGAGAAGTAGCAACGCCTTCAAAACAGTACCAACAAGTGAAGAGAGGACGATTGAGCAAAGAGCCGAAACCAAAGCCTCGTTTACGAGAAGCTCCGCGTTTCCGGGAATCAATTTCGCAAGGATGATGAGAGCAGGTGCGAGGAAGTGAAAATCTTCGGCGTTGATAAGAGGCAACAAGCAATCCTCTAATTCCTTCATAGTCTTCCCATCATAATGTACTCTGGTCTTGGAATTCATAGCTAAACTGCGTAGAGCCTCTAAGCTGGCACCCCGGAGTACTCGATCTGACTTACGTAACTGAGCCCCAAGCTCCGTGGTGACCTCGCTGACCCACGCCACAGTGACATCTGTCTTCCTATCACACAGGACAGCAACGTCGTCAACAGCACGCACAGCCGCGAGTCGCGTGGTTTCATTCTTCAGGCGGTCTACCAAGACGGCAAGCCCCTTTGACCGTCGGTCGAGCGAGATGAAAGCCGAGCCTTTCTCTCCCGATGTTCGTGCCAGAAGAACCCCGAATACATGAATGGCACGTTGGCGAACTTCCAGGTCAGCGCTCGTGTCGGTAATGCGACTATGAACAACATCGTACAGCTTTTCTAATTGTGATGCAAGGTCCTGCGATGCAGCGGACACCCGAGGCGGAGTAAGAGCTTTCACTATCTGCTCGACAGCTCCGAGCGCTTCGCTACTCACCTTATAGTTTCTGTCATTGACGGCACCAATGACTCCAGGGATCAATGCGATCAAGAAAGGCAAAAGCGCATCAGACGTGTGCGTTTCTGAAACTGCAGCAATGAGACTCAACGTTTCGATCTGGAGAGTGCCTGCACTGGCTGTAGCTCCAGCTGCTGCGGATGAGGTTCCCGCTGGAGACGATGACTTGAGCACATCGGCTATCGGGTCTTCAATTTGTTGGAGATGGTCGGCTAAACCACCATACCGAACGAGTGCCAAATTCTTGAGTAATACAATGATAGCTTGCTTTAGTGGCACAGATGCCTGTTTCCACATCTTTACAAGGCTTTGCACGACGAGGGGCACCGAGCGCGCCAGATCGGCTTGAGGGCCAGATTTCGGTGAGGATGGGGCAATAACGGGCGTACCGACTGCAGACGAGGTGCCAATGCTGGGTTCAAAGTCGATCATATTTGCGTCGCTATCCTGCCTCCTTCTCTTTCTCGAGTTCTTCGATCCACCCACTGATTCGAGGAAGCCATTCGATGTAATTATCATGGCATCTTCACCTGTTTTGCGTACGAGGGAAGTCATCGTTGAAACTACCTCCAGCTTCACACTTTCTTCTCTTTCTTTGCTGAACCGGGCAATGAGGGCAGGCGCGACTTGTTGATACAAGGAAGATTCATCCAACGCACGACCCCGCCCGTAGGTGGAGATGACGGTGAAAAGCAGCTTAGCAGCACACCGGCGCACTTTCCAGCTCATATCATCCACATCACTGTAGCCACCTTCCTCCTCGAAATCTTCGAATTCGTCGTCATCCAAGTCAGGCTCCTCCGTCTCGTCGTCCTCGGACCCATCATCCTGAGTACCACCCATTTCCTCATCTTCTTCCATCTCAGCGACATTCGGATCGTACTTGAGGTACCTAAGGGCGGATTTGATCGTATTTTGTAAGTAAGGCTGCATCTTCTGGCCGCAGGAGCTTATCAAGGCTTCTAGCGTCACCAAGGCGGTCTCGCGGAGCTCATCCGCTTGGGGATCGTGCTCGTCATCCTGGGAATAAGTCGACATCACAAGCGTTTTGTAACAGTCCAGGAAATGGATTGTGTATTATGTTAGGAAAAAAGGTAATCTTAAAGAGGCGGCTGTTTGTTTATGGGGAACACTAGTATGTTGTGAACCAACATCCAAAGCTAATCAGTTGACGTGAGGCGGAGCTGGAGTCTGGAGAGCTCTGGCCGATAAAGAGACCCCGCGCTAGACCCCAAACGATACCGGAATAATTATCGCCGATAAACCGATATTGACATTAAAAAAAAAAAAGCTAATCATGCAGCAAAGACGTCTACTGCTGGAGGAAATCAAACAAATCCAGAGAAGAACTAGCCCGAGATTGTTGCTTAGACGCCAATAGCGCTTGCAATCCGCCCTGTTTTCTTGCCTTGGCTCGTTTCTTGCTGTTCGCATTGTCGGCTGTCTTACTAGTAGGTTTAGTTTCGGTAGAATCAGAATGTTGCAATGCAGGAAGAGCTGCTGGGGATGTAGAGTCTATTGCTGCAGCTATTTTAGACGAAGAATTAGGGCGAATAGGCTCCTTTCGAGACGGTTTCACTGTCCGCCGACGGCAGCGGAGGCATTTGTAGACAACGGCTCCGTCTCGGGCTCCTGAGGAGTGTTTTATGTTCTTCTTGATATGAATGGTTTTAGTCCACTCAGGGGCTCGGATGCTGCCGCAAGCCCCGCAAGAAGCTTCTTGTTGTCGCTGATTTAAGGGTCTGCTTTCGTCGAGAAAAATTTTGTTATGTACGGTCATTAGATGAGCTGCAGTGGAAGGGCTGAGAGAATCCAGCGAGCTGGCGGCATCCTTGAGAAAACCCAATCGAGGGGCATGATCACTAAAAGGCATAGCTGGTATGAAGAGAACAATGAACTTGACTAATAACAGATATTTGCAGGTGCGAACTGATTAGGAGATGAAGAGTATATTAGTAGTAGTGGACTATGATCTTCAAAGGGAGCTGGAATTGATCATTGGACGGATAGATTTGTTGCAGAGCGGCAACAGCCAATTAGGTTCATTTTAGTGCAACCAGTACAAACCCGCCGACTTTGTCGTTGTCCTTCACTCTTCTTCAAGTCGCCAATCTTCTCATGCACGCAAGCACCCTCACCTCTCCTCGATTTCCTTTGTGTCTCTTCATATAACTCTGACATTGATTCACTGTCTTTAAGATTTGAGAATTATGCAAACCGGTCTCGTGTCTCTCACTGTGTACTGAGAGCTGGGTCATTTTCTAGTTTGAATTACGTACGGAGTAAAAGTTGCTTTTGTCGGTATTAAGTCTTCATCCACTCGGTTCAGCAGTGTAACACCATGGCGCCAGAGCTCAATTCTGCGTCTATCCGGGTCGCCTTTGAAGGCTGTGTAAGTTTCCCTGTCGTGTCTTGCTGGAGATCTACATGATTTTTATAACTCACTTCTGCAACGATGCTAATACAACGTCAGGGACATGGCTGCCTTCATGACATATATGCATCAGTGGAGCAGGCCGCTACGTTGAAGGGCTGGGACGGTGTTGACCTTCTAATAATTGGTGGCGATTTTCAGGTATGATCATTATCCTGTTCAATATTTTCAGTACTAACACCCTCACTAGGCTGTCAGAAACTCTCATGATATGGCTTGTATGTCTGTACCACAAAAGTACAAGGAGCTGGGGGACTTCCATGAATACTACAGCGGCAAACGTACAGCTCCTTACTTAACCATCTTCATCGGCGGTAATCATGAGGCTGGTAACCACCTATTTGAGCTCTACTATGGCGGATGGGTCGCCCCAAATATTTACTACATGGGAGCGGCAAATGTCATTCGCTGTGGCCCTTTACGTATTGCAGGCATGTCTGGAATTTGGAAAGGATATGATTATCGTAAGCCACACTTCGAACGGCTTCCATACAACCGAGACGACATCCAGTCTATTTATCATGTCAGAGAGCTGGATGTTCGCAAGTTACTCCAAATTCGCACCCAGGTCGACCTTGGCCTTTCACATGACTGGCCGAAGCAGATTGAAAGATACGGCGACTACAACACTCTTTTCAGACTGAAGACCGGGTTCCGCTACGACTCGGAGACTGGTAAACTAGGCAACTTGGCGGCGAAGTTTGTTTTGGATCGTCTACGCCCAGCGCACTGGTTCTCTGCTCACTTGCACGTAAGATTCGCCGCGACCGTTGAACATGGAGACTACATTATCCCAGAGCATCCAGGCGCGAAACGACAAGCAACTGCTTCCCAGGGTAGTACATCCCAAGTCCCAAGTGATCCAAATACGTTTGGGTTCGACGGCGCCCTTGTCACGTCATTGCTTGGTGAAAAATACAAGGCAAGTAGTCAGACTTTGCCAGGGCGTATTGCAAACGAGACTCTAGATAGGGCTGGCCCATCTCATGTTTATCAGCCTGAAGGCGACTTCTCAGGGCCCCATCCCCAGCACTCAGGACAGTCATCAGTCGATTCCACGGCACAAGGTATTGTCAACGACATTGATATGCACCAGCCAGCCCCAATTCAGCAAGACCATGAAGACACTCGAAGTAAGATATCGGCCTGGAATGAGTTCCATACGGTTGCTGCTAAGAATGAAGCGATCGAAAACTCCCGTTACCTCATGGAACACCAGGGAGCTGTCCCTGAGATCCAACATAACCTAACTTGGAAAAAGGTCGATATTAGTGAGGATGGAGTTGGTCGGAAGGTTGTCGGAGTGGAGAGGGATGCATGTACTGACACCGCGGTGAACAAAAAGCAGAAGTTGCAACATGAGCCCAGGCCCGTGAAAAATTCAGACGAAATTGACTTGGACCTGGATAGCGACCTTGGTGACGATGCCGCTGCAGATATCGCTCCTGAAGCAGAGTCGCGGGTCATAGATCAATCAGCCTCAGTAGCTAACATTAACAAAGATCCTACTAATAACATCGCCAATCCTGCGGAAGAAGTAAAAAAAAACACAGGGGACATCTCTGAAGAAGTCCGGAGCCAACTCCCTGCTGGTTTTGCACGACCTCAACCACAAACTTACGCGGTTAATGGGCCTTTGCCAGAGGCTATATCTAATAAGACCACACACTTTCTTGCTTTGGACAAATGTCTCCCGAACCGAGAATTTCTTCAACTCGTTGAATTTAGCACTATTTCAGATCTCGAAGGCGCTCAGTGCGAACGTCCTTATCGCTTGCAATATGATAAGGAATGGCTTGCCATCACACGTGTGTTCGCAAATGACCTCCAGCTCGGCGATACAACCGCCAAACCACCTGCCGATAAAGGTGACACGGTTTACGAACCCCTGATCATTGAGGAAGAAAAGTGGGTAGAGGAACACATTGTACAGCCTGGAAAAATGGTTATCCCAGAGAACTTCGTCCAAACGGCCCCGCCTTATGACCCGGTTGTTCCTATCACGACAGAACAGATGCCACCAGAGTACAACAATTCTCAGACTGCTCAATTTTGCCAGCTGATTGACATAGAAAACAAGTTCTACCTTAGCGATGAAGAACGTGAAGCTCGCATAGCCGCTGGCCCAAGGCCCACTGAGTCTAGACAGGACTTCTCCCGGCGTCCGCGGCGTGATGGTGGTCATGGGCCTGGACGTGGCAGAGGGGGCGGTAGAGGGGGCGGTAGAGGTGGCAGAGGTGGTAGAGGTGGTGGCCGCGGCTGGGGACGCGGACGCGGACGTGGACGAGCAGCGCCCTACTAATCAGTCCCTGAATAGTCTTTTGAACTTCTTTATGATGGTTGCGTGTCTATTTGCGGGGATACCCTCGAAGGAACATATGTTGCATAAACTCTAATATTTTCACTGACGACAATTGTGGCCGATGGACGTCCCTCGACCTCTAAAATGCTTAAATAGTGACTTCTTCAAGCCTGCATGTTGTAACATAAAAATTTGAGATATAAAACTTGTCCACTCTGTTTTCAACTCATTTGTCAGTAATAGAGACTTCTTATTATTGGAATATACACGAGTGTCTCGTAAGTGTCGCAGTAGCTTAGTCAATTTCTTCAATTCTAGGCTGTCCGCTTTCATTTCTTCCTGAAAGAGGATCGATTTGAAGGCCAGCGATTCGATCCCCAAGTTCCAATCTTGGCTCATTGTCACCTTCCCTACCATGAGCTCCAATTCCCCACAACAACGACTTCTCTACCCAAGCCTCCAAACTCTCAATCAATACACGGATATGGCCACGGACAATTGTATCTGTTTCACGGCTTTCGACAAACGTGAGTGTCTGCAACATATGCGGGATGTTACCTATAGTCGAAGGGCCACGGCTGCTGACATTCTCATCCCTCCAAGACATACCACCGGTCGAGTCATCTGTAAGCGAGAACCCAAAACCGAGACTCTGACTTCCGCGAGTCTCACGGATAGTATCGAGCGCCTTCAGGATATCAAGAAGCAGGACAACACTTGCTCGTCGGAGAATCGCAGACTCAGGCTCTTGCTCTAGGGTAAGAGTCGCAAGCGCAAGATCAACAGCTGAAGAAGCCACCGAAGATCCAAAACCGGCAAGATTAGTTTGGATCGCAGTCGCCAGGATGGACAGCGCAGATGCACGAGCTCGCAGGTCATCCGGCTCATCATCTGACGAGGCGCCCGCAGCCCAGGCGGCGATGACATTGGCGGAATGGGCGGCTCGTTCAGGAGACTCTGACTCAGAATCGTCTTCTTCGTCTTCTTGTATCTTGGCTACTGGTGTGGGAGAGGAGACCTTCCAGCCTGGTGGCATTACAGGTTCCTTGTTTCGCCGTTCTTCACGTTCCTTTTGTCGCCTTTTTTTCTCAAGTTGTTGTTTGCGGCGCTTTTGGGTCTCTGGCTTTTGTGCCCGTCGTCCTGCGACTGCAATCATACCCTCGCCTAGGATTTTTGCGGTCTCTCCAGTTAATGCTTCGCCGAGGTCTTGGACAGTTCGTAAAAGAGATTCTCCAATCTTGAGTCTCTGGTCGAGACTAGCGGTTTCATTTCGGTCTGTGTAACGGTCTACTAGTGTTTTGACCACTGTGCGTGGGTGTCTTGAGGCTAATGTGCCGATCAGTTTGATTGCATTCAGATAGATAAACTCGTCATTAGCCGCAGTTTCGGACGGATCTGTTATGATCGATAGGAGGAGGGTTAATGTAGACGGTATGTCGAGGACGGGTGAAGATTTTTTAACCAGATCGGAGAGAAGTGAGAACCCTTCAGCTTGAACCGGGGGGAGGTCAGAATTAAGATTAGTCAGAGCTCGGCGATGAGTTTCAAAATCAGACACTTCAGAGTATGGCCGTCTCTGGCTCTGTTCTGCAGGTGACGTAAGATGAATCTCTAAAAGCATCGAGGAAGTCGTCCCTGGTTTAGCTAGAGACGGGGGGAGGTAGGGGATCAGTTTGTCTAGTTGTGATTTGAGATTTTCAAGGACCGGCAAAGTGTCCTGTGATGCCGAGAATTCGGGGGATGCAAGTACTGTGGAGAGTAAACTGAACACAGCCGGTAGGGATTCGGTTGAGTCTGACTCTTCCGTGTTGCCTTGTTCTGTATTTGTTTCCGTAGGGACAATGTTCGCCAGCGAGGAGAGTGATACCTTGCTAGTTCCTAGATCACCGGCCCTTTTCCTTCGTGTACCTGAGCGATTGAGCTCGCCGTCTATGATCTGTTTAATAAGTTCGAGTACTCTGAGAGGCCGGCGAGAAAGGATATCTTTGAAATTGTCTAAGAGGGTCTCTGCCAGTTTCGCGCTAACTAGCTTGCGTTTCATGCTCTCGGTCTCATTCTCGGGGCCAAGCTGGGACTTATTGAATGATCGTTCATTAACCGGAGATTGAACGAGCCAGCTCTCGCTCACATATAGGAATATATCGCCGGTGCGCTCTTCGCTGCTAGGATCAGCTCCCAGTAACCCAACGAAAAGCTTAGCCCTAGACTGTAGTATGTCGAGAAGTCGTACGATGTTCAATTGATTTGACTCGGCAGTCTCGCGCTTAACCAACGAGACCCCATAGGTTGGAACCACACTGTAAGTCCAGGTAGAACCTCCATCCCAGAGCAGATTATCAACCAACTTCTTTAGTGGCTGTTCTCCGACTGATATAGCGAAGTACGTTTGTAACACTTCCATAATCTTCTCATGGAGAGAAATATTTTGTTGCTCTGAAGTAAAACAGGCCAATCCCCAAAGCGGAACGAGTATTGGGTAGACAACTCTCTTTACGAGACTTGGGTTCGGAGGCTGAAGCACTAGACTTCTCAGCCTATCAACTGCCAGCAACAAAAAGGGTTCAGGCATTAGAACTCGGTCTGGTAAGTCGTCGCCTGTATTTGAGGACGACAACATCCATTTTTTTGATGAATTATCTAGTCCAGCGGTGAGTGTCTTGAATAGTGGTTCCAGGAAGATAGAATGGCCTATAGTCCCGGGGGCACCGTAGGCACGCTTGCATAAAATCCCGTTACCAACCACGTATGCTGCAGTCTTACTCAAATCCGGATCATCTCCATCAATCAAAGCTAATAGTTGGGGCCCAATGATAGAGAAATAGTGTACTGGGTCCATTCCTTGTGGTACTGAGGATAAAAGGCGCGAAGACTGCATGATCGCCTGCACTGTAAAGTGTGGGCCATTAGATGTCTGGTCTTGAGACTCCTGACCTAGTGAAGGAGCAAGCTGTGAGGCTAAGAAGAGTATCGTTTGCAGAACCCCGTCCTGGCGCAAAGGGACCCGTGATATTTGACTAGAAACTATGGATTTGAACCACGGAGCTGTATCCGACTGAAGGAAGCTGGATAGGGTGGATAACAAAACTGGGCTAGGTGTTCTACAATTTCTCAGCATGTGTAAAATCACGCAATAAGTTTGATCAAGACGTACTCTTCAACTACCTTGACGAGCACATCACGGTAGTGTAACTTTTTGTCCTCGGATAAATGTTCTGCATTCGAGGCTAAGTCTGAGGCTGCACTGATTATATCGCTTAATATACGGCCACGAATGACAGGTTGTATACTGGATCGTTTGTCGCAAAGGATGTCCGAAAGTACGGACATTATGTGTTCTAGAAGCACTTCATTTTGTGGTTTGTTATTCGTGGGCTTCTGCGGTTGGTGAGCAATAACACCGGCCGGCAATACAGAAATCACTCTTTGCTGAAGAGGAATTCCCGCCCCTGATGAGAGGGATGGATAAATTCCCTCTAAAGAAATTAGGTCCAGAAGGGCATGTAACAGCCTGCGTCGCTTTGCGTCTTCCAAAGCGGCATCTTCCGACTCGCCGCTAGGTTGCGTAAATTCTGCATCCTTTACGGGAGAGACGAACGCACTGTGGATGCGAGTCAGTATATCTAAAGCCTTCCCAATAACAGTAGCCCTTGTTGAGTTTTCATCTAAGGCTTCATCTATCAAGTCTCCGCTCAATATCTTTAGTAATGAGCTTCCGCGGGACTTTTGGAGCTCCTCTTGAATTTAGTTAGCGTACCAAGTCAATTTGAGTTATTTTACTTGGAGGTTGCGTACCCTTTTGAAGGACGGGGTTTAAAAAACTGCCTGCGGCATCAAATGCTTCCCTTATCTGTTGCGTATCGCACATGGTCTACTTATAGATAAATGAGTTTAAATCCAGGTATCATCATTTTGATCTGCCGGTTGGTTTACTTTGACACCTGCTTATGCAGCAAATAACGATGATCTACACGTGACCCGCATACTAGCTTACTCAGGAGAGTTCAATTCATGACGCTAAACTTAGTACGGCTAGTCTATTTTTCGATGAAAGATATTAATAAAACATAACTACGGAGTAACTAGTTAGTTACTATTAACATATTTGTAATGGTATTGTCAATGATACTGTCGACGTCTGGCTCCGCTGCTCTTCCACTAGAAAACACAGTGATATTCTCAACGAATATGTTCTTGCAGCGAGGCAAGAGTAAAAGGTTGGAGTTGAAGGAAGATGACTGGGGAAAGTAATTGGCACGTCCAATGTGGCAGTGTACACTGTATCTGTTGCAGGGAATGCATGCCGTGTATTGCCCCTGACACCAGGATCTCTTCGCCAATGCAAGAACGCCGGAGTGGCTGTTTTCAGGTATATAGTGTGCTCGTCATAGTCGTTATGCTTGTCCCACGTTGACGGTTCTGTTAGATCAGGAAAGTCTGACCACGGCGTCAGACCAAAGCTGGTGAGAACATTCAATTCAGGCTGTATACGAGAAAGGTTCGGCAACCGGGACCCTGCAGTTGAATTGTATTTCAAGTTTATCTTGATGGGTAGCACAGCTGATACCTCCCTTTGATCTATTGACAATTGTGTAGGTGTCTGCGCGGACAAAAGCCCTAGTCGTCTTCGGCAAAGGCCCTTGGTGATGTGTTTTTGTTGGCTCAGGCAGTAGAATTTGCTATTCTCATGCACTAAAAGCGGTGCTCGCTCAAGGCGCAGTGAGCGAATATGCACCGGCTGCGTCCAATCTCCGGCGGTAGACAGCATGCCGTGCTTTTGGCTTCTTTCCAAGATGTTGAATCTGACATGGTATTGTATGGCTATTGCCCTGGTTGTCATGTCTTCTGTCTTCTCGTCATAAGTTTGTGAGCTCTTGCCAAGGCTAGGAGGCAGCCGCAGGTGTTCCCAATGAACCTGCTCGTGACGATGGTGTTTTTGACAAACATGTGGCAGCAATTCTTCAGGAACGACAAACTCGAAAGGCAGTCGATATTCTGTGCCAATTTGCAGTGCCTCGGCCTTCTGACAAAGCATATCGTAAAGCGGTTGTTCCATTTGAAGAAAAGTCTTAGAAGCCGTAGTTTGAGGGAGCGGTATGTTGGTTTCATTGGTGTTCACGCGCACTACAGTTTTACCTGTATTGATTGTTATCTATCAAAGTCCTGTCAAGAGATGTTTTCAGTGAATACCTTCAAAATATAGACGTAGCTCATGTAAGGCAATTTGTCTTCGAGGAGTAAAGAACACAGTTCCCTCAATTCTGTCGCCCTGTGTATAACTTTTGGTGCTGTCTGCCAAATAGATTTGCACCTTTGCCCATGGTCGCTTAAAAGCCATCATGGTATGTGTTGCTGCTTGAGCTCTTTGCTTGATTTGACGCTTAACAAATGTATTTCAAGCCTTTCATGTATTTAACTGAAGTTATCATTTATTTGCAGCTTGTCGGTAACATTTTGAAAAGCCGATCCAAGATACCACGCCACCTTGCCGGCCTTAGCCTGCATCGGATTCATCAGTGAAACTCTTTTTGTGGTGTAGTAGAATACTGAATCTATCATCTTTCTGTTGAGATTGTCGCTAGGTTGTCGGATAATTTAACCTGGGTGAAGATTGCCTGGTCATAGTTGCTGCAAATCCGAACCCTAACATGAACATACTTTAAGAAAGCTAAAGTAAGTTTCAAGTAAAATTATTGTCTATGAGCCGAGATTTGATGGCAGCCACTAGATCCTCGAGCACCAAGTTGAGCTTTTCTGAAGCCCTGTGTCTTTTTCTAACCTACCTAGGGGATTCTTCCATGACCACATTTAGGTACCTCTACGGTAGCTCTGCGAAGAAGTGCCAATATTCTACTATTTTTATTCACTGCTACTAATCAGTTAGATACTCTGTTGCTACATACTAGTGGTTCTGGTTTGGGTGAGCACAGTCCGCCTGTATTTTTCACCTTCGAACATTGGCTCCCCCCTTCTTTTCTTCTTCCTTTATTATTTATTCTCTTCGAGCAACAACCCATACAAATCCATGGAGCTAAAGATTTTTTTCTTACCTATCTTCTAGCTGATAAAGACTCTCGAAGCGATGTCTTCGCTATCAAACGCGCGCAATAAGGCTAATCTTCAAGTATAACAATATCTAGAAGTGTCCACGAATGTACAACAATATAATGCGGTCAATCCCCCGGCCACGCTGTGCTACAATGATATATATTTTGGCATCCTTTCTTCAAACTGTACATACATGCAAAGATACTCATTAGTGATGTACCACTCTGGCTCACCTCTTTTTTTTTTTTTTTTTTTTTTTTTTTTTTTTTTTTTTTTTTTTTTTTTTTTTTTTTTTTTACTATTCCTTTTTTACCAGGGCATCCCCTATGATGTTTTAGGACATTAAGATATAGAATGTTGACATCAAACTTTCAGCTTTTATTCCTTTTCCCATTCTTCCATCGGCATCCTGATATATTGCCGAGAGAAGTATGGATGATTAAGCGGCCAAAGTTTGCCTCCTCTCGGCGAAGAAGCCGAATCCCGACCAACTGCACTCGCTCATGCTCAACGCGTCCAGTTACTACTGTGTCTACAAACCGATCTCAAGAGGGACATCGCTAGCAAAATAATTAACCGATCCATATGCCTGTTGTAAGAAATAATCCTTACGGGCGTAACAAGAAGAAATCTGTCGCGTACGTCATGTGGTCCACGAAACCCTGAATACCGCTCTAATCTGTGTAGCTGCCACCGATGTCACTCTCACAAGGTCAAGTGCTCCGGCGATCAGCCTTGCACTAGATGCAGTCAGGCCGGATGTGGAGACGAGTGTCAATATACCTTACGTGATCGTAAGCTCAAAGTTAATGAAAGGTACACTCCCCATTAGTTCTCGGTCGGCTTAGGGCTCAATCTCAGACTCCTCTTCCAGTTATATCGACCAACTTCTTTCAGAAAACTCTCGGCTGAAAGAGCAGATTCGTACTTCAAACACACCCAACCCTTCTCCGGCTAGTACTGCAGACACCGCGGTACCGCCTCAAGAATCCTATCCTTCACTCCAAAATCCTCTGTTCGGAGACCGGGCTTGGTTCTACCCATATGACTCGACCGCTCCTCCAATCTACATGGGGGACGCTGCCTGCACCGCATTTGCAACGCGGTTACGGCAGTTTCTCACAGAGGATCCGAATACAGCCCATGTTGCACGGACTCAATATACACCTGAGTCTTCCTTGCTGGAGGGTGAAGCTCACTGGCCTAGCCTTGCTCAAGCCCGCTTACTAGTCAAAATTGCTTTCAACCAACTTAGTCGTGTCTATCATTTGTTCTTGCGCAAGTCCACTCTCGAACAGCTGGAAAGTCTATATCGCCTACCGTCTCTGCGAGAAGACCCGGCGTTGACATGCAAGTTCTTCTCTCTTTTTGCCTTGGGCGAGGTCTACTCTTCGCGGTCGATTTCGTCGCCGACCAGCCGAGTGCCAGGGACAAGGTACTATGTACGTGCCATGGGGATCATTCCCATTCTACCAGAAAGGCCGGGAATGATCCACATTGAGAGCTTACTATTACTGGTAAGTGTCCTCGTCGATGCTTGAACACGTGCTCTAACTGCGAATCAGTCATTATATTCATACTTCCTGAATAGACGGCATTCCGCTTACACGTTAATCGGAAGCGCCATGCGTCTGGGATTGATCTTGGGGCTAAATCATAATATTCCTGCTCGCCAATGCACCGACCCAACCGAGCGCGAACACCGTGTACGGCTCTGGTGGGCTATCTACATCTTTGACCGCATGTACACATCGAAAATCGGTCTCCCTCTCCAGATCCGCGACGACGATATCTATGTTGATCTCCCAACGCCGGTTAATAGTCCCGACGCTGAAGAGCAGTTTTCGGATACCGCATATCTGGTATCGAGCATCCGTTTAGCCCGTATCATCGGACAGATCGTAGAGAAAATATACACACGCAAGCCCCACCAGGAATCATTTCTACAACGAGAGCAGCAGTTGCTACTCGCATTGCAGGACTGGGTTCAGTCTCTGCCAGCACATATCAAGTTACCGGCTGTAGAGACTCCCCAGAAGCACGTCGTGTCTCTCCACCTGCAATTTAACCAGGTAAGTCTTTAACACACCAGTATCTCTTGAGACGTCACTGACATGATTAAGTGTGTCATATTAGCCACCCGTCCAATTCTTCTCCACGCCTTGTTCCAACAACGCGCCCACCGCGAAAATCACGAAGACACCCCGCAGCCAGTTATCACTTTAAGCGAGGCATGCATCCACGCCGCCCGGCATTCCCATACCCTTATAATCGAGGAGTGGGTCAACGGGTCCCTGCCCATGTACGGATACTTCTATGCACAGTACCTCTTCTCCTCCGCCATCATCCTAGTGATGTCAGGCCTTCTCCCCTCGATCGGTACTACGGCCGATCTAGAATTCCTCGAGACAGCCATAGAGATCCTGCGCCGAATGAAAGACCACGGCAATCTTGCTGCAGCAGAATTTTACGAAAATCTGAAGCGAGTAAAGCAGTGCTTACCCAGCGGCTCTGGAGCTATGGGTATCCCTCATGATGGTGGGGGTTATAGCCCCGAGCAATCCCGTCTTTCGGTTGGGGGTGGTGCTGCGAATGTGGACCAGATCTTAGATCCTAATGGTCTTTCTACGGTTCCTGTTGCGGGTCTTACTACTGAAATGGCGTTTCTGGAACCTACAATGCAGGACTTTCTGGGTAGGTCTAATAATGAGATGGACCTGATAAACCCCAGTGTATTCTCGATAGATGAGTCTACTGGCATATATGCCTGGCCGAGTACATTTTGGACATCATGAGTGTCCATTATTTGTGTTCAATACTCATACTTTTGGTCCAATTTTTAAAATCATCTGGACAATAAGCGTACAGAAAGTCGACCAAGTGTGGAACCAAGACCGGCCTTAGCCCTGACTGATAAAGGCTATTCCAAACAATCCCCGGGGGGCAACAAAACTGGTAAATGGCGAACAGCTGAAATATGAAGTCCACTATAGGCCCTCTGGAAGGAAGCGGAAAGCACCTGGAAGCAGCAGCACTGGCGATGTGTCGTTGGCAAGTATGTCCGCGTCTACAGGTAAACTCCTCGAGAAGGAAAATTATGCTAAAGGGGTTAAGGCAGACCCCTTATCACATAGTTAGAGATTTTGCCTACATAGTACGTTGTCTCATAGTATATCAGGAATGCTTACAGATATCCCGAGCGGAAATTGGTGAATGTGTATGAACTTGTGATCTCGTAATGAATTCTCCCGTCCCAATACACTAAGACTTACATCTCAGACCACTGATGGAACGTCGAGTTCCTAGTAAATCTCCGCAGCCTTCTACCACAAAAGTACAATGGAACAGCAAGTAACATGGGTCCCATAGTCAACGCAAACTCGACCATAGCAGGGGCAATAAGACTCTTCCTCGCACCCAAAGGCGTAAACCAATAACTCATACTAAACCCAATCGTATTCTTAATCACCGTAGCAACGACCATAATCTCCCCAGACATAGGCTTATAGCAGTCCACCGCGTAAGCAACAGCGATAGTGGGCACAGTAGTGACACTGAGCCCGGTGAGACCGTAACCGAAAACAAGGATAATAGGCCACGACCACTGGCGTTGATACCCTAATCCCTTGATAATATTCCCGATAGCTGTGGTGATGAAAAATGGTATCAAGGCCGGAAGACGCATCTGTGCCTCTCGAATGCCTCGGTTCCGACGTGTGGCTTGGTCCGCTACCCAGTCGGAGAAGGGTCCTGCGGTTAGAAGACCTATCGTTCCACCGACAAAGAAGGCAAAGTTACTATATCCGACAGCTCCCGAGGAGAAATTGTAGGATGGCGCTGCTAGCACGGCGGATTCAGTCAGGTTGAAGAAGAGGAGTAGATTCGCTGGCCCTGCGACGTTTAGGCCGGCCCAGAATATATTGGGGTAGAAGAATGCGCGGATGGGAGAGAGGATGTCGCGGATTAGAAAGCCTTTCCAGCAAGGGTCGGGCTTTTGAAAGAGCTTAAATTGGTTCTTGGATGGTCGTCCCTTGCTGGTTTGTGAATTGCTATCGGTAGCTTCGGTGTCGTTTGATGCTTGGATTGTTTCGTTGGCGTCGTGTTTCTCGGTATTTGTTATTGGTGTTGGCTCATCTATGGCTTCTGTTTTCCTCTCTGAGGGTCGTCCCTGAACGCCGGTATTTTGTCTCGGGAAGAATACTACAAGAGTCACGATGTTGAAGGCTGCAAGCCCCAAAGATAGCCAGAAGAAACTTCGCCATCCATGCCCGTAGTAGAGTGTTCCCTTAGGTTTGGCCATATATACACAATCTAAGGGTGGTTCATCTGAACACAGGCAAGAGGTAAGAAGGTGGGAATGGGCTGTTACTTTTCTGCAATGTTACCCGCAATCACTGGTCCCAAAAGTAAACCAACGAAGTAGGATGTACTGCTCGTCAGTTAACTCCCGTTCCATGGAACAGCATAGGGCGAAACTGACAAATAGATACCGGTCCACAACCCTCTCTCATGCAGAAAGAACATGTCTGCAATCACTTGCATCATAATACTCTCCGTCGTAGCAGTCGTAAGGCCGTTGACCACACGCGCTGCGAGGAAAGCCTTATGGGACGTAGCGAGAACCTCCCAGAGAACGGTTAGGAACGTCAGGACCCCCAAAGATATACTGGTCAATCTGCGCCCGAAGTTGTTCGAGAACGGAACAATGAGAAAGTTGGCCTAGCCTAGACCGACGATGCATCTCCCTGTTAAGAGGCTCAGCTGGGTTTCGCTGAGGCGCCACTCTTTGCTCAACAATGGAAACATGGGCACCATCGATAGCGAGGATTCGACTGCCACGAAGACATAGAGAAATTGGGCGACGATGACCAGGTTTATTTTGCACCCATGGATTGTCAGATCGTTTGTTGGCCTCCCAATGCATTTGGAATGAATAGGACACTAACATTTCCAAGCAGGTGCCCAGTTGAGCGGATTGTCACTATTGTTCGAAGGCTGTGGAATGAGACTGGACCATATTAGTTGCGAATATTTAGCATCTCAATCGAATTGGAGGTGGCCCATACACAGTGTCAGTTCCTCTTCCATGCTTCAAATGACGATCCTCGGCGTCGCGTAAAACATCTGCTTCCGGAACGATGTCTACTTGCATATTAACCACAGCCGTGGTTCCGTCTCCGCTGCAGTGGATGTTGTTTGTCGCCATGATAGCTACTGTCTTAGGCTAGTCTGATGATAGAAAGGTGGAACAAGAACTGGCCAGGAGTATCAGACGTGCGTTTAGAATACTGCGGGTCACGACTCTGGACGCAAGGAAGTCTGCAGATCAACGTTCTTCCCCGAGAACAAAATGGAAGGGATTGACTTGCAGAAGAGTACAGCTTATCTGAGCTTACAGACAGACCGTTTAGTCACATTCGGAACAAGGTTCAAAATAACTAAACCATGCGATCGGACACTAAACAGGCCGAAGACGGTCTCTGTGGGTGTGGGTTTGTAATATGGTGCCGCTGTGCATGGTACATATGAAAATTGTGAAAACAACACCCACTATGCATTTTACGAGGGGATGCATCACAAACTGCCAACAGTATAACTTTTTGGTGTCACTCTCTTAGTGCACTGCTTATGTATGTGTGTGTGTGGATCAATTGGCACACCTAGCAGATACTCAGACACTATTCTGGGCAAGGCAATTTGCCAAGTTCGAGTCCTGCGTGTACAGCCCTAGAATACCACCCTGGCCCTGGTATTCAGTTACTGTCTTTGGGAAACTGCAGGTCGCCACGTCCAGGATGAAGTCCCCAACAGGGTTCCCTGGCCCAATGGTCTCACCGTTGCTATCATACCAGCACATGGATATCATTAAATCACATATCCATGAGCCTTCCTTTACCTTCTCAATCAAGGCTCAAGTCTGAAACCGAACTATAAACGATTCGGACTGTGTTGACCTTGGCTTTTGCTCGGATATCGACTCACAGATACCCATCAAGTGCGACCAGAATTAGAATAAACAGGACCACTCCGGTCAGTTCTATTGTTGGTATCTGTAGTCCAAGGAACATAATAAACAAGTTGTGGATTTAGTAATGAACATCAAAGAAACGCAAAAAAGTCGCTCATGCAGGCAATTCCAAGACCTTTACTCAACCAATGCCAGAACTCCGAATATGCAATCCGTTGCGGGGCACAACGCCAGTCAGTCCGACATTAAAACACTCATACATACAAGCCGTTAGAGGAGAAAGAAAGAAAGAAAGAAAGAAAGAAAGAAAGAAAGAAAGAAAGAAAGAAAGAAAGAAAGAAAGAAAGAAAGAAAGAAAGAAAGAAAATAGAAGAGAAGTAAGAAAGAGAAGAAAGGGTAAAAGAGGAATGGGAAGAAGGAAAATATCATCCAGTAATAGCTTTTCTTTTCAGTACTCCAAGTTTTTCAAGCTTATTCCAAGCGTGATCCATGTCAGACCCTGGTTCGAGCGTGGGACGCAACTGCAATCCATCCAAAAATTTGAGGGAGCCGCCTGTTCCCGCATACAGCATCAGTTCAAATACTCTGCGTCGGAGCCGTGTCGGCTCATCCAAGTGGGATAAATATTTCTGGTCGGCCTGAGGGTCCGCTGGCGGCAGAGTATATGGGTCGTTGATTTCGATATCTCTCTCAGTGATAGGGTCGTCATCTTTTTCATCGATAAGCGAACGCTTTAAGTTCTCAGCGTGCCCAAGCTCAGCAAGCACAGATTGGATATCTAATCCAGCTTGCTCATGTTGGCTGGACTCATCCTCTACTCTCAAATCCTTTGCGTCTCCGGCTCTCCCGCTTCCAGTGACGGCCGGAGGATAAAATCTGACTGTGAGTGGGTTGCCTCTGACATCTACCTTTTGAAGGGTAGAAACCTTGTTCTTGTTTGTTCTCCCTATCCGACTCAAGACTTGACATAGCCTCCTCAACCGAACAATGCAGTTGCTGGCAATGGTCAGGCGAGAAAGGCAGTTCAATCCTGCCAGTTCATTGATGCCGGCCAGGGAGTTGAAATTCAAGTTGAGAACCCTGACGTTTGGAAAACTGAGAGCAAAGTCCGCAGGGAGGTTTTGGATACTGCAAGATGCAACATCGAGCAGTTGCAAGCCTGAAAGGGGGTTGGACGGAGACAGACACTGCAAAGACAATTTATTACAAGATAGGAATACTTTCCGAACGTCCTTTACTAAGCCTAGGTCCACGTCAAAGAAACCACCATTGTGGTCGTCTGGATTCATCTGCTCACGAGCAGAGAAGACGTCCAAACCTGCACAGTGTTCCAGGCCTGACACTGTGAATAAGTAGTTGTGGTCGAGGTAAAGAAGGGTAAGCGACGGGAAACCAGTAACATCCAGACTATGTAGTTGATTACTGGAGAGGCGTAAGGATGATAAGTATGGCATAGGCGCCGATGGAGCAACTCTAGCCAGCTGATTGAAACTGAGGTCGAGGTTTGACAATGCTGAAAGAGACTCGATATTTTGCACGGACATCAGTTGGTTATGGCTGAGGTCTAACTCTTCCAAGCGAACCCTATAACAGCAGATGAGTCGGCTGCCCTGTAGCAGTCTGGGCCGGAATGAGAGTACTTACAACTCCGAGTCTTCAAAATCGACAGTCGTCAAGCGATTGTTCCGCAGCTTCAGACTTAGAAGTCCGTCCAGTTCGAACATGCCCTCGATGTTTCGGATGTTGTTGTCTTCCGCTTTTAGTTCTCTCAGGTGAATCAGACTACTGAATCCATCCAAGCTCTCAAGCTCGTTGCCAGAGACATCTAGGTATTGCAGGTTCACCAAGTGGCCCCAGGCGGTTAGATTAGAGAGGCAGTTATGCGATATTCTCAGACTTCTCAAGGTTGGAGGGACCCCACTCAACTGTCCAATACTGTTGTTAGACACATCCAGATCTTCAAGACGAGGACAAAAGTCGGAAAGTTTATGTAGCGTGATCAAGCCCTTGTGGCGAAGGACCAAACGTCGAACATGTTCCCAATAAGGCTCAAAAGGTTCGGCTTCCGTAATATGCTTCACTAACTCTTCAGTTGCCAGAGCAAATGTCCCATGAGCCTGGCGCAAAGATCTGGGGTGAGTGCGCTGAGCCACATAGCTAAGCTCTAGTTGTAGAGAAGGGTCAATTTGGTGGACAGTAAAGTCAGGCAAAGGGCTTAAATGGAAGCTATAGTTCGTGTCATGGTCCATATCGCGGAGGCACATAAGCGAATTTTCAGCATGACTCTTAAGCGGCGTGGATACAGCATCATTGCCCCGTCGGACTAAACTTAGGCGATCACCTGGCTCTTCATTTGCCTCGTCTATTGTAGAGATAGCGCGGTGAGAGGAGGCTTGTTCGGATGTATGTGTGTCATTAACCGCCGTTTGAGGCTCTTGTCCAGAACCCGCAAGTTGCGCTTTGCGGAGCTTTGACGGACTTTCATTGTCGCTATATGCGATTTGTGAAACAAGTGGGGATGAGAAACTTATCGTGACCACTCGAGCTTGTTGCTTCCCGTCCATTTGGTGTCGTGGTGGCTTCGATAAGCGACCCTCATGAAGCTGGATCTCGTGTTCAACCTCGCTGGAGGACGCTCCATTTCCTTGGGGTTCAGAGCCCCATGAGGTCACCCTAGTTGCCGAATGCGGAATACTAGAGGTGGAGCGGGTCGCTTTAGACTGCAAAGAGCTGGCAGCAACGGATGGCTCGCCATCCTTGGTTCCCGGCCGAACCACTGAACTGGGAGACCCGGTCTTCCGACTCAGCGGACTCTGGCCATTGGCGTCTTCCGACAGAACAGAGTCCCCCGTCCGTTCGGGGGAAGGCGAGTTCTGCATCCTCATCATTTCTTGCAATTCGTCAACACTAAGGTCGGGTATATCTCTGAATGGATCATCCTCACTATCTTCCCCTTTGGGTTTTTCAAAAGAAACTTCAGACCTTTCTCTTATCCACTGATGCCTGTGGCGGTCGTAGGTCAGGCCGTTCACTTGTTCTGGGATCAAATGAGAAACTATGTCGGATGATAGGACACCTTTAGCGTGCGAACTTTGTGAAGACCCGGTAGGCACCGAGCGTGCACTAAGGCTTTTAGCAGATATCTGAGTGTTAAATGTCAAGAGATCAGGCAAGTCGTCATCTTCACCAGAAGTAGGCGCTGATGATTTGCGTTCGCGCTGCTCAAATACGTCGTCCTCCGGCTGCATATTTTCGGACGCTTGGTTTATGGCAGCTCCATCATCTTGTAGGACATGTTGCTCGCCGTTGTCCACTTGAGAAGAGTCCTGTTGATCGTCGAAACTCAGTGAGGTAACTGAGGCATTATCCCCAAGCTCCAAGTCGTCGTGCTCTTGAAATTTCTTGAGGTGGCTTAGGATTCGAGGGTTTGTCTCCTTTTGCTCTCGCAATTTCCGCATGTCCACTCCCTCTCGACTCGGGGGACGCGAGAACTCTTCTCGAGTAGATTCATCTTCGTAACTTTCACTTTCGTTCTTGTCTTCTGCCTCGGACTCTTCTACACTCGACAGGCCGCCCACGTTCCTGCCTTTTGACCTGATAATGTCCATGATCTTTGTCGCTTCATTAAGAAAATCCTGAGTTGTGATTGACCCCTTGCGAATTTCTTCATGGACACCAGTAACTTTGACCATTGGCACATTCGTCTCCGGCGGGGAATACTCATCATTGTACACAACATCAGGTTCATTTTTACTTGGTGAAGATCTTTTTCTTATGGAACCTCTTGTTTGGCCTGGTGTTGGCGTCCTTGGGCGATCAGATGACTGAGGCCGAAGCAGGCTATCGCTATCATATCGCAGACCGTGTTGCATAAGGCTCCTTTGTAATAATGATAAATTATCGATTGGCTGGTTAGAACTTTCTGCATCTTCCTGATCATCTCCTGCTATGATTTGAGATCGCAGAAATGTTCTGCGTCTCTTTGGGTTTGGGTCTTTTGCAGGACTGCCGGGATTCCACTCTGGCTCTTCCTCGGGATTGGTCGGTACAATCAGATCTTGGTCCTTTGACGCATTATATCCACGGTCTATGTTCGATGACTTGCCCGTCGAGTTATGGCTGTTGGGCTCGGAGCGACGGCTTGAATCTCTATGCGAGGGACGTCGCAGATACCGTCGCCGCCGCGACAAGGGACGAAGCTCTCCATCAGGAGCGTCGCTACTTAGCAACTTTGGCTCGTAAGGACTCGTGTCGGCGAAGTCGAAGTTATCTAATTGGCCATCACCGAACCGACTAAGGCGAGAATTAGCTGTATTCCGTGATCGCGGCCGTTCTACCCTTCTTATGGAATTTTCGCCCAGCATATCGTGCCTTGCGCTTAGGAAACTTCGGCTCTCACCCTTCCTTCGAGCTTCTTCGGAGGGCGAGGCAGGTTCATCTTCTTCTGATAAATCGCCAAATGTTTCTTCGAACTGGCTCATCCGTCGTAAAAGCCTGTTGTTTGTGAAAGTATCATGATTTCCAAAGAGCTTCAAGGGGCTGCCTGAAGACGGCATAACTTCACTCTTATCATCCTCAAGCATCGGGGCTTTTACATGAGCTGACGACGGTCTAGGGAGCGTAGGTGGGTCAAGTATGGGATTTGTCCGATTATAGAAAGGTGGCGAGCTTCGAATTCTCGAGTTGGCGGAAAAAATAGGCGATAACCGCTGGGAAGTGAAGGTAGGTGGAGAGAGTTGATGCTTGTGAAAGGAGCTCTCATTTGGATACTGCTCTCGGCGTAAGTTTCCAAAAGGCCCACGGCCTCGATAATCCAACGTCCCCATGGAGAGATCCTGAGGCAGTGAGTGGCTCGTTACATCGAAGATGTCTTCTTCCGGGGGTAGATCTATAGTAAATTCGGTCTGTTGATTCAACAAAATACTATCACTCGCCCTTGAATCGGGCCGCTCATAAGGGGGCAGAGAGAGCTTCTGAAGCTTGCTAGTGACTTGCTTCAACGCTGACCGTATGACTTCTGACGTAGCGTTACCTTCCACTGTATTGGCTCGTGAAAAGGTGATAGGTGTAATACCCTCGTTGCGAAGGTCCTCTAGCCCAGTTGCGGACCTCATTTGAGTATCATCCTGAGTAACAAACGAGCTGTCGTTGATGTTTGAAGGAGGTTCCCCGAGATCTTTCGGCATTTCCAATGTTGCATTGGGCGATCCTTCCGGGCTGTCGCTAGGATTCACATTCACTCGCAACTGAGAACTAGGCCCTAGTAGCCTATCTTCATCATTTGGTGCATTCGGAGCATCAGACTCGACGGTGCTCTGCGCCTGCGATGGCATCTGTGGGCTTGTACTGGGGTCCTTATCTGAGGGATGACCGAAATCCCACAAGTCGTCCCGTTGTTTCATCTTCGGAATCGCCTCATGCTGCGTCTTCTCGGATCCTGGTGTCGGAGGTTTAAAAACGCCTTCTAAGCCGATAGGAGCGAACAAATCGCGCTGCTCTCCGGCGGGTATCTCGCCCCGGACCAGCCTTTTCCGCCATTCGGGCGTACCCTCTTTAGCTTTGCCCTTCTTCGGCTTCACCTGCACTGTACTTTGTTGACCGGATTGTGTGGACGCATTGGATACAGATCGCAGGGGCGACCTGGTATCCATGGCCGGTTTCTGCCTACGCGCCGAGGGCAGATCTGGTTTCGGGGTTTTCTTCGTCTTATCCGGCGCGGGGGATCGTAATTTGGAAGGGGTCTTGGGGGTTCGCGGAGTTTTGGGAGTCGGCGGTTCCCTTCTCACAAAATGGCAGGGACGGGATACCTTTTTCTTCTCAGCGGAGGATGGTTCAATAGATCGGCGCGTGGGTACAGGAATGCGACTAGGAGAACTCGGTAGGCCTTGTAAGCTCTGTAAACTCGTGCGACGGGAATGATTTGTGGACCGCGTTGGCACCGGACTGGTAGGAGTTCCTGGGACAGGCACCCAGTCGTCTGAGAGGTTGTCGAGCCATGGTTGGTTGCTCATTGTCGATTTGCTTTATGACCGCAGTGTTCGCGCGTCGCGATCCCACAGTTGCAGTGAATGCAAACAGAGAGGTAATAATAACATGAGACCCCACTCATGCAGCTGCAATATCCGTCAAGGAAGGGGGGAACCTTAATATATAATTAAACATGGAAGTACAAAAGGGTTGGGGAGTAATCTGTTGTAGCATAAATTCTGGTTTTATTATTTGAAGTGGAGTTTGAGGCACTTGGAATTAACAAGCAGATCGATAAGTTAGTTCGTTTTGGGTGGTCCGGGCAACCCCAGAAGTATACCTTAAAAAGGATAGTTTCCACTTGTTCCACCAACAACTCTTGATGACGGACGGGTTAGGGGATTTAGGATCTAGAAACGAGGGGGAGAATTAAAAAAAAAAATTAAGAAAAATTGGCTAGATAGATCATTTTCATGCGCATCCTTCATATATTAATTTTTGCTTTTTTTTTTTTTTGGTGCCCCTGTCCATGTCATCACTCGTGCCTTACGTCGGGAAAATTCCGTTATAACCCAAAGCAGAAGTCATTGGATTTTTTTTTGTAAAAACCAAGGACGTATGTTACATACAACCACTGGTGCAGGCTATGAGTTGGCAGCGAAAAAGCTGAATTGCTGAAGACCAATGGAAGTGAGGAGCAGAGGGATTCCTCACCCTACTGGGCGGGCCACAACCCACTGCAAGGCATCAAAACGAATGCCAGGGCTTCAGTTGTTTCGGGCAATTTGGTAAACACGAGTCGGACATTATCAGGACCAAAACATGCACATGTATTCTTATTGTTCATCAATGCCTATTGATCTAATATTTCCACTGGAAACGATGTCGCACCCTGTATTATTCATCTGTTGTCTTGATTTTGTTTTATTTTTTATTTTTCCTCACTCATTTTGTCGATTGACTTTCGATCAATTAAGGCAGTCCCGCCAGTTTTGGTCAGTTTGCAAGTCAACCTAATCCGCATTTGGCTTAGTAGTAGGCAAGATGGTCGGGCCTTCAATAATCCAGCATCCACCACGTTGCTGCGGGAATCAGTGGGGACGCGTTAAGTGGTTTGCTTCGTGTGACCACACCGGAACTTCCACAAGAGCTGAGAAAAGCTTTGATCTTACGCAAATGGAGCTTTATCGGTCCAAAACAGTACCCAACAACCCTTTGTTGCAAAAGATATGAGGATCTCTCGCCCGCACTCAACCATCAAGTCCTCGATCGCTCAAATGCAGAGAGTGTTCGACTGTTGCTGCACTGTAAACAATCATACCCATTCATGATCTCATCCCACCCAGATGCCACCTCGTCGACCGGTGTCGCCGCTTAGTCTGGAAACATGCTCTCCGCCAACTTCCGATCTAGGCAACGATGGTCTTCTCGGTTCCGACGATGAGCTCAACGACGAGGAACGTGCTGCGCAACGTCGGAGGATTGAGAGACTTGCCGAGTCATATCTCCAGGGCAAACCCCTCTTCATCCTCTCGGCTTCGCTACGGGGGCGCTTTGACGAAGGCTGGGTGAACCCTTGGAAGACCAATAGGAAACGAACGATACCGCCTGGCCGCAATACTATACGGCCGCCCAAAGAGCCCGAGATTCCAACGAGCCCCGTAATACATGAAACTAACTCTCGCAGACGAAGAACATACCAGGAGCCCCAGGAAGTCCGCGAATCCAGACCACCCACTGTCGCTCCAGATTCAGATATACATGTCTCAGGTCGCAGTAGACATGCTTCTGCTCGTCTCGGTCGCTCGAGTGATAAACGTAATAGCAGGTCGGTTTCTCCGAACACGTCTCGGAGGTCAATACCGTGGGCGAGACCAGTCGATCCAAATGCACAGTTGCAGCCTTTCAGTACTTCGAGACACGCCAACGAGTCTTGGTTGAAGAAAGATCGGAAACAAATTAGCTTTCAAAATGTTGAGCCGCCCACATCCCCAACAACAACATTATCGTCCCGCCACTCAAGCAAGAGTCGCGCCTCCAAAGACGCTAGAGTAAACAGCCAGACTACATCATTTGAACATAAAGATGGATCCTTTTCAGAACGGAGCATATTAAGTTCCCCTGCACCGGATGGCCCTGGTCCTGAACCTCTCGATGTCAGCCGTGTTCCAAACAGCATCGCCTCTTCCCCTGCCAAGGAGCAGCGCCTTCCTGGTCTTGGAATAGAAGGGACCACCTCCGGAGCAATGAGCCAAGGACATTCATTCTATGTCCTAGCTCCATCGTCACATCTACCGCAGTTCGAGTACCGTCGGAGGAAGTCTCGTGTCTCAAACGAAACAGGAGGCTCCAAATCTCCCATCACCGGGAACATGGATGCTGAAGAAGAGCCACGCCCAGCAGATTTCGCAAGAGGTGCCCAACATCAGGAGCAAGAGACATTATCTCCACAAGATATGCTTTTAGCTCATGCCAATAGACACAACCGGTCCGAGGCCGACAAAAACCCCAAAGACCTTTTTATTTCTACCAGCACTACCAAAGCGATTGGCAATGTATCTATTTCTCAGTCAGCAAAGTTCCGATCTACAAGCACTGTGAATAAGGGGAACACTAGTGAGAGGTTGCCGTCAGCTCAACAAGTGCGTGCAAACCCAACAATGACAGACATCACGTCTTTGCATTCGATTGCAGTGCCAAGAAGCAACTCGGAGTATGACGGCGACACCATCCCCGATCTTCAGTTCTCTACTCAGGCAGCTCTCCTTCACGCACAGAGGTCGTTCCAGAATGACCTCGATAGCCCGGAACATGATTCAGCATCTCCAGAAAGACAGCATACGCCCAATTCCTCCAACCTTTCTTCACCTATAGCGAAGGATATCACTCCTTTCCATCGACTCTCAACACCCAATAGAGCTGGAGGGAGTGCGGGAGCCAAGGCACCTTTGACTGCCGGCCAGTGGCAAAGCACCCAGTGCATGATTGATGCAGTTACGCCGTTTACCTTCAGTACGGAAAAGAAGCCAAACCGTCGGACCATATCCCCAGTGAAGCACCTAACAGGTAGAAAAAAGTTGAAAACTGCCAGCTTTAAGCTATCATCACCCCCCTCGTCTCCCTCTAGTGAGGCACATTGCGAACAGGACAATAATTACATACACTCGAGTCCTGTTCCCCGTCAGTCTCCTGGGCATGAGACGCAGCATAGTGTCCTTCCAATGACATTAACGGGGACAACGCCACCCACTGCTCAGGGAGGGCAGCAGGATATCCCAGGTGCCGACAGCTTTAATCTTGCTCAGGCGATCGCTGATGCAGGCAGCTGGCTGCAACAGAGCTTTGACCTCAACAGGGATCTCAGATTGTGTGAAACCTCTAAGTCAGGCCCGACTTCTTCGGCTGGCACACGACGATCTGCAATGGGCGTGGATGGTAAAAAGTGACCTACGTCCCAGGGCAAGCTGTGAAAGTGTTCATACTCTTGCACGCATTTTCTTAGATAGACAACATGGTGGAGCTGGTCTTCTCTCAGGGTGACAGTCCTCCGTGTCGGTATGACCTTGTTATCTTTGGTCAAGGTATCTCACCTGTGACGCATTTACGATTTGATATCTTGTGGATAGAAATATATACCCTCACTAGCTAGCAATTCTTAAAATCGCATATTATCAAATGGTCCAGATATACAGCCCGACCACTGTAATAGAGTACGCTTATATATATAGTGACAGGGATTTTATATAGTATTTGACAGTTCCTGTATACTATAGATGATGTTCAATTATATTAGGACAGTCCAACCCTCTCTGCACGAATTAACACGGCAATCGTCGAACCCTCCCGGACTCTAAACTCCTCATACCCACAAGCCCTAAGAATCGCCGAAATCGCATATGAATGGACAGTCAGAGAAATAAACGGACTACAATCTTGGGTGAATATCTTCTCAAGAACCTTCTGCTTCCTCGCAACATGTTCCCCAACCGACTCCCACCGATCCGGTTTCCATAGAAAATTTCTGACTTCTGGATTTTTTAAATAGTATTCCTAATTATAAAAGTACTCAAACCAAATCCAAAGGAAATCCCGAGATGACTGTAAGTCTATTAATCCGTAATATACTACTGTATATTTTTAGCTATACCCTTTCTATAGTTCCCCCGGACCTTGTTAAGATCCTTGTCTAATCTTCTGTACTCGAAATTTTCTCTTGATATTCTATTAATATAGTTTTTGGTTCTGTACCGATAGATTACTTCCACGCTATATAGTAGTAATATCATAATTAGAAATCTAATCTCTATTTCTTGTACTGCTATACTTATATCCAAAATATATATAGACAGTATTCCCTACCGGACCATCTTCCTCGAATTTCCAGACATTGAGCCCACGCTAAAAGGGCTGTGAGTCAAATCCGCCCTTTGAAGTCTCCCAATCTAAAATGTTTCCAGTGGTATATTACCGAGCGAATCCACCTCTACATCCAAACCCAAATACACAGTCCCCGCCATCCAGCACGTGCCAACCAACACATATATAATGGACTCAGCCTCCATCGCCCAGTTCCTCGAGTCAACCTACCCCGATCCACCAGTCCCGCTAACATCGGAGCTAGGCCGCGAGATCGAGGCTAAATCGCGCGCCGTGGTCGGCCCAATCTTCTTCACCTCGGTGATGCCCCGCGAGATAGGCATCCTATCGCCGCGCGCGCAGGAGTACTTCCGGCGTACCCGTGAGGCCTCGCTGGGGCATCGGCTTGAGGATCTACTTGATCTGGATAAAGAGGAGCAGAGTTGGGACGCGGTAGAGGACGACACGCGTGCTGTTGGCGAGTTGATGCAGATGAATAGAGCTGATGGGCCATTTTTGCTGGGCGCCCGGCCGACTTACACGGACTTCTTTATTGCGGGGTCTCTTCAGTCTGCGAGGGTTGTGGAGGAGAGTGTGTTTCGGAGGTTTTTGAGTACCCTGGTTTTAGGGAGGTTTATGAGGCTTGTCTGCCGTATATGGAGAAGGAGGATTGAATGGGTGGAGTTGCAGGTAAAGCCGAGCAGTGTAGTGAATAATATTGCGGATTGATGAGCCCTAATGCTGTTATAAACCTTCTATTACATATCTTCTCATGTCGTCGCGGTCATTTCCCTCTTTTTATTTATATTTATAGTATCTTATACATCAGATCAAATGTTCTAAAAAAATTCTAAAGATTTAATATTATGAAGGAAAAAAAGTAGTAATTAACCTGTTAGAGCCTTAACTATTGAAACGTTTAAAGACTATAGCCTTGATACTATTTGAAGGAATCAGTACAAATGCAAATATCAGTACATTGGCTTAAAAAGATTTATTTCAGCGTCCTGGTTCAGATATTCCATCGCGCCGTGAGCAATAGCGCTATCTTTACCTCGTTCGAGTCGATGTTGTTGAGCCTCCGTGAGATCCATGGGCCACTTATGTGTTTCGTTGATGACCATACTAGCTAACTCTTGAGGAAGCGAATGGGCCGATGTTACCAGCGACTGTGCTTCTTCTGCCCACCAGTCATGCCGCTGCGGTGGTACATTCCGCGTAGAGCAGATGCGGTAGTATGGGTCGACGAGCCACAGTGTCAGAAATCGAAGGTGTCCGGCCCGACATTTGGAGATCAGTTCAAATGGCTCCATGCGGTGATGGAGTGCGTTTGGAAAGACTATAAGACGTCCTTGGCCAATCGATACAGACCCGAGCTCTTGGAAAGCCGGTGTCTCGTCTTTGACGCCGAATAACTTTTCCAGGTACGGTACATCCCATCCCTCAAACTGATATACACCTGGATTCATTTCGATCTCTTGACGGAACGAGAGCCTGCTACCTGTTACGTTTTCCATGTCGAAGAAATAAACCGCAGTTCCCACAATGTGCTCGTTAAGAAGGCCGTCTGTATGCCAGTCCTCGCCTGGGTAAGATGTACTTTCTGGTGTTAGCTCAATCCCTTCCAACTTCACAATGACCTGTAGGCCTTTATCGCGGAACGTCTCTTGAAGCTTGACTGTATAATAATCATGATCTCTACACCTCTTGCGAGAGCCCTCTAGGATTTTGTAACGATCTATGGGATCTTTCATATCATGTAGCGAGGACCAGACCTTAGGGTCTATCTTCCACTGGATGTCATGCTCCGTGGGCCCAACTATAGATTTTGCGGTTTTTCCTGCCTTCCATTCCTCATACGAGTAGAGACCCGGGTCGGAATGCTCGAAGCGAAATAGGCGAGTATATTTTGCATCGACCACATCCTTCAAAGATACCGTGCTCTCCCAATCTTGTGGAATCTCCTTTGTTTCAAGACCGTCCCATTCGACTTTAACGCCATATTCCGGAAGGACGACATAGTCCCTGACACGGGCAAGTGCGTTGTGGCATGCTTCGAGATCACCATCCCGCTCCGTTGGTAGATCTTCTGCCCACTTTGGATACTCGTTTCGCCACTCAACACCAAATGTTTGAATTCTCCGGGGCGCCCTGCCCGGTGGGGAAGACAAATTAGAATCAATGGGGGTTCCTTTGATTAATGTCTCATTCCACGGCTCAATGACTTGAGACACTACCTCTTCAAGTGTTTCATAAAAAGAGCGATGTCTGCTTGGGTGCAGGTTGTTAACATAAGAGGTAATTCGTACGTCTGTCGATCCTGCTGGCCCACAGAATTCCACCTCACAGGGAAGCCACTGGAATCGGTGAGAGAACAACAAGCTTCTCGCGTTGTCATCACTGTCCGGAAACTCCTCCAATATTTCACGCTCCTGGTCGTGCCTGGGTGCAACCTCGCCGTGTCCGTAGGTTTCCAATGTTTGTTCAAGTGGAACACAGCCGCCATTCACCAGAACGCGCGTCTGTCCGTATACTAGAGGGAAAAAAGACGGGTCGATCATGTTCCAAATCAGCTTATTGGAGCTGGGTTCCCAGTCTTTCCGGTCTCCACACTCGTCCGACAATTTGGAGACAAATTGTTGAATCTTCAAGCCAACCGATGAGGGGATAATTGTGTCGGATTTACAGACAGCACTACCAGAGTTTAATACTAAAATCTGGCCTGTTTCTTTAAACCGTATCGCTTTATCACGCAGTTCAGCCAAGCACCAGTCCCATGCCTTGTGGCTAATGATCGGGCGTGTCATGGCTTCTTCTTTCCACTTTGTGACAGTGTGCTTATCAAATATGAGGTTGTACCATCCGGGTCGGTCCGTCAGTGTTTCCATGAGATTCAACATGGCCAGCTCCCGAGCAGTTAGAGGGGAGCTGAACCAGTCCATCGGAACCGTATCGTGGAATCTGTCCTCACAGTCGAGGGTCAGCTCAAGGGGATAATTGTTAAATCCGGGGACCTTCAAGGGACCCGTTCCTGAGTTGTCGAGTTCATTATTACCCATGGTGAAGATGGATCAACGTTAGGGGCATGGAGAAAGTTGAAAGATTTGACATCACCCCGAGGGAGTGCTGGGTTAATATAGTGGTACCCTTGCGAAGAGGCACCGGTGGACTCGCACGGAGGAATAGAATATACGGAGTAGCCCCATTGTCGAAAGCAAGAGCAGATAAATAATATAATACAATATTTTGGTTAAGTTGAAACTAAATTAAATACAACTCGGGTTCGGTAAAATTACCGAACCCGAGCTTTAACCCTAAATCGATAAAGATGGGCCATGCTCGTTGACTCAACCAGCTCACGATGGGTTTCCAACAAAACGTTACTCGGAATACATTTGTGTGAATACTATATATAGCTATACAGCAGGATAGGACGCAGGCTGTAATAAGGGCTTGCCTCAGCACTTATTGACGAGCTTCTGGAGATCTTTAACTTTCACAATCACGGCCTGATGCGATGGAAAGGACCAATCCTTGACCACAATCTTTCCGTCTCGCAGTTTTTTCACAATATCCTGTGCCTCCTTTGAAAGGTTATCGTGATCCGGATACTTTGATGCTGTTTCTTTGGTTTCATATGCTTGCCATGCGCGTCCATCATCCGTGGTCCGTGGGCTCTTGACGAATTCGATTCCCATCCGCGTTTCGAGTTCCTTAATGAAGTATTTCATGTTATCTGCGACCCGATTTTGTTCGATAAGCTTCAATGCAGTCTTCATGTTCTTCCTTTCACTCTCGACGCTAGATAAGGAGAGTTTTTCTTTGATCTGCTCTTCAACGGCTTCGAAAACTTTCGAAAAAGGGGTCGCCTTCCCTGCACCCTCCACAAGACGAGAAAGATCGTACACGCATTTGAAACCGCGCTCTCTCAATCGTTTAGAAGTCTCTGTAATTCCAGCAGTACCGGCATTATCGAGGGTGTCCCGAAATTTTGCGTCTTCGATTTGGAGTTTCTCGCCGCGGTAGAGAATGTGCTTCACGAAGTTTTTGTAAGTGCAGGGAGTAGGGCTTTGTGCCCCTACGCACCCCTTGGCAAGCTTTCGCTGTTTAGGGTTGCTCACGGTTTTGAACTCGATCAGGTATGCATTGTAGAAGAATAAAGTCTCCGCAGGGCCTGCCGTGTTCGAGGCTAGGGCTGTCTCTGTCAAAAGCAGAAGACAGGAAAGAATGAGAAGAAGAAAATACTTTATAGTCAAGCGTACTCTTTTTCTTTAGTTGTGTTTGCTTTTGTGACTTGAAGGGGCATATGAGAATCGATTGCATCCACTCATCCTTTTCTATGAGAAATTTATACGTTTAAGAACTGATATAGGCATTCTACCTCCCTACTAATTGATCAGAGAATTGCTAGCTGAACCCCGATGTAACAATCCTAGGGGAAATAACTTTCTTGGTAGAACGCCATTGCTATCTAGATACCAACCCAACGTTTTTCATCTAATTTACGACTTCAGTATTCCTCTTAGTTTCTGTGGACTTTGTGAACCTGTATACTATCACTATACACACCCCTACCTAAATACTAGCAGCCATTTCCTGTTCAACTTCCCTAAGTTGACGCCGGAGTTGCTCAATTACACTAATCAATTAATCAATTGTGGGAGTTGAAATAAGCAGGTCATTTATTTCCCCAGAAAATAAAAAGCTAACCATTTGAACAAACAGTCCTGCTCTAAGACCGTTTCTGGCCCTCTGAAAACATACTTTAGTGCGTCATCCAAGGAATGGAATTTTGATATCGTGAAATGCTATAGACAAGGAACCAGAATTGATAATCGATACAGTTCTTAACCAAGTTCCAGGCCAGATACCATAGAAGAGTGATCAACCCTGATACGAGAATATCTATGCGGCTGTGGGTCATCGGCTAGATGTCACCTTGGATGTCACTGCGATGAGCGGATACGGGATTGGCAGCCACAAGGCACAGGAACTATACCGAAACACCATTCTCAAACATAATGTTTCGAAATCTCGGAATAGAATATGCAACGCGGTCTAGCTATATTGATGATATCTGACACGGGTTAAACGCATGCCGAGATCAAATCCCGAGACCATCAAACTCAGGCTAGATTAGATGTCTCACATTGCCACCAGTGTACATGAACGCCCTCTCTGCCGAAAGACAGAGACTGGGGAAGTACAGCAGGTAGCATATGCCCCTGATCTCCGGAGATAAGGGGATGGTTATGCGGTTTGGGGCATTCTTTGTTAGCTGAACGAAATGCCTGAAAAAAAACATGACCATGCACTGGCTATGGTAGACACCAATGCCACTTAGTAGGATAAAATAAAAGCTGCTAAGCTTATTATCCATATGAATACCCGCTACCTAATATGAAGTACGAAGAGGTAGGGTTAAGTACTAATATGGTCCATTGTATAAATCGTTCGGCCAATCAGAAAGACTTGGCTTATAGCACTTTAAGAAGGCGGTCTATTGTACTTACGGAGGTTCTACCCTGTAAATACATTATTGCCTGAGGTTTGTACTGCGCTGGACGCACGTAAGGTCTCCCGTAGGAGCTATACCCCACTTGACAGCCACTCCATATGGGCTAGACTGATTGATTCCAATCGATAAGTCATTCAGAGGTACCTTCAACCTCACTCCGTATCTTATTCCATATCGCGTCACCTTGATTACCGTGTTGTGCTTCCGCACCTCATACCCACATTCTCTGCGTCCAAGACTTCTCCTTCAGCTTACCTACCATCATATTGTCCTAGTAAAACCTGTTGTGCGGGGTAGACAACCATGGCGGACCGACAGGCAGTCCAACAAAACCTCAATGGTCTACTCTCGAAACTGGATGATCCAGATCCTGACATGAGGTACATGTCGCTGAATGATCTTCTGGGAATCCTCAACAGCCCCACCTCTGCATATTTGGCTCACGATCAGTTTTCCTCGTCACGGCTGGCCGACGGCTTGCTCAATGCCTTGGATGATCAACACGGCGATGTTCAAAATCAAGCACTAAAATGGTTAGTCTATGGTGCACGTCTTGCTCCTTGTGCCTAGGTGGAATATCTGGCTGACTCTAATTACCAGTCTCGGTCCACTTGTGAATCGACTGCCTTCCGAAAGCCTCACTACCATCCTCGAAAAGCTCTCGAACCTGACAGCATCCCAGACTATCGATACCTCAGTTCCTAATACCGCTCTACGCGTCATTGTCACGGCCCTTCCCCGTCCACAGGCTGGGCAACCACCTACGCCAGACATTTCCATAGCTTACTCATCTGTCTCCAAAATTCTCATCCCTCGGTTGACCGGTCCTACGCCATCTCAATCTGGCAGAAGAGGCTCCGTCATCAAGGGCATGCTAGAGAAAGATACTTCTAAGGGATTTAGCAGCGATGCGATTGATGTTTTGATTCAAGTTGTCGCCTGCTTCGGACCACTTCTCAAGGAAGCCGAGTTAACGGCTCTCCAGAAATCAGTGATGTCTATCATCGACAACGACACAGCTGGTACCGTAGTCACGAAAAGAGCGCTGGCCGCTATTTCCGCCTTGGTGCCTCATTTCTCAGAAGTTCAGTTCAGCTCGTTCGTCGACGAACTCGTTAAGAGGTTCAATAATCCACAGATTAGCGTCGTGCACCGAAGGCACCTCATTGCCACAGTCGGTAGTGTCGCAAGGAGCAGCCCGACCAAGTTCGGTCCTCATCTTCCGATGCTCGCTCCGTTTGTTTTTGCTACTGTTGGTGAAGTTATCGCGACTTAGAATACTAGATACGAAAAGATTAATGAAACTAGCTGAATGATTTCTTCGGATACCCTCCGTCGCGCTTCCTTTTAATGACCCAGTATCTTATACCCGCAGTTTAGCGTCACCTAGCATCTCCGACGAAAACAGTGGCTTTCGGATAAGACTCAGATGACGGTATATTACTAGGTAGGATCAATGAAAACTTCTGCTATCATAGGCTAGTTGCACCAATGCAGGAGAAATCAGGGCAATATTACCGTGAAGCTTTTACTAATTTCCGGGTATATAAGGCGATCAAGCTATATTATTCTAAGGCTAAGGGTATTCAATTGGTGCTATATATAAGATAGAGCAAGGACTAGTTATTGCTCGCGGCAAGGTATCTCTGGGAGTTGGAGCATCATCACTGCTTTATATATTCGGAGATTGAGCTTTGGCTCGGAGTTTGTTGCTAAACGTTAGCATTTGCAACTGGTGAAGACTTAATCTCTTATTCAATGTTTCTACTCTTTTTCACCTTTTTTATTTACTCCTATCTTCTCTTTCTTGTTGTGTCTCTTTCTTCATTTGGAGATAACTGGCTCCACAAAATCGGGAAACAGTATCTCCTTGGAACGTTTGAACAAGAAAAAGAATGAAGCGATCTAGCTAGCATCTCTATCTTCGGAAAGCCAGGGATTATTAGATAATGAACCGATCTAGATCTGTAGGTGAAGAACATATTCAGACTTTTCGTACGTTTTATTCATGGACTTAGGAAAGCACTTCGATGACTTGCTGTAGCACTCATACGGTATCTTGAGCAAGACATTGTAGTTTACTAATGAAATACTATAGATACACTACAGGCACCGTAAGCAAAACTAGGTATTGACCTTGAAAATCCCTAGGCCAAAAATGAGGCAAAGTTGATTAATCTTGCCCACGTCTTGAGGCCTGAAATAACAACCTAATGAATGCGCCGAAAGAGGGCATTGTCGAAGGGGCAGTCAAATTCTAGGTGGACTTCTGGTTTCATTTGTCTCGTTGTATGCAGGGTATACTTCTGAATCGCAATGGTGCTACTAGTAATTTCCAGATTATGCCTGGAAGGGATACCTCTATAGTCGCAACTTCTACTCGAAAATCCGGAGAGAATGAAAGCCACTAGTCTTCGAATATCCAACCTGGTGGCACTTCGCGCCTGCCATTTTGTCAGGATCATAGTGCACCTTCCTCTGGGAGTAAACTTCGCAATGGGTGAGCATTTATAGAACGATCTTCCATGTTGATTTCCTTTCTCCACCTTCTCACTACCCTCTCTTATCCCAAGCATTACACCATATACAAACCCATCTCGTCTTACCGTCTATATTATCAGATACATCTCACTTATCCTCAGCTGGTACCACCTCGAAAATGCACTTCAGTCCATTGATGATCATCGCCAGCGCCATAGCATGCTCAGCTGCGCATGTTACCCTTCAACCAAGCTGTAAGCTCGAGGAGAATGATTTGATCACTGGGCTTGACCGGAATGACACTTCTCCTGCTTTGGTGGAACGCAACTTTCTGGCCCGATGCGGTCTTGGCTTCGGCAAATGCTCTGATGATGGTTGCTGTTCAACTGCAGGTTAGTCTTTGGCTCTCGCGCAAAGAAGGCCAGGCTAACAAGACCTAGGCTACTGTGGGAAAACCAAAGCCCACTGCCGCTCTCCTGATTGCCAGATCGATTACGGCCACTGTGATGCTCACATGACGCCTGACGGGCCTCCGACGTCCGGCATCCCTCGACCCAAAGTTGGCAAAGTTCCATACGGTCCTAAAGTTGTCCGGTCGTGCGTTGGGGCAGGAGATGTTGCCTTGACTTTCGACGATGGCCCGAACAAGTACACAGAGGACCTCCTCGATTTGCTGGACAAATACGATGCAAAGGTGACTTTCTTCATCACGGGCAACAATAACGCCAAAGGACCCATAGATACACCGGGCATGCCCTGGGCCTCGATGATCGAACGCATGTATCAAAGTGGACACCAGATCGCCAGTCATACCTGGTCGCATCAGGATCTTAGCAAAATCACACCAGAGCAACGTCGAATCCAGATTCTGTGGAATGAGGTCGCGCTCCGAAACATTTTGGGCGGCTTTCCAACGTACATGCGTCCTCCATATTCCAGCTGTACTGAGAAGTCCGGCTGTCTGAAGGACATGGGCAATCTCGGCTACCATGTCATCCTGTATGACATTGATACCGAAGATTATCGCCATGACAGCTCCAGCACCATCCAGGGTTCCAAGGACATTTTTGACAAGAACCTGGCCCGTGAAAAAGCATCCCATAAGTCTTGGCTGGTTATTGCTCATGATGTGCACGAACAGACTGTTTATAACCTTACGGAGCACATGCTTAAGAAAGCCTCCAAAGATGGCTATAATATTGTGACTGTTGGCGAGTGCCTGGATGATCCCGAAGAGAACTGGTATCGTATGGATGAGAGTTCTGAGCTTACTATTCTTCGGAAGACCAAACCCCTCGCTACTGCCAACCATGTCATATCGCACGATGGTCGCTGCGGTGGGAATGTTACCTGTCTGGGGTCGAAGTTCGGATCCTGCTGTGGCAAGAATAACTATTGTGGGAACAGTCCCAAGCATTGTGGGTTTGGTTGCCAGCCTAACGCTGGCCATTGTCAGAAAGCTAGACATACATCCACTGTTCACAAACATGGACCTGAAAAGCGTCCCGCAACATCCGCTGCGGGCTCTTTGTTGCCACCTGGATTGAGCGTTGTGGAATTGGTTTTGTTTGCAGCATTAGCATCGTCGGCTGGAGACCTTTTGCGACTTCTTGTGTTCACGCTTATACATGAAAGCTTGTGATAATGGTTGTCAAGTGATTAGTCTCTATACTGGCTTGTCAGCGTGTTCCTTTGTAAGTAGTCAGTTTATTCTTCCACTAATACTCCGGTTGTCCGGATACTGTTTAGGATTGACATGGTACACTCGTTCGTTTATGGAGAATGCAATTCGTAACTCATTTCATTTGGCATTACCACGTCTCGTACCATCGCGGTGATTGTATCATATACAGGTTAAGGAAACACACATACTAAGAAGACAGCATAAGCAAGCCTGTCGACGAACTCAACCACATGATTCGAATATAGTAGGATCTTCAAGAAGATGGCTAAACACGCGCTTTTTAGCAGTGATCGTTTACCGCCGGACAATCTTCAATAACGGAGCAATCCTGGCCTTTCGACTCAATCCAACACGGTAGGGTACCTTCCCCGTGGAGATTGGACTGTGTTTGCCGGGCCCTTTGTTCGCACCTTTGCCTGAAGCATCTGTATCCGCGATCCTGGGAGTCGTAGAGGGTGTTTTCGGTTCCGAATCAGACTTCTTGGGTGTCTCGGGCGGGTTCTCATTTGTAGTCAACACGGGTGTTGTTTCAGAATGAATATTCTCTGAACCAGCCTGTAGATCGTGAGCTACACTAAGTATATCTGAATCATCGACGGCAATTTTGTTGACAGTTGTATTTGTGGTATTGTCGACCGTGACTGAGACAGTCTGTTGATCTTGTTCGACATAGGTGTCTGACAGTTTCCCTATCTTATCTCTTGGTTCTCCCTCGATCACCGGATCGGAGGTTTTCTTCCGCTTGCGTCCGCGTTTCTTAGGTTGCGGGGCTGGATCAGGTTGAACTGTTATATTGTCTGATGGTGTTTGATCATTATTTGTAGGGACGGTAGGGTGTGATACGTCGCTGTTTACGGGATGGGGAATGACGGGGTTTGGTGGTGCATCGTCGATCCATATTACGTCGTCTTCGACGTCTGGGTCATAGGTTTTGTGGAGTGTTACGGAGGTGGTTTTGCCGCGTTTTAGTTTCTTCTTTTTGGATTCTTTGGGTGCCGCTGGTTCTAGAGTTTGTAAAGTCTCTGTGGGTGCTTGTTGTGGTGGGGACTGTTGGTTGGGTATCTCGATGTGGAAGTTGGTATTTTCTGTGGTATTATTTTGGGGTATATCGGCCGGAGGAGTAGGGAGATCTGGCTCAGTCGGATGGACTTGTGGTTCTGGTATTATGGTTATAGGATCAGGGTGGGTGGATTGATCATCGATGTTCGAAACGTCATTGCGCTCTGTGTCAGGCTTTGGATTCTTTGGTGGCCGGCCTGGCTTGCGCTTCTCGGGTTTAGTATCATATGCTTCACTAGTGTCCTGATTAACCGCACGTGGAACTTTAGGAGTTTCGACAGTTTCCGCTGGGGTTTGCTTCTTTGGACGACCTCGTTTTTTTGGCTCTGCGGGTGTTTCAATAGTGATAGTATGAGGTAGTTTGTCGGTGGACTCTGCAGGTTGGTGCACTTCGGGGTGTGGAACTAAAATCCCGTTTGAACCTGCATTATCACTTCGCGAGCGACTGGCTTTGGGAGACAATAATGAAGAGTTCGGTTCGGTGTCGTGCGGCGAAGAGGACATTCCTTGCATGGAGTTCCACCTCCGGGCACCGTTTTGCAGGTCGATCTGCAAGGCGTCGTCCGGTCTCAGGAAGGACATTGGATCATGATTGGAGCTTCTGGAGGGTTGTAATGATGATTCGAAGAGATTGTATGACGCTGCGGACTGGGAGAAGTCATTGCTCAAGAGACTTTGAGGATGATGTTGTTCTGTTTGTGCGATAGGTTCGTATTGGTGGGTGGTTGTGCCATTTGTTTGGTACATGTGTTCCGGAGCAACCCCCATATTATTGTAATCTATATACTGTGGACCATTGACATCGACAGTCGGAACGAGATGTATATCATCCATATGTGGTAAAGTAGGCTGGCAGGGTTCCGATTCAAGGGTAGTATGCGGGGGAGGATTTTGTCGATTGGCGTATTGAGCATCATCATCATCGAAGAGGCGTTGCTGTGCGAGACCAATCTCTGTCATCATTGACCCTATCGCGGTGTATATTGTAAGTATATGGTGGATAACTCAGGGTATGCCGCCAATGCAGAGTACTGGTAGCGCAATGCTCACCTATGGACCCGCCGCCCCCCGCTTCATTCGGGATCCATCTTTCTTCTCTCCGCTGCTGGGAGGATGATAGTCCGGTTGGCGCTGTTTCCTGGGATTGAAGAAACACATCGAAATTGATTGCGATTGGGTGATTGGGCTCCTGTACTTGAGCTGCTATGGGAACATCTTGTTCGACGGAGTTGAGAGCGTAATTGTTGTCGGCTTGATGCGTCGGGTTGGGGGGAGGTGGGAAGTCCGCTGCCAACGGATCATCCTCGTCATCGGAATCTTGAATTACTCGGCCGTGGGACATCGATCTAGCTTATATGCAATATTGCGGTGAAAAGCAGGAGACTGAATAGATATTGGCGGCGCATTGGCATGGGAAATTGACTGGCTTATCACGCGTCGTGGCCGATTGGGTGCGGAAATGACGCGCGGACACGTGATGATAAGCTCATGCTCATCTCTTGCTTATTCTTTGATATCAAGACTGTAAACTGGAATTGGGTATGTCTGTAAACATAAAATTCTAAATACAAAAGGTATCATGATGCAAGCATTGCAGACATATCTTCATTCCATAGTACTCTGTGGTCGCATTACTCCCCTTCCGAAGAACTCGCCGATGACCCCGAAGCCATCCTTCGACCGTTGGAGCTCCCCTTTGAAAAGCTCATGCTGATCCGCTGACTCCACCTGTCTCTTGCGGATGGCTCTGATAGTAGAGTTCTGAGGAGCACAGACCGGACATTCGGCTTCCTCGTCGACCTTGTTCAGACACCGTTGGTGGAAAGAATGCTTGCAGAGGAAGTGAACCGTAGGAAGGTCCAGGACTCCACCGCAAGACTTAAGTGCACACCGGCGAGCTTGAAAAACAACTGGTTTGCTACCTAATTGTTCAAGCTCCTTCCTCTTACTTTCAGTTTCTGTACTGTAGCTGGAAATAAAACGACGATTCTGCAAAATTCATTAGCTCACGGCATGGTTTTCCTTAGGGCGGGGCACCAACAGTCGATATCTCTTTCCGTTCTCGCTCGATGTTATCGCTCAGATACTTCTTCACCCGGCCCATAGTGACCACGGCGTTGTTGCTGAGCGCCTGGATGACTTGGAGCGGCGACATGAGTCCCTCGTCGTTAATGCGTTTGAGAACAACATCTAACTCCTCGCCCGCCTCTTCGAGAATCTTCGGGCTTGAAGCAAAATAGGTTAAAGCATCAACGTATAGTTGGGGTTCTTCTGGACCATATTTCTTCAAAGCTTGAATGGCTCCGCGTGTATCTTTTGCGGACGTGAATGAGCGGAAAATGTCCGAACGAAGACCTTCCTGCTCCCGCACCAGAGTCGATCCTTCCCGAAAGCCCGAAAGATCTGAGAGCAACAAGACGCTGGATGTGGATATCGGGATCTAGAGAAACATTAGTCACGCTACGAATGAGCAAGCCGTGCATAATAGGTTCATACATCCTTGCCCTCGATGAGTTTCTTGGCTTTAGTCTCCCATTCATCCTTCTCAGCCGTGGCTTTCTTGCGAGATGCCGTATCTAGGTACATCTCGAATAGCGTCGTATAAAGGTCCACCTTGTCTTCTTCTTTCAGGGTTTCTTGACTGATAAGCGCCTCAAGGAATGTAATAAACTCTTGAGGATGGCCCACAAAAGCGGAGAAGGCAGTTCGGGGCTTGGGGATTTGGTAAACTAGGGTATCATCTGCTACCTTGTCCTCTACTTCGGGTGAAGGCTCGGCGGCTGCCGTCTTTGTGCCTGCGCTAGAGTTCATCAAAGGGAGAGGAAGGAAAGCCGCGAGGCTCTGTAGTGTACTAGTCGACTGCGCCTGTGGCTCGGGTGGATTCTGAACCTCGGTGATGGGCTTGTACTTTCCCTTGTAGTATTCGATAAAAAGATCGGTTGTTCTCTGTGGGCAATTGGAGAGGAGAACACGAGCATACTTCATAAGGTTAAAGTAGGCCTTGAAATAGTTAGTATCATGTTGTGGAACCATGCCAATGGCTAGTACAAACCAGTTCAGGGTCAAGCCTCCAGATATATTCCACAGCCTCTGCATACTTCTTCGAGTCCTCAATCAATATGTCAACAACCATGTCGTTTTCGCCGTACTTTGTAGCCAAGTAAGCGGCTTGCTCATAGTAGCCGCCCTGACGGCACATAGCAATAGCTGTTTCCAAGTCGAACTTTAATTCCCCGGGAGCTTTGATGAACTCATCTAATTTGCCTGTGTCTTTGAGCTTCGCGTAGCAGTTCAATAACAGCGTCGTGTGGTCAACTGTGGCACGATCATGGTCGTGCAACTCTTCGAGGTACTCGATCAAATTGTGGATACGCTGCGTATCCAGATACTGTGTCCATGCATGGTTAGTTACGAGCGTGCAGTACGCGTGTGGAGTTCCAACCTTCCGAATGACTTGTGATGGTTCTGTGTTATCAATGGCCCGGAGGTACTGCTGCATGGCTGTGTCATAGTCGCCCCTCTGGTACAAGAAATCGCCATATTTACGGTAGATGGCATTTTGCTGTAAAGTATCGACACCTTTCTTCTGTGCCAAATTAATCGCCAGTATGTAGAGACTGCGCTGGTAGAGAATTTCGAGTTTTTGCTGCAGGCTCTTCTCACGATAGCGGTATATCTTCATCAGGTTAGCATGGTCACATTATTACGACACGAACCTGCGTACCTTCCCGTCCGATGTCAGAATGAACAGATCGCCCCACTCAATGAACACTTGTTTCACAGGAGACACCAGGGACTCCGAATGTGCAATGAACTTCAGATCCGTGTCCAGCAATGTAAAGGTGGTTGTGCTGAAAATATCATTAGGCTGGCTGACATCGAAGTTCCGCAAAGTACCCGAATTTGAAGTGGCGATCTTCGGAGGGCAGACTAGTGCGACATAATCCTTGAAGATGTTGATTGAGTTCTTAGGACTGTCGAAGGCATAGCTGGGCCCGCGTCCATGCGGCCCATAGGTGTATATCGCATCCTCTCTGGCCACAAGAACGTCACCGTTGTCTTTGTCCAGAGCCATACAGCCGAGAGCGCAGCCAGTGTCTTCGAGGACTCGAGCTGGTTGGCCCTGTCCCCTACCAGCGATAACCAATGCTAATATTCGGTTCGTTGTGGAAATATACAGGATGGATATCGGACCACTGTGTATTTCTAGTCCAGTAATCGGTTCTTCTGATTCGAAGACAATACGTTGCCGCGCGCCGCGATCATGAATTAAATCGCCACGAATGATTGCCACGGAACCATTGGCGAAACCCACGGCGACTTGCGACAGGTCGGGAACGGCCGTAAATGCAGATATCTGCCCATTAAGTACTTAGCAAGAGTTCAGGCACCACCGAGAGCGAACTAACGTACGGGGAATGGTCTTCTAGCATTCTGCACCGGGGTCGTTGATAAGCACCTAGGGGCTCCCGTTTTCTTCTCCGTCTTATCCAGAGCCCAGACTTTCAAAGCTGGTTCATTTGAGGCATCATCAGCGATCGTAACAAGGAGTGATGTTCCTTCTATCTGTTTGATATGCGTGATAGGGCCGCCCTCGGATGCGTTGAACGATCGGACGAGCTTGAAGGAGGGCGAGATGAGGTGGACGAAGCCATCGGTGGATCCAAGAAAGAGATTCGATGAGCCGGTACAAAGGGAGGAGATGTCGGACTAATTCCAATAATATCAGATTAGTATGCCCACATAGTGGTGAGGTGGTAGTAAGTACGTACACTGAATATCGACGAGCTTTCCTCAGGTAGCTTGACGGAAGAAACGTCGAAGAAGTTGAAGGCTTTCCACTGTGACACGGCGTATTAGCAAGTACACTTGCGACAGATATCAACAGGAGCCTTACTGATGTTAGAGCCATTTGTACGTGGCCCACACCATGGACCGATAACAATAAGCTGGAGAAGGTTAGATTGACGGAATGTTGTTCAGGTCCGGAGGTGTATGATTGCCTAGGCCGAAACGGGACAGCTCCGCCCGCACTAGTTTTATCAGATCAGGAGACAACAACTATAACAATCGAAGATGGTTCTATAGATTCATTGGAACTTCTCTGATCGTCCCTACATATCAATTGAGTTACTGGGAGGTAGGAAAGACTACACTTGTTAATCCACAGCTAAAACATTTTTCATCTTCTCTTTAGACCAATTAGACGAAGTAGTCATCATGTTAGGTCTGAGGGCCCTTGTAGGTCTACAGAACGACGGGAAACTGCTGCTCATTACTAGTAATAGAGATACCAAGACAGGTTGAATTTGTGATATTAATCAGGGAAGAACTTAAAAGAACCAAAGAGCATTCAAGATTGCAATTCCCTGTACTCTGAGTAGATATCGAGCGTGTCTTCCCCACACTGGGGAGCATTACATCACTTGAGCCCACGCCGGCAGGAGCTGCTCCGAAGCTGGCTGTTTAGTAGTGACAAGGGCATGTCATCATCCGATCACCTCCAGCCTCCTCTTTCTCCTTGCATTCTTTCTCTTCCTTCCATTCATCTCACCTCAATTGCTTCATTTTCGCATAATACATCCCCTGCCACCGATCCTTATCGTCCTAAAACAATTAAAAATGAGTTTCGCTCGTGCTAACCTCCTTCGCGCATCTGCTCGCGCTGTCGGAGCTGCATCTCGTAGGCCTGCGCAGCAATTCGCTCGCCGCACATACGCCTCTGAATCATCACACGGTGTCCAGAAATCCAGCGACCTGCCATGGTAAGCCACGATAACAATCCTCTTTCCTCCTTGCAACACACGCGATGCATCACATCAGGTTGCAATGCAAATGCTAATACCAATTGACTGCAGGTTGCTGGGATCGGTCGGCTTGGGAGTACCGGCTGCCTATTACTTGCTCTCCTCCGGTCCTGAAAAGAAGCCCCACGGTGGCCACGAAGACCACCATGAAGCCGTGAAAGAAACGGAGAGGGAGGAACAGGCTCCCGCGGGAGAATCCGAGCCCCAGCCCGATCGGGATGCGGAGCAGAAGGTCGACACCGAGGCTTCTTCGTCCTCATCTAACGAGAAGGGTGGATCATTTGGAGAGCCGCCATCTAATGTTGACGAGGTAAGGTCTATCCCGTTTATTGTGCGCTTGATAAGATTTGGGCTCGCGATTATGTTCAATGTGGTTGGTCTGACTATTCTGGTGATAGGCTACTGCCCGCGGGGGAACCGGAGGACCAGCCACTATCTCCGGCAAGCAGGAGGGCGTCTCCAATACTGACACTTCCAACCCGTATGTTAATGAGCCGGGAAAGAGCGAGAAGGGCGAGGGAGAAACGGAGACGGCTAAGGTGAAGGGCACTGTGAGTCCGGAACGACCCCAGGCCTAGAAAACGGCATACTTCTTCCCAGCGCATTTGTACGAGCGGTGCTCTGATAGTTGCTTTGGCATTTTCTGAATGTAATACAACACTGATCCAAATTCATGTGAACTCCTGTCTTTGATAAGACGCTTGTATCTGTAACCACGTGGGAGCTTGATGGCCAATGTGGCCGAGGCGTTAATCATGCATCGTTCTCCCGAGCTTGTAACCAGCTACTGAAAGTAAGTGGACATGAACTTTGAATCTTGGCGCAAATAACCTATCAGCGCAGATCTATTATTATTATTATATGATAATTGCGCGTAAACATCCCCAGGTTTCTCTCCCTCAGCGCACATCAATGGAATCGTCACTATATCCATTCAGCTGTGCCATGCACAACGCCAGACGACCAAATATATAAGAGGAAAGAGGAAAAAAAAAATGTGTGCAGCGAAGCAAATCTCGTAGACCATGAATACCGATGCGACAACCATGCAAAATGCTTCATTTAGAAGCAGACCAAAGTAAACCGCCACATGAAAACGGCGAAGTATGAGTTGTTGACTCAATTCGCCCAAGAGCAGATAAAGAGAGAAAGCAGTGCAAACTCCGGCAACACCGCATGAGACAAGCCCTGCATTTTGAGCGTATAGAAGTGCTAGAGCGCAACTTCTACCGGCGGCTAGATAACTTCTCGTTGAGGGGCTCCCCGTTTACCAGAACTTGCGGAGCTTGGTTCTCCTTACCGACATTTCGGGCAGTAACGGTGGGCACTTCAGCTCCAGTCGCCAGAGTAGCACGGCCGTTTTGCTCCTGTTCCGCTTCTTCTTCTTCTTCTTCCTCCGTATCCTCGTCATCACTGCGCTCATCCTTCCTGATACTGTTGAAGACGTAGTTCTTTAGGATGCGAAGGATCAAGAAGAGCCAGAAAAGGTTGACGGCCTGCAAGCTCGCCAGCAAGGCAAAGGTGATATATTGACTGATCCAGCACTTGTATTGCTGGGTCTCCCAGTTTAACTCGAAAGGACCAACGGTTCGGAATTCGGTGAGAACCGCCCAGAGAATCTTCAAGTTCAGGTAGTGGCGAAGGTAGATCCACATTCCAACAAACATACCGAAGTATGGCGGAGTAATGAACGAATCAAGGTAGTTGAGTGTTTTCGAAGTCTAGTGCTATCAGTATCTATCACCGGGAGATGGTCAGGACGTAAGCATACCGCGAGGAAGAAGTCAGAGACATCGTGCGTGATGTAGACCGCAATGCCCATGTAGGTGAAGTGGAACCGATAGCTCAGAGCGATGAGAGCCAAGGTGATGATGTGATGTCCGACAAGTTCTTTGAAGTCCTTTCGGGGCTTCTCCAGCTGGAGTAAGAGCACAATGGCTTGTTGAGCCCAGTAGCTCGCCTGCAACAGATAATAGGCCTTAAACAGCGCCTCATGCTCCCGGTGCGGGAAACCCTCATACATCGCCGTTGTGTTGAAGTACCAAATATCAGACCTGTACATCACGTACAAACCAAATGGGCCAAAAATCCCGAAGTAGATCGCTGTGTACACCTGCTCCATGAAGCGTGCAGTCTTGCCTTTGCCGCGGATTCCGCAGTATACCGCCCACGGCCGGATGATGCGCTGCATGATGAATTCCCGAGTGAAGGATAAGACAATGGTGTAGAACGAGACAAAGGCAATGTCCTTAGGACCTTTTCCGTACATGACCGGGCCACCAGGGGTTTTCGGCCCTTGCGGGTAGGACAGAAAGATTGCGCTATGTAGCGGATTGGACGGGTTGGGGTTGACTGCATACAGGGCGAGCAGAACAATCAACATGACGAGAGGCAGTAGCCATGTATGTTTCAGGCATTTGTCTTTAAAGCGGCGGAGTAAGGATCTGCTTTTGCGACGCTTCGATTGCGACTTGAGCGACTTCTCGGAAGACTGCGATACCATAGGCCGGAGTGAGCGTAGGCTCGGAGGAGCATTTGAGTGAGGGCATTTGAGTGCTGCGCAATCGATCAAGACCATACCTTATGCCATTTTGGAGCATCCGTTTCAATCGGACTGACCTCATTCATGGTCGACATTGCTGGTGCGCTGGTGTCACCCGGGATATCCGCGCCCAAGTTACTCGAGCTCCGGCCGCGAGCCATGATTAGATGGAATAGGTTGAGTACTAATCCAATACTAAAGTCGTCCTATGGCTGTCCTCCTTGACACTTTCCCAGAGCGTATCTCGATCAGCGTCGGTTTTCGTAAGAGTGGTTTTTCTAAGATTCCAACGCGGGATCCTCCGCCGTATCGGAGCGGAATCGAAGATAAGGGAAACAGAATAGAATTAAAGAAGAGGATAGGGTCGGAGAGAGAACAACAAAAGAACACAAAAAGAGATTGTACCGACGAAAGGTTGAAAAGCCCTGACCCTAAGAAATCGAGAACTGCTGGGGTACGAGTACGAGACACCTAATTCGTTTGAATTGTCAAGAGCGCAAATTAAACCCAATCCAGGGGGTCTTTTTTTCTTTTTTTTTTTTCCTCCGCCCCGGGCTCCACCGCCAACACAGCCATTCAGCGCTTGACGGAATCCCGCCCATATGTTGGGTCGTCTCTTGAATCTTATCGTCATCCTTTACTACTACTAACTCGTTCTTAAACATTATTTGGTACACAGCCAGGTTCCCGCTGCAAGGTCAGGTTGTATTCAATGCAACAGTTGCAGACCGCTATCATAATCCACAAATGTCACCGTTGTCGTCTCGAAATCAAATATTCTGACGCCAAGACTCCTGAAAGTCGACCAGTCCCACATGCGATCAGCGGTATTCTCTTTGATGTGGAATTGGACCGAGGATGAGGCGCTTAACCGGACAAAGTGGAAATCTCGACTACTCAGTTGAACTCAACCATCTCGAATCGAAGCGATTTATTCTTTCCACCCACGTATCATCATACCCTTACTTCAGTGGTCTGAGCGGCTTAAGCAAGATCAACTACGGAGTAAAGTCCATTTATATACATGACTCCCCTCTCAGGTTGACCACTATGGCGACTGAGAGTATCGTTCGGACACGTTTAAAACTGCTTTGTTCTTACAATGAGGATAGTAAATCTCGAGGTGCAGAACCCTATCGCAGTAGACGACGCTGAGCGGGAGCCTTAGTATGCGTCAATCTACCCATAAGCCCGATGTAGCCTCAGCCTCAGCCTAGTTTTATGTGATTTTCAGAGTCTATTTAGCTGAAGGAACAATAGATAAGCCTTCGCAAGAAGAGGCTACTACGTCGGATGGATATCATGGCATCGGCTGGATTTCCTGCGAACGTCAATGGTGGTACCTTCGGTTCAGTAGCCGCCGCCGATATTCAGAAACTCTTGCGTACGAATGATTGTGGTGGAGAGCGATTACGGTCACACAGCGGACACCAGGTGCGGCATATAGAAACCTCGCAGAGATGGGTTTAGACTGATGGCCCAAGTCTGTTGCACAGGCATGCAATCGGGCATTGATTTGCCGTTTGGATCTAGATATTATTGCCAGACAAATATCACCCCACGAATAAGAGTTAAAGTACCCAGCTGGAAGAGTCCTGGGTGGTTCGTTCCAAGGGTGCGTATGCATTGCTCCTGCATTGAATCGATGCATGGGTGTCTTAAGAGCAATGTCAATTGAATTTGCAGTTTTTTGCACCTGTGCCCCAGAAGAGCCTATTCTCTCTCACCTTTTTACCTAGATACAGACTAGGACGACCCTTTGCATCGTCATGATCCATGACATGGCTCAGTCCGAGTGGTATATATTGCCCTAAAAGAACAGGAAACTGGCGGGGTTCACGTATGGACAGAGCACTCAGAGGGCCAACCTATGAGGATAAAACGGCGAAGGAGATCACTTGGACTCGGCCCTAAACCGCTCCGATTAACCCCGGTTCTGGGGTGCAAAGTGGCGCCGACTCAGTATGCCACCGCTTTATCTGACAGTGATGATGCGACTATCTCTACTAGAGTAAATGTGCTCCGTGTTATTTCCTACCATCTCTACACAAGGCCGTGGCCGTGGCTGTCGATGGGGTTCCGGCTGTGACAGTTCAGACGTCGTCGAACGAAGTCATTCATATCTCTAAGCTACTAAAATTCTTTGGGGTTGGAGACAGACTAATGCTGAAGAACGTCTCTAGAACCGACATGTGAGTAGACTGGCTGTCCCTTTGAAAACGGCAAAAGACCGCAAATGTGGCTTGTGGAATATTCAGACTCTCTTTTTAGTCGCAGCAACAGCCACAATCCCTCTAGGGATCCAGACGGCAAGGTCTACCATGGATCATGAACTCCCCATCCACGAATGACATATCAAAATCATGGCATTGTAGGTTCAGACTCAGATCCGCTGCCCTGATTTCCAGGCGTAGCTTACATCATGAAGGAATCGGACTGTGCCAGTAGCCATACACCTTGATGGGGCCATGTATAGATGCCCTATTCAAAGTGGTATATGATTCGTAGTAATCCATGCGCCTCGAAAGCATGTTGGCCGCATATTTTCTTACTCCAGGCAGAGGAAAGCGACGATGACGATTAGACCAAAGTGCAGAGGTACAACAGCCTCTGTTCAAGTCAAAATCGTGATAAAAGTGCGTGAAGCGTTCCAGAGACAGTCCTTTCCTGCCGTCTCTCGGACTGAATGCTCACCTATGATGGAATTCACATCATTGCTGCTCCAAGAAAACCCTAAAGAAGTGCTTCAAACGGACGTTCTCCAGCTAGGAGGGTCTGCAGCACTTTTAGGGATTATTCTGCATACAACCATCTTCCGCACATCCTTTTGTGTGGAAAATCACATCTATAATCTACTGGCGCTCTACGCCGCGACTGTTATATCTTTATTCTATACATACTTTACGATCACGGTGCTCTCTCCAATGCAAGTTCTAGGCAGAGTTACCTTACTCACCACTTTGTTCAACACCAGCCTCATTAGTAGTATTAGTATATACCGATTATTCTTCCACCGACTTCATCCTTTTCCCGGGCCCTTCGCATGCAAGCTCACCCGTTTCTACAGCGCTTTCTTAGCGGCAAAGAATATCCAATACAATGTGGAACTTAAAAAGCTCCACAAGCAGTATGGCGATTTCGTCCGCACAGGTAAGCTACTCTGACTAAACATCCACAAAAGCTGCTCTAACCAGGAACCATGCCAGGGCCCCGTGAGATCTCCATCCTCCGAAATACGGCACTACCCATAATCTACGGTCCCCATACTAAATGTCGCAAGTCAACCTGGTACGGGCACTTGAATGTAGATCATACAAAAATATGCATGGCTTTAAGCCGTGACTTCAACGACCATCGGCGACGAAGAAAGGCGTGGGACCGAGCCTTCAGTATCAAATGTTGGTCAATCCCGCATCCACAGATAGTAAATATGCCACTCTAGTCCTATACTAAAGAACAAGTAATAGCCCTCAGCGTCTACGAACCCCGTGTCATAGCGCAGGCGAAGAAGCTCATTGCCCAGATCGAAGCCAACCAAGGAAAGTCGCTTGATGCAACCACCTGGTCTATGCTTTACACCTTCGATATCATGGGGGACGTCGGGTTTGGTAACGACTTTGGCAATCTCACAACTGGGAAAGCACACCCTGCTATCAACGCTGTTCGTGACCATATGCGCTTCATTGCTGTCGCGGGCCATCTTCCGTGGCTTTTGAATATGCTTGGTAAGATACCAGGCGCGGCGGCTGGGTATCAGGGTTTCTTCAAGTGGTGCACTGATCAGGTTGAAAGCAAGCGCAAGGTATCAAATCCTCCTTATTCTTCTGGTTTGGCTGTAGATTGATTGTGCATGGGACTAAAGTATAAGCCGATTTAACGCAACAGAGTTGGGACCACGAGAAATATCCCCAGGACATCGTTTCCTGGATCTTGAAAGCTTTCATAGACAACGACGTGTCGGCCCCACCGTCCGAACCAGCTCTTCATGACGACTCGCGGGTGGTGGTGATTGCAGGCAGGTACGTATTTATGCCTTTCCTTTCTTTGAAATGGAAGTTTGCCCCCAAACCTAGCACATCTAACCCATCAGAACCAGCGACACAACCGCCTCAGCCCTAGCAAACACCATCTACTTCCTCGCCAAGCATCCTCAAGTCCTCCAAAAACTCCAAACCCAACTGGACAGTGCAATGCCCAACGGCCCCCAAAGCTGGACCTATGACAAGACCAAACCCCTAACCTACATCGACGATATAATCCATGAAAGCCTTCGTCTGCGGCCCCCCGTCTCAAGCGGTGGATACCGCGTAACATCCTCCAAGGGCCTCCAGATCGACGAAGTCTTCATCCCAGGAGATGTTAATGTGTTCGTTCCACCGCAGCTCATCCAAACAGACGAACGATACTACAAATTTTCTAAGCAATTTATCCCCGAGCGATGGGGTGAAAAGAGGGTCGAGTGGGGGACTGACAACGCACCTTATTTTCCGTTTTCTTTGGGTGAGTTTTTATTTATTCCCTTGATTCGTGGCCGTCACGCTTCTATACGATGTGGAGTATACGATGCCAGGCGTAGATACAGGTTATTGACACTGGAATTCCTATAGCAGTCTACGGCTGCGTAGGGAAGAATCTAGCTCTGCTTAGTCTCCGCGTGGCCGTATCTACCCTGGCACAGCGTTACGATATCAGGTTTGCGCCTGGTGAGACTGGAGAGGCGTTTTGGAATGATGCGTTGGATACATTTACCACCTTTCTGCCACCTTTGCACGTTGTGTTTCAGCCGAGGAAGTTGTGATTACCAGACTTTTCTTGAACATCCTTCATGTTTGATATTTGTGGGTGGGGGTTTGTGATTTTGGCCCTAAAAGAACAGGTGTCAATCACATAGGTCAAGTCCCTACACCTCAAGTCCATATCGTTATCTCTTACCTCCATATGTGTACTACTCGTATCTATAAGACCACATAAGACCACCCATTAAGAAAGAAAAGCGGCTCTTCAGCACAGACCATCTTGGCCCTGCGGGAATAGATTCTCCGATACGTCGGGATGAAACGTCTTGAAATGCAGCCAAGAAACCGACTTATTGGCGCTGAGGAGAAAGACAAGGCCCGAATCGTTTCAAGTCGGCTTCCCGAAGTGTGACGGCAACGGCCTGCTACTGTCGTGCTATGGCAGGTTTGAGTCGGACTTGCTTGATCCATCACAGAGTGGCTTGTTGTATAGATGGATTCTTATGTTAGTTCAGTTGGTTGGTATATGTGGTTCTATTCGAGAATATTTGGATATGTTTGTTTGTAAGATGTATTGTTGAGCTGGGGAGATAGTGGTTCCTTTGTGAAGGGAAAAGGTATTCCATAGCTATAATGTTGGGGTTCGTTGTATTACTTCCGTTCATTTTGTACACAAAAGACAGTTTTAAACGGTTGAGAATAATTAGTATAAAAAAGACACGAGTGAATTAGAAGCTATCACATAGAAACACTAGGTATCAAGGCATCATCGTTCTCTCGTAAACATGAACTAATTAAGTCACACATGTTCATAACAAGCCCACATAGAAGGGGAGTTTGTTAGATTGGTATATAGGCGAGTGATTAAATATTTTCTTTCAGAATTCAACCCCGAACAACCAGTACTTCTGATCCTCATCATCCAATTATGCGGTCTCAGAATGCTGGACGGTACCGCCGACCTTCTTCTCCTCGTCGAAGCCGACCTGTTCCAGGGTGGCGCCGCGCGAGAATTCGTTCTTGGTCTTCCAGGCGGGAATACCGATGTACGGAAGGCCGGTGGGGTCGGTGAAGATGGCCTCGACGTCTTCCAGAGTCTTACCAGCGGTTTCAGGGAACATGAAAAACACATGGACGAACATGGCCGTACAGAAGACACCGAAGACGATGTAGACCTGCCACTTTATGTTCTCAAAGGCAGGGGGGACGAACCAACCCAGAGCGAAGTTGAAGGCCCAGTTAAACGAGGTGCACAGAGCGTTGGCCTTGCCACGGACACGCAGAGGGAAGAGCTCGGGGGGGTACACCCACGACGCGGGGCCCCAGGTGATGGCGTAGGAGGCGACGAACAAGTAGGTGCACGCAATGACAGCCTTGGAAGGAGGGCCGGTGATCTCCCAGGACTCTGCGGGTGTTCCATTGAGACCGCCCGGGGGAGCGGCATGGCCGTGTGCGGCCATCAGACCAGCATTGGCGTACATCCAGGTCGCCATGAGGGCCGCACCAATAAGGAGAGTGGGACGGCGACCCCAGCGATCCAGCCACAGGATAGCAGGGATGGTCATGAACACGTTGATCACATATTGAATACTGGAAGACACCAGAAGGTTGTTACCATTCAACCCGGCCATCGCAAACACATACGTAATGTAGTACATCATCACGTTCATGCCTGTAAGCTGGGACCAGATTTGCGTAAAGACACCGACGTGAGTACGGTTGATCATGTTCGGCTTGATGAGCTCCATGAAGCTCACGTCGGCATTCTCACGTTCAAATTCACACATGCCCTTAATCTCCTCGAATTCGCTCTGGACAAAAGGAGAGTCCGGGTCGCCGTGACCATGAACCAAGGTAAGGACAGCATGGCACTCCTCCCAGCGGTCCTTACGGGCCAGCCAACGAGGAGACTCAGGAAGCAACATCATTCCAAGGAAAAGAAGGATGGCAGGAATCATCTGCAGACCCCAGGGAATCCGGAAAGCGGCGGTGCCCTTGATAAAGCTACATCCATAAGAGATGCTACAGAGGGATCAACGGTTAGTCTGGAGACAGTAGTGGGGAGTTCCGTGACTAGACTTACTAGAACATGATCAAGATACCCCACGTGATGGCCCATTGCTGAAGACCAACAAGACGACCACGCTTGGTAGGAGGGGCCTGGATGAGGGGTCAGCAAGTTGGCAGGAGTCAAAGGTCAAGGCCATAGTAGATACTTACGATCTCAGAGATGTAGACCGGGACCTGAGCGGAGCAGATACCGACACTGAAACCGTTGATGATACGACCAACAATCAACATGGGAATGTTCTGGGCGGCGCAAACAAGAATACATCCAATGCACCTAGTCAACGGTTAGGAAAGTCCCAAACGGGCGGAAATATTTGTCGGCTTACCAAATCACGGAACCAATCATGATTGACTGCTTACGACCGAGCATATCAGACAGGTATCCAGAGCACAGAGCACCTAACCAGGAGCCACCAGCCATGGCTGCCGTGATACCACCCTGGGTCATTGTGTCGGGGCCTCCACATTCCTTTTCACCGTTCTCATTGATCGTCACACTTCCTCCGTTGTTGAAATAACACTTATAGGTGTTTGTACCGATAATCGCAGACATGGACGAGATATCGAAACCGAAAAGACCACCGCCGATAACGGCGATGGCCGCAATGACATAAATATTGCCAATGGCCATCTTGAAGGCAAGACGTACCTCACCACTCCACTCTAAGCAGGATGGGGTAGACGGCTACCTGATGAAGACAGAAGCCACAGAAGAGGGAGGTACAAAAACTGTGTAAGAAAAAAGTTTTAACCCACCGTAGGGGACGGGCCGGTCTTAATATACCCGAGAGCAGGGGACGGAAATTTTGCCTTTCGATGTCGCATCGAATGACGGCCAATTCCGTCTAAATTCCTGATGACGCTTGAGCCTGTACCGACCCGAAGTGCCATAATGGGGAAAGGGCTGCACGCCATGCGACTGGCGAGATTAGTCTAAGCTAGCGAGATTTACTGGATTCCAACCGGTGAGACAACCAGAAAACCATATCCAATCATGGATCAGACACATCATATAGACGGCCCACCGGAGCAGCTCTTCTGTCAATGATGACACAGGGTAGCAGCCTTTCGGCTGTCCGAGTCAAAAACGGACGGGTTCCTCATTCAGTAGGAATGGGGAAACCCGCGGGGAGGCAACACATGGTCTGGAGATTTAGGGTCAGTGAGGGGATCAGGCCAGAGTAACCAATCCCATGATCAAGCATCCATGCAATCATTTCGCTGAAACGATTCATTGGGAGACTGGGAAATGGAGGACCACATCTCGGCTCCACCGGCTGCGACCTGAGGCCAAGGGGAGCCGTTTGAGAAGTAATCAAGGACGGAAGGGTCGTGGTCAGCACAATACATAACTCCGGTGGATAGTGTGAAGCCGGGTTGTTCGACGAACCAGAGCTGCGACGTGGAGGGATCCGGGGAAGCCTGACCACGCGGGTTAAGACTAGTGTTCCTAGGCCGATGGGGCCGTGAAAGGAAGCGACACCGAAAGTGACCTATTGCGCCGGAGGGCAAAACACGGCGAGTCGTATCCTTGAGACCTAATTGCCTTTGAACAGAGCCGATTGCAGACGGATCGGCACACATCGCTTCCTTTCCCGGCCGTCGGGGGTGTAAATTGATTCCCAGGGACGGACTTCCCGTCACGGCGCTTGTCAAGTGAGGAGTGAGAAAAGCAAAAGAAAAAAAGGTCCGAGGGATTGAAAACTAGGGGGGGGGAAATAAATAATAATAATAATAATAATATCTAAGTAAAATAAAAAATAAAAAAAAAGTTAGAAAAGCAAAGAGGAAATATACTGTGCAGAGCAGGTTCAATCAATAGAAGAGGGTGCCGATCGCTGACATCCATCACTTTACCAAAACAGAATCTAAACAGGCACGGGAACTACTCCTCAACCGCTTCGGAACATGCCATTCAAAGCGAAATGAAAAATCTGGAATCGCTTACCGGGTTCCATGGACCCGGATGGATTCAGGAAAAGTTGATGAGCGTTAGTGATGGTGGTGGTAGTCGTTGAGGTTCGGTGGATATTCAATGTGGAGGAATAGGAGGGGCCCCAAACCCCCGACCAATTCCCCAGAACAAACAAAGCAATTTCCAGCCTAGAATCTTAGGCTCCATACTAAGAGACGGTTTAACCCGAGAGAGCAAAAGGGAAAGTGGAGACGACGAGCGAAAGGGGGCGAAAATAAGGTGAACAAATGAAAAGACCCCATTTCAATTTTCCCCAAGCCCCGAAGGAACGTTCCTGATTGGAGGGACCAGCAGCATGTGCCTCGGCCAACGTGCCATTTCCAGAGTCGGAAATTCCACCAATTAGGGCAGCGGCACATCACAAGTCATGCTCCCGGTATCATGGAATAACCTAAGCATTATAAACAAAAATACACAAGAGAGAAAAAAAGGAAAGAACATGATTCATACATTTAGTGAAAAAAAAAAAAATCCATACCCTTTACGACATACCCACAGTAAAGAATGCTCAACAATTATCAAACGCTACCAACTAACTGATGTCCCGTGCCATGCGAGGCGGTCGTCTGGCTGGTGGGGCCCTGTGCAGCGCTCAGATACATCGATGGTACTCGATCACAGTTTTGCACATCCCTCGCAAGGTTTACAACCATTATCCCCTCATATTACTTAGTGTCATGTTATATTGCTTCTAATATAGGATACCTGCGTTGCACCAACGGAAGTATTGCCACGTACGTATGAAGAAGGATGTCTGTACCCAAGGCAATACTGGACTGTACCATGTGAGGGGGCTTCGTATCCACGATACTAATTTAGCAGCATCATGATATTAGCCGACAACCTTTACCTCCTACCCGTAGCGTTGTCTTGTATCAAGCCACAAAGGCTTATGACTGTGAAAATTTTTTCCCTTGGCCTTTTTCTTCGAATCGCTTTAACTTTTCCGATTTCTTACGTTTTATAATTTCCCCCACGTTAGGGGGCAGAAGGATTGTGGCCATAGACCTAACATGATTGGATTTTTGAATTCAAGAAAAGGTGATCTTGCGGTTATACCCCGATATGTCCCCTCTGAATGGTCAAGGTATGTTCCTGTAGTGCCTGATTCGGCCTTGACTAATAACTGAGGTCCTTGGTCACCGTAAAGAAAGAATCCATATGGCTATTTAGCCAAGGTACTTCCGTCCGTAGGGTTAGTGTGACTTGCACGTTTGCTCGGTCGTCGCCCGAATTCGGCTTGTTCCACGAGGCTCTAAGAATATTCTCGATCTCTAATTGATATTCCGTTCACTCTGGTGCATCTTGCTATGGGGTGATAGTCAAATCCCCGCCTGGATTCATGATCTTTCGGGATTACGGAAGAAGCGTCATTCATTATCATTAGTGTATCCTATGCTAAGCAACATCATGATCCCTGTTCTAGCGGAAGAAACTTCGGGTGCGAGGAATCGGGTATTAGGGAAATTCAGAACCAATGGGGACGTCGCCATGAACAAAGCCAAGCGGCGCCTAATTCCAAGCCCGCAAGACCGTTAAGGCTGCACGCTAAATCACACCAGCTGCCACTCCGCAATGTAAGCCCACGCCATTCCTACCCGACCGACTTGCTGCCGATATTCTTCCGCGGTCACGCCCCGTGCGTCCTTTCGATCCCCGAAGCTGGTAAGTACGGCGATGGCTAGCTTCTGACCGGGTGCGCCCAGTATCTTGGCATTCGGTACGTCGACATACCAGAAGTCCCCACCTCCCCCCGGTCCGGAGCCCCGGACATGGGTGAAGGGGAGACGGTCCTCTTGCCGACCGTCGAGGCCGTGAACCATCAGCAAGAAAAGCCCAGGCTTGGCTCGGGTGTGATGCTCCAGAGTCCAGTGTTCGCAGATGAGATTGAACTGGAACCGGAGCGGGTTGGGGTCGTGGATGGAGATTTGCTTGGCCGCCGGACGGAATGACCGTTCGCCGATGCTGTGATTTTTTGCGTCGCCAAAGATCGTCGGCTGCTCAGCGCTCAACGGTGAGTTCGGGTTGCCCTGGATGTACTCCTCCCAAGTGATCTCGGGCCGGCCATCATCCCGGAAGAAGTGAGATCGGTTGGAAGGGAAATGTCGGAGCCCGAACTCGTCATTCGAGTCGGTGAACATGGCAGGGTTGAAATGCTTCTTGTAAGGGCGACCTGGGCCCTGAACTACACCCGCGCCCCAACAGGCGTCCAACAGCTTCCACTGTCCATTATCAATTCTCACTGCACTCCAGGCATGTCCGGTTGCCGAGACCGGTGGCATAGGGGAACCTGGAGCTGGAGCTTCATAACCATAGCCCTTGCCGTGACCAGCGACTACTACCGCTTCGAGCCCAGCGTGAGTTGCGAGAGTGGCAAACAGACTGGCGTATCCCTCGCACACTGCTAGTCCTGACGCTAGAGTCCCAGCTGGCGTGGAAGGTTTTACACATTTGTTGAAGAAGGAATGCACATCATATTCTATATTGTGATGGAACCAAGTGAACAACGCTCTCGCTTTATCAGTGGGCGAAGGAAACGGCGCTGTCAGTTCCCTTGCTAGCCATGCCAGGTCGTAAGACGGCAGAGATTCGCGGGGATATCGCGCTGCGTGAGCATCAGGCGTCGAGAAATCGCGGCACTTCAAGCACAGTGTGCTCGGTGCCGTAGCTGCAGGCGTGATTTTACAAAAGTTAGGTTTGGTCGCCTGAAGTTTGGCGAGATCGACAGGTGGACGTGTCGCTCTGGGAACTGGTGGGGGCACCCCGTTCGGCTGCGACTCTTGTACACCACCATTCGTCTCTTGCCTAGAGCTCTCGGCGTTCCGGTTTATCCCTGCAAGCCCTGAACTTTGAATCTTCTCTAGGGCAGCACTCGAAGGAGGCGGCGGAGGCAGTTTTCTCGTCGATTGCTTGCCATTGGTGTCCGCACTTGGTCCGGGTGACTTGTCACTATTTATCCTAGAAGGTAATGGCGGGGGAGGCCGAGACGTAGAACGGCTCCCACTAGTTGACGTGCTGTTGGTCGACTCTCGTCGAGGGGGCAGTGAGGGGCGACCCTGTGAGAGGCTTCTGCTGCTGTTTGCGGGCGACGGTCTCGGCCGTGGGGGCGGCTGAACTGTCTTTGTCTCTGGCCTTTTCGGTGGCAATGGAGGCAACTTTGTACCCCAGGCAGGCGCACGTACGCTGCGGATGGTATCCGAGTTATTAGATGTGGTCGATGCTATTGTAGCCCTTCCAGCACTTGTAGACGTTGAATGGGAGATATCTGAGCATAGGGAGTCCCTAGATTCCTTTCGAGAGAACCCTGACGGTCTCCGCGGTGGTAGCGCTGGTGCTGATTCGGTTGAGGCTTTTCGAACCGGCAACGGTGGAGGGGCCCCTGGTTTCCGGACAGGTGTTGGTGGTGGCCTAGGCACAGGATGTTGTTGGTCCCCCGTTGGCTCATTCCTATCGGGCGAACGATCGCTAAGAGAGCCATGAGAATTGACTGGGGGATTATTGATCGTTTGCTGTCGCGAAGGAGCTGGACGCGATGCGAAAGGGGTTGGTTGCGCCCCGAGTAACGGCGATGCGGCAGCCTGGGGACTTTGTCCAATCTGCGCCTGGTTCAGGGCGGCGATCCTTTGCTGGATGGAAAGGACCTGTGTCTCTTCTGCCATTCTTTCCCAAGCGCTCTATTATATGGTCGTCAGGGACAGTACAATGTCATTAACGGGTAGAGAATTAAAGAATAACGAATGACGACAAAACATCCGGACTCGAATGGATGACCGGATTAGGAAACTTGGCCACTCCGCATTCAGGAACCGCGGTCAGGAACACCTTGAAGTTTGGCGCGCTGAGCCTGTTCACTTGGGAAGGGCAAGAAAAAGTTGTGAGGCAAATACGGGAGTTTTAGGGGGGATCATAGGTTTATAACCACAACCCCTGCATCCTCTGAAAAGCGAGTGGCAGCTCGAGGCTGTGACTGTTTGAGCCTCGCGGGGCCAATCTGTGCCTCAGGTCATTTATTTCCTCTTCATTGTTACATTCGTCCCCGTTCAGGTTTAGCCGCTGATTACATAACAGATCTGGCCCCCTTCTTTGGACGTCATGTGATGTCTGTGCTTCGACGAATTTGGTATGACAAGTTTTGCTTCCAAGGTTGCAATGCAGGGAATATCAGTAAGTTATCTTGTCGCATTGTACATACAGTATTTACAGGCATCCTAGCTTCTTTCATACTAGGTTGCGAACCGCGATTAAGTGTTCCAGTGTTGACAAACCATGATGTTTCATACCTAAAGGCAACCGAAATATATAGTTCTTAAACAAGGAATAACTCCTAATCTATATCATGGCTCACGATCCTTTATGGACTTCTACACACTAATTGCTAGGGCTACAACATAATTTTGACAATAAGAAAAGGGGTATCTCTCCAACTCAAGGTCTGGAAATCCTTCTACCATGAATGTTTTGCAGGATTGGCCGTAATTTTAAAAACCTGTTGCTTCTTACAGATGTACCTCGGAGTCCCCACTACTTAGTCCTATACCGTACTAGGTAAATGGGTCTATATTCTATTCTTATCCCAGGCCCATGCGTCTATAGTTCCCGGCTTCACCAGAAGTGAATGGGAACGATTGGGCACTGTAAGAGTGCTTTCCGGCTTCAGATAATCTCAGTATATTACACCGTACTTCCCTTAGTATTCGAGTGTTTCTTGGCTATGCTATATTTGCTGAGAAAATTACCTAAATATATATCCTATGTTGTAGTCAAAAAACCAACTCACTACAGTAATGCCGTCTAAGTATAAACTGCCTTATTAGAGCTGTCTCGTCTTAGCAACGTTAAATCAAACTTGCATTTCTCTTCTTCTCCTGCGCATGAAGAGACATGTCTGAATCATTGCGCCACTTCAGATGTCCGAGAATTCTTACTCGTATGACGGATTTTCCTATCGTACTATGATAACACGCTAGTTAGTGACAATTTCAATATAATTTGGAAGTGCACCAAACCTACCTAATAAGCCCATCCATTCTAGAAAACATATCTAGTTATTATGTTACCACTTGTGGAAGGCTACGTTCGCCATAAAATTGAGGTCTATAATATCGAGACCTCGCTGTGTTAGCACACTAACACTGGTGACAAAGGACAAGCAAGCACCGACATATTGCTACCTGTTGTATGATTTTGAACTTTGCTCCTTTTTTTTGCCTCTTTTTACTGTGTGAGTACGCGTTTGATTGATGCTACCCTCTCGATCTTCGTCAAACAGCCGGGTTGAGAAGACTAACTGTCTATGACCTTGACTGGAGTAGCTTGATAACAGCTATATGCTTCCCTATAGTGGCCCGGGATATGGGTGTCCTCTCCCAATGATCCTTTGCATTAACATCAGCACCTGCGTCGAGAAGTAGCCCTACTATAGCCTAATGGCCGTTTTTAGCGGCCAGGAATTGCGGTGTACTATCCCAATTATCCCTTGCCTCGATATTGACGCCGGCCTCGAGTAGTAGTTCAACTATGGCTTGATGACCATTATCAGCTACCCATATCAGCGGGGAGCTACTCTCACCCCTGGAATTAATGTCAGTGCCTCCATCGAGCAGGATCTTGCAGGTCTCTAGATGCCCCTCCTCAGCAGCGCATGAAAGTGCCGATTGACCGGAGATCCCATTTATATTGACTGCTGCACCTCTCTTAAGCAGCAGTTTGTTTATGGAGGTTTGACCGGTTGCAGCAGCCCATGAGAGTAGAGTATGTCCACCCCAGGCTCGAATCAAGTTCGCCTCCATTTCGACTTTGGTAAGAGTAACCATACAATAACCAGGTGGCCCTGCCTCACCCCATTGAAAGGGACGTTTGCTCATCGGAACTAATTAGCTTTGCTAAAGTAGTCTCAGAATAGGGGCTTAGTGAAAGTTCGTCGTCTGGAACTTGTATATGCATGATGCGACTAGCTTGAAGACATATCTTTCTTGGAGGATATTGAGACAATTTTAAATTATTAAAATCAATATCCTCGGATTTCGCTGTCCAGACTCTCGTGAAACGCTTCATATTCAGTAATGTGTCTCTCACGTAGATAGCGATCAGCTTGTCTCCGCCATCACCTTTTTTGCAGTGGAGTATCGCCAGGCCCAGTACCTAATATGCGAAGGTCTAGGTGAAATCCTATACTGGTCCCTGTAAAAGGGCTGTTGGGAGCATTAAAGGGATTGAACTGCACAATATCGTGAGAGCCTATAAAGGCAGCCAGAGATGTAGCAAGAATTCCACGAGTGTCAGAGGACCTCCATGCAAATAGACTATGGCCCTCGCAAACACGTATAATTTCTTCTTCCAACCGAATGAATGAGTACTCTCGCTCATTAAAGAGTAGAGGTATATTGACACCGAATATACCAATTAGACAATATGCCCGATCTTCAATTTTTGTTGTTTGTCTCTCTGCAGCCCAGGACATTCGTTGCGCAACACTGAATGTATCAAGTTCATCCTCTCCGGAAAGAATACTCTTGGGTATGAGCGTGAATTCAGATATAGATTCTTGAAGAGTTGCCTTAGTCCCTAGCTCCTCCCAGTTCTCATTAAAAAACATGATTGTAGACGAAGTAATCAGCTCTTGCAATGTCTGTCCTCTGATAAATCATTTGCTTTCCGATAAGGACTTTTTCGACGGCATATCAGAAAGTAAAGTATAATGGGCCGAAGTCTCTTGATAATGGCGAAATATAGAGTTAATAGTCTCCGATAGCTCTGCGCTGTTGGTTTTATCGATACAAGATGTATCGATCCACACATAGTTATATCCCACATCCTTCGCTTTGGCACAGTATTGTCTTAATTTCTTAAATCCCAGTATATTCCTGGTGTGACTTTGATTAATATCCTGGAAAGTAACTTCCTCTTGCTCCCAGGTATGAGACAGGATAGCGTAGGGTGTGATCTCGTTATCGGCAAAGTGTAGGAATTCAAACAGGCCCGCAAGGGACTCCTGTGTCTTGACTAGACGCATGCTTGAAGCTGACTAGGGTTCTTTCTGACAATTCCAAGTAATACTAGTACAGTGGTAGCCCCACTTGCGAATGATATGCTGGCCGGGGTGAAATGGCAGTGAACAAGTTTCAGTCTTGTTAATTTTTATAACTCTCTGCCAACTGCTCCTTGCCCCGCAATTAGATCTATTCGGCCTTGTATTCCCTTTCAAAAGACTTGATATTACAGTTTGTGTATTGTTGGCATTTTTCTATATTTGGGATTATGATTTCTTGTCGATGCTAGTAAATATCCATCGAGTATACGGAACTCTCTTTATTGCGGCCCTCTTACGGCCGAGTTCAAGGATTGAATGGAACGATCAACATAAGGTCTCCTTAATACTAAATCATAACGCAAAATGGAGTTATGTGACACTCAACCAGCAAGCTGTGATAAGCCCTAAATCCGATCGGAATCCTGTAATGTCCTGTTATCTCCGTCTGCGCTACTTCCGGGCCCTTCCCGATATCCGGATCTACTCTCTATAACTTTTACTGTATCCATCACTTCGAAACCGATTTTTATAAGACGACTAAGAAGAGATAGACATATCTATACAGGTACGGTGATTCCAGAATGTCGCCACAAGGCTGGCTAGATATCCACGGACATTTCTACCCACCGCAAGCACCAGGTGAGGCAGAAGCCCTAGCTGAATCCTTCCGAGCAGCATGCTTCATGGTCTCGCGCCCCGTAACATGGGAAGTCGAGTCCATCCTCCAGTACAACGACCGGGCAAACGTGCAGATGCAAATGCTCTCATACATTCCACAGAGCAGTCCCGAGGCACTCAACGAAGCCAATACCTACGCCTCGTCACTTGTGTCCAAATATCCCTCCCGCTTCGGGGTCCTGGCGGCGCTACCAACGAACAATCCAGAGCTGTGTCTTAGCGAAATCAAGCGAACAACATCGACATTCGAGATCCCGGCAGATGGATTCGCTGTAAAAACCGTCTACAAGGGTGTCGGGTTGGGAGATCCGAATCTCGGACCTGTTTGGGATGTGTTAAACTCTCGAAAGGCGGTGGTTCATATCCACCCCAATGCCTACGCGGGGCCAACAAACGGCCGTCCGTCGCCATTGATAGAGGTGGCTTTTGATACCACAAGAACCGTTGTCGACATGCTCTACAATGGTGTCTTCCGACGCTATCCTGATATCAAATTTGTTTTGGCGCACTGTGGTGGGGTTTTGCCTGTTCTGTCTGGCCGGTTGGCGTTGCTCGGGACAGAAGAATGGGTGCCGAATCCGAATGATATCACAAGAAAGGAAATTGAGGAGCAGCTTGGGCGTTTGTTCGTTGACACGGCTGCGACTGCGAAGACGGGGCTTCAGCCCGCTCTGAAGATGGTAGGGCTTGAGAATGTGGTGTATGGGGCAGATTGTGGCGTGCCATGCTCTACTGAACAGACTATGGAGGAAAATAAGAAAGATATTCTGGACTTCGAGACGCAGAATGATATTCCTAGGGGTACTATTCTTGCTAACGGGTGGAAGCTGTTTCCTCAGGCGGCGGCAAGGATACCAGAGAATGATGTCTAGGTTGCTGGTAGATTGCATACAAAACTGGAAGCTAAACAGTCTGCGATGCTCTAATGGTCTAAGCTTGAACATGAAAGTATTCGAGTTCATTTACTAGTAATTTTGCTCCCCTTTTCAATCTCACATATGGATCCTGCCAGTTTCTTATGTTAAACCTTAAACTGCAACGTTTGCGCCTATGCCCTTTTCCATTTCAACCCCCTAATGACCTTTTCGACTAATTTCAGAATAGCCCCTTTCATTGTCCGTTTCTAAAATAAAATGCACAACACACACGATGCTTCAGCAACCCATCCATTACAAATTGGCACTAGTCTTTCCATTGCCCTCGCTTCACTCGGTGATGGACGTCATCCCGATGGGTTCACCGAGTAACCAACGAGAGAGAAGCTCAGACGGGGCATCTCTGTTGGTCATGAAACTGTATATTGAGATTTTTCGGACAGTATGCTTTCTTCCCTCAAGATATGCTTCAAGGATGTGGCTGTTCTGCGGGGACATAAAAGACAGCAGCAGGATCTATGCTGTCAATAAACAGGTAGTCGTTGTCAGAGAAGTGGTGAAGTTTTCAAAGTATACATACTGGTATTACTATATATTGCTCGAATTCAGGCTGGGACTAACGTATGGACATGGCTTTCAGAATAGAGACTAGCTCTCGCACATGTAAATCATTCGCGTCGGCTTCCTGATGAGTGAAGTGCTCCGTAACCATTGTCACATGTGGCATTCGATGATTGTCCACTTCATAAATCGTAACAGTGCGATGCTTGGTATATGCAATGAGGTTTGTCGGTGCATAGTAAACCTTTGTGAGAGGGTTGGTGTCGCTGTGACTGGTTGGAGGTAGATTAGAAGAATACTATAAATCAAAACCTCGCATCTTGTTGAACCTGGAAAGAGAGGTTATGTAAGCACAAGCCAACAAAGAAGGCATATAGAGAAGAAACTTCTTTGCGACCACTTACCATGTACTGGAAGGCTTTCTTGGTGTCTGCGAATTCGAAGACCTTCTCATCGACAACAGGCTTTAGATTCGTGGTCTCAATAGCGTGGACCATATCCTTGAGCAAGGCACGGCTGCCGGCATATACACCACGAACAGTACAGATATGGCTCAGAGCGTCCAAGAGGGTGGGCTGAGGACGGTCCGTCGAGCCAAGGAATCCGATCACATTAATAACTCCATCCATCTTGATACACTTTAGGCTCTGCTCGAAAGTACCCAGGCCACCGATCTCGATGATATGGCCAATACCCTGCTTTTGGGGAGTGAGTTCGTGAACAATGGAGCCCCATTCGGGAGTGGTTTTGTAGTTCACAACATGGCCGGCTCCGAGATCATGAAGTATCTTCTCCTTTGCCGCGGACGAAGTGGTAGCAATAACCATACATCCGGCTGCCTTGGCAAACTAGATATAATGGCCTCTATCAGCAGTGTGTCGATATAGTTAGAAGGTTCGGGGGATAATACCCGTAATCCAAAGAGACTGATACCGCCAGTACCCTGGATCAGAATAGTCTGACCTGTCTTCACGGGGTGTAGGCCGTAAGGGCATTCCAGCTGGTCAGGGCGGCACAAGGAAGGATGCTGGCCTCAATAACACTCAGGTTACTGGAGGCCTTGACAAGGCCGGTTCCAGGGTAGACACCGAACTGGCCAAGCGCACCATCAATAGTACCACCGACACCAGTTGAAGCGGCGTAGGAACCAATATCACCGTGCTGGTGAGCCTGGTTGAAGAGGGTAATAACCGTATCCCCCTTTTGGAACTCAGTCACTTTGGAACCGACTTTAACTACCTCACCGGCACCGTCTGAGTTTGGAACAGTGGGGTATTTGTGAGCGAAAGGGAAGGTGCCCTGTAGAGGGGATCCGCATACTATGTTAGTTGCTAATCAGTCTAGGATCTCCTGAAGGCCCTACCTTTGCAATTGCCAAGTCACGGTAGTTCCGGGAAGAAGCCTCAAATTTGACCAAGACCTCGTTCTCACCAACACTCGGGACGACAGAGTCCTCAAGCACCAGACCGCCGAAGTCCGCGTCGGGACGGCTGACGTTCTATTGCTTCGGCCTCGGTGATTGTGGAAGACGGGATGGAATGGCAATTACCGAAAACGCCACGGGCCCCGTCCAGTACATTCACCGATCACTATGTCACGAGTATATCCATCCAGTAGATGGAAATGACAGTCATTTTACAGATAAAATACAGTGCAGCATAGCATGGGCATCCTATGGAGTAAGTAGAAGGTACAGTAGTATTGAAGTATTCCCAAACTAACTGTTGATCTACCAGAACACACGCACCATATATCTAGAACAACACTTATGCATCCTGGTTGATTTTCATCGGTTGGTAGATCTTTCTCTATTGAATTATCGGTGTCTATCGCATATCGATTAGATCGACTGTCGGCTTAGAGATATAGCAACTGTGGAAGGGCTTACTGGATAGGTTTAGGACTACCATTACTACTTCGATACTAACCCTGTGGTGGCATTTCACTCTTTTTTTATTCTTTTCTATTCTATATTCTTGGAACAAACTACTCGAAATCACTCGTAGATAAGTCATAATATCCCTCAAGACGATCACATGAGGATTGAATGGATCAAGCTGCGCTGGCCACCTGCGCCTCACTTGCATACTCTACTTGATCAACAACAGCCTTTACCTCCTTCTCATTTTCTTCCTTGATCTCCCCTATGCCCCCTTTGGCGGGATAAAAGTCGATATTACCATGAGCTTTAATCACACCAATGCGATCAAGCAGTGTACGGGAACGTACGTACGGATCCAGTTTCCAATAATTCTCTCGCAGCCGAATGGCGATATTTGCCCTGCGATCCTTCTGCTGTGAAGCATCACCCAAATTTCCCTTGTCCTTGGCGGAAAGCCACATCGAGGTTGCTTCAAAGAGTTCCTCTCCGATCTGTTGGTGCTGGGCCATAATAGAATCTCTTGTGGTTGTGTCCTGAAGTTGAGCATTCTCGTCTTGTTCAGGCTCTACGTATTCGTAGGTCCAATCTTCAGCGCCGCCAAGTTCCTTCACGATCTGGGATCGATCGATGAATTGCTCCAGGTCTTCAACCGAGTTCACGAAATGAACTTTGGCGGCCACGACAGGGTCAAGCCAGCCCCGGATAACCTTCCAGATTCCTGGGTTTGAAGGATTAGTATCGGGGTCAGCAGCCGGATGAGGGTTGAGAGCGGTGTTGTACGTACCAGAAAAGAACCAGGGAGCATTATAGAAGAGCATGTATCCAAGCGATTCGGGATAGTTTTCCTGGAAGCACTCGATAATGAACTTGACTGGGGCGTACTCCTTTGAATAGTTAGCAAAATGACACAGGCTTCCTCGAAGGTCCATAATAGTCTACCATATTTGAAAGAGCAAAGTTTGTCAAGTCGAAGATTAGTGTCTACTCATACAGTCCACGAATTAGCCGAGTTCATACCTTCTCATGCTCAATTGCGCCTAACGGGCACTTACCATAGTTTCAACAGGAGGAACAAGCAGCAGTCGCATCAACTCGATGTTGTACAAAATATATGAATTGAGCGCCTTTTCACTCTGCGCACCTGGCTTATGGGTCCGTGCTCTCACAACACAAATAGGACGACCGGATTTATCGGAGCCATGAAAAAAGCCCTTGCCCATGCGCAACTGGGCCATATAGTCCTCACCATCTTTTTTATCAGTGCTACCGGTGCTGCTCTGCGACTGCTGCAATGCATGAAGCTCTCCCTTGTGGATTACCTCGGCTTCCACCTGTTTCTGTTTGCTCCACCACTCCAGTGCGGATACGAACTTGACGAAACCCTTGCTGACATTCCATTTCTCAGCACGTAAGTATCGAAGAAGGAATGTGTCTGGATGATCTTGTTTCATCATAGCAAGGAAAGCTGAGCGAAGTTCGTCCGGTTTGAGCTTGGTCAGAACTTGCTGAATTAACTTGATCTCCTGTGCATTCATCTTCATCGCTTGGAGCTCGGAAAGCAATTTGGCAGGCACCGGAGGCGCATCGTTGGATTTGGCTTGGTCTTCCGCCGACCAAGATAGCGAGAAGAGCCTTCTGCGCTGTTTAGTTGATGTGGCGGAGGTAGTTTGGCCACTCTGACTCGTGTCTGTGCGAGATAATTGCGGATCGCACGCTCGCAAGAAAATCACCCATAGCTGTAGGAGTTTCTCTTCTTGGCCTTGGGTAAGGTTTCCCACGTACCCCGTTTCTACGGTTGCGATAGTCATTTCTGTCGTATTCTGGCGGTACTATAATGTTGGGTAGGAAAAGAGGGTGGTTGTTGGTTTGCTTATATTAATTTTAGACTGTGTAACGGATTTCGTAACTATCCGCCCTCGATCGATCCTCGGTCCGTAACGACCTTTCCTTAATACTGCGGGGTGGTCCCAATTGAAATATTATATAGACCCTTTGGCTTAGTTTATACCGACAGTTGATTCCTGGTCTACATGTGAAATTTCACAGCTCCTTTAGGTAAGGGACCCAAGAGGCCGGGAGTTCTTCCTCGGTATGTAAGCGTGAGGGGTAAGAGGTACATCAGGGGCGATCTGCAAACCTCTAGGGCTATGATTGACACCTTTTCTCAGAGGGACCTGCTGGGAGCCGTTGGAATCTGTTGAGTCTCAGCAATCTACCAGGTTCATCCAAGTCGGGAAAATCTTGGGATGTACACAGTATGCTGGGCGCATATCACAGCCCCTGTTTCGGGACGTGCTCATGTCCACTGCAGAGGGGCATTTGAGTCAAGACGATGGGACTTGACAGATCATCCAATCAGGGCCGGTGTTCAATCAGTTCATTCCCCAATCACGTATGATGGATTCCCGCCTAATCTGGGCAGGAGTGCGAGAGTCTATGGGTCACTTTCTCGCCTGGAGGTCAAATCTCGTGGATTCAGGGGAAAGCGGGGTTAATAACCTAAAAGCTCAAGATTGACCGCGTGGTACAGCCGTACAGGAACGGTATTTACTTAGCCGATTGGAGGAGCAGTGGCTGGCTGGCTCAGCGATCCAGAGTACCTAAGAATCAATCTACTGTTACGGACTTAGGCTTAGGGCAAGAGAAGGAAAAGGATCGGCGCAGGTTCGGCCAGCATGACGGGGGGAAACCAAACCGCAACGGGACTAGTGGAGGGACGACCTTTAAAGCAGCGGGAGGATATCCCATGATCCCCCCAAGCCATCATCTCCACCATCGGAATGGCCTGCGGTTCGAGCCGCCGACCCCTTGGCCTTTGCTGTAATCCTCCATTATGACCAACCGCGACCCCGAGTTTCGACATCAGCTGGGCAAGTTTCGTCTAGATTCTTCCTTGTCATCGCATGCGTCCACTCCTCCACCTCCAATACTCCATCCTGAAACCTCCCCGCTCTCGCAGCCCCCTTCCTTGACGACGCCGACATCGTTGCAGCCGCACACGCCATCCCATACTTCCCACCCCCATCGCAGTAAACGGGTTTCAACTGCCTGTGACTTTTGTCGCAAGCGGAAAAAGAAATGTGACTTTCGCTATCCGAACTGTTCCGCATGTACTCGCGCCGGCGTACGTTGTACGATTCCTCCGCCGGGTCCCCAAGTCGCAAGTGCCTCCGTCCCTCGAGATCAGCTTGAGAATCTTCAGAACCGCGTGCGATGGCTAGAAGACGTTCTGCGACGCAAGACGGGCCTCTCCGTAGCCGACAGGCCAACGGGGAGCACGCTAGATGGGGAAGGTGATCTAGACTGGTACCAGGTACCAACGGTGTTAATGGGCCGGGACAACTCCCATTCAACAGCGTCCGCGACAGCCTCAGCATCCAGTCCAGCTGAGTCCCCCGCTGTCGGAGCAGAACTACCCAATGTAGGCGAGATATTTCGAGATCAGCTGGAAAATCGACGACCATCGGTTGCGCGCCCAGTCGCGTCCGCCCCGCGCGTTCTTCGCTTGGCCTCCCTGGAGGATGCTGAACGAGTGGCCTCGCAGTACTTCGACGGCATTGGCTACCAATACCCATTCCTCCATCGCCATGATTTCTTCACGCAGTTACGACGCATATATACTGGCATTGTGCCACCACCCGACGTGCTGTACACATATCACATCACGATTGCTATCGCCATGCTGATCAGTAACGCCGAGGGCTCACAAGCAAACGAGTACTACCGCGCAAGCCAGGAAACACTATCTCTGTCGTTACAGAATGAGGATCTATCAGCAGTGCGCGCCTTACTGAGCCTGGCACTATGGACGATGTTTTCCACGAACGGCCCTAGCGTGTGGCATGTGCTGGGCAGCGCACTACGCCTGGCGACGAGTCTCGGTCTGCATAAAGCTCGGAATGCGGCCAGTGTGGTGGAAGACGAGATGTCTAAGCGAGCGTTCTGGAGTCTATACAACCTTGATCGACTTGTTGCCAGCACACTTGCCCGACCGTTGGGCATCGCAGACGAAGATATCAGCGTGAGCTTACCACGCGAATTTAACGATGACTGGAGCGAAGCGCCAGGAGCCAGTGCCATGACGATCCCAGTGCAGGTGGTGCGACTGCGCCGGATATTTTCGCACATCTACCGTTACTGTAAGTCTGCCACAAGGCGCTATGATATATCTGGACTAACCCTTGCAGTATACAATAACCATCCTCCTCCTCCCCCCGCCGAGGTTTCCCTTACACTTCTTCACTTTCGCCAAGAGCTTGATGACTGGCGTCGGAATGCGCCCGTGTACCCTCCGGCACTTCTGTATTCAACCAGCTATTACGATTATCTTTATGCGACCACTCTACTTCTCATGCACCGACCCAGCCCGCGAAATCCGACACCGGACGCGACTAGCATAGTGAGCTGTGGCGATGCCAGCATCCAAGTGATCCGATCATATTGGGACAGCTATTCCGTCGGGAAGCTCAAATGGATCTGGCTGACCCTGAGCCAGATCTACTTTGCAGGGATCACCATCTTGTGGTGTCTCAATCAGAATTTTCTTTCTGTCCGGGATGGTCATGTAGCAGCCTGGCAACCGAATGACCAGATGATGCGACGGGCTATCCAGGCAGTGGTCGTGGTGCTGGAAGAGTTTGGCAAACGACGGCCGGGAGTGGAACGCCTAGCGGAGACGTTTCGCCATCATAGTACAGTCATCTTCAGTCACTTGGCATACCAACAAGAGCAAATCCACAGCCAACCCCAGCCTCAGCCACCGCTGCAACCACAGCTGCAGCAACAAAACGTTCTGGTGGCACCCCCAGTGCCTATGGCGGCCACCTTGGACGATGTGCTCCTAGTGGATGGGTCAGGAAATGTGCCCCTGATAGATGCTCAGCTGGCGGACGAATTGTTCTATTCGTACGATTGGTTTCAGGAAGAGATGGCGACTTTTTATACCCTGTGAAAATATACATAATTTATTTGTATGCAATGGAGTTGAGATACCATTATTATTCGTCCGCTTATCACTGTCTATTATTACCCCACCTCTTAATCAAATACTACATCAGACCATGTCAATTAACAGCAACAACAAACTTCCCCCTCAGTAAAAACCTCTTAAGAACACACACACACACATACACACACACTTCCCCCATCAACACAACAACCACAATGACCACCAAAAACCCTCAGGCCTTCCACGGCACTTTAATCCACAGCAAAGATCCTCAAACCCTAGAAATCCTCCCAGACACCCTCCTCATCATCTCCTCCACAGGCAAAATCCAATCCCTCCACCCCTCCACCAACCCAACCGACATCCCAATCCTCCTCACCCAAGCAAACCACAACCCCGACACAACTCCCGTAACCACCCTCGCAGCCACTGAATTCCTCATCCCCGGCTTCATCGACACCCACACGCATGCCCCACAGTGGTCCCAACGCGGCCTCGGTCGCGGTATCCCCCTCCTCACCTGGCTGGAGCAGATCACCTTCGCGCACGAAGCCAAACTCGCCGACCCTATCTACGCAAAACAACTCTACCGCGCCGCCGTGCAAGGCAGTCTCAAGCAAGGCATAACAACAGCCTGCTACTACGGCTCCCGGCACAAAGATGCATCGGTCATCCTGGCCGAAACATGTCTAGCCATTGGACAGCGCGCACTAATCGGGAAATGTAATATGAATCGCCACGCTCCGGATTGGTACGTTGACTCTTCCGTGGACGAGTCCGTCTCCGATACGGTCGAGTTCATCGCCAAGGTGAAGGAGTTAGACGGAGAGACAGGTCTCGTGACCCCGGTCATCACGCCTCGGTTCGCAATAACATGCGACGAACATCTTCTAGGTGAATTGGGGACCATTGTGAAACAAAACCCGGGGATACCGGTACAAACGCACTTCAACGAATCCCACGGCGAAGTCAACTTCACCCGGGAGCTCTTCCCGCAATTCAAGAACGAAACGGACCTCTACGATACCTACGGTCTACTCACTAACCGGACCATCCTGGCCCATGCAATCTACCCACAGCCTGAGGAGTTCCCCCGTCTCAAAGAACTGGACTGTGGTGTCGCGCACTGTCCCATTCCCAACACGACCATGGACGAGTACATGATTGCCCCTGTGCGGGAGTATCTCTCGCGCGGGATCAAGGTCGGTCTAGGCACGGATTGCGGGGGCGGGTACTCGTCGTCGATGCTTGATGTGATGCGGGCGGCGTTTATGGTGTCTGTTGCGAAGCAGACGGAGACGGCGGGGAAAGATGCGCCGTTGAGTGTTGCGGAGAGCTTTTATTTGGCGACGCTGGGCGGGGCGAGGGTTGCTGGGTTGGAGGATCGGGTGGGGCGGTTTGCGCCCGGGTTGGAGTTTGATGCGTGTCTGGTGAGGTCGGGCGTCGCGGAGGGGGTTATGGCGCCTGTTGAGGAGGAAGATGGTGTTGAGGGTGTTTTTGAGAAGTTTCTGATGACCGGGGATGATCGGAATATTGCTAGGGTTTGGGTGAAGGGGAGGGAGGTGAAGGGGTCGTCTTCTGCTTGATGTTTACCCTACTTTTGTATTTTAGTTTTGAAGTTTTGTTGGTGTATATCAATTTGACTGTCTCCGCTATTTCTAGTGTCGGTGTTGGAGTTGAGTTATTGTGGGGAATTTGTCGTCCTTGTCTGAAGGATTTATATATCTCTGCGCTGGGATCGGGATATACATTTTCTAAGTCTTAAGTCAATCTCGACAGCTTTAATTGAGTATAAATGTGTGTATAACGTATAATATGTTTCATCTAAAATAATTACAATTAATAGGCACCGTATGTTATGCCCAGACCAAGTCTGGATGAATATAAACGCCAACCGCCAAGCATATCCAACAAAATTTGAAAATATCCAGCGTAGAGAAAGGGGTATTGCCGACCTAGATGATGATTAATGCGCCGAACCAAATAAACAAACCAGCAAACAATTATTCCCATGTTCCTTTGCGCGGTCCGAAGTATCCTGACTCCGGGAGCGCCTTCCACGGGGTGCCTTTACCGTCCGCAGTGTGCGCGGACACAGTATTGCCCCACCAGTGTAGCGGACCAGCTGGAAGGGTGATGCAGAAAAAAATGATGACGGTGGCCACGGCCACAGCACAGTCAAGTGCTGCTGAAAGAACATAATCTAGTCCATGTTAGAGTGACGCAGCAATGGACTCGTGAAAGAGATGACCTACTGTATTTAGACCACCAGGCCGGCCTGCGTCGTTTAATCAAGCCATTAAAGATAAGATTGACAATCCACCAGGATGAGAAGCTGATCCCGGTGGCCGGTGGGACAAGGCTCATGGCACCAAACGCGACCGGCCATGAGATGTAGTTGGCCTGCTTCCAACGCCGACCAATGACATATGTGACAATAACGACCAGGGGCCCAGCCAGGAAGAACCAGAGGAGATTGCCGTAGATCTGTCCGGGGGAAAAGTTTCGACCGGGACCGAGGGCGCCTAGATTTCGTCAATC